TCCATCCCTCCTTTTATTTGATTTCTATACTCTGGAAGTTGCAAAAGGGCTTACACAGATTTCCAACAGTTTTAAACTGTGGTATACATGTGAGACCGGTTGCCATACCTTACAGATTTAAATAAGGGCCTTATTTAGTTAGCCTGCTAGTACCAGAATTGTGCATCATGTGCCTTTATTCTCCGCTCCGCTCTCTCTAATTCACAAATAGCAGGGAAAACATTTAGTGCTATTCAGTGCAACTTTCACTTTTATCAAAGTAGGTTGAAAGAAACTTTATTGTACCCATGAGGGGCAATTTTTTTTTTGCAGCAAGCGGTAATAAAAAACAAGTACGATAAAAAATAATAATAATGATAAATAAATAAATAAATAAATAAACACATTGCAAACATGCATTCACATATTCATAGAAGGTGCACAGATTTCATGTGCCTTTGACAAAAGTGAACGCAGTCTGTTTGAAAACCAGTGAGTTAAAGTCTGATCATTTTTGTACTGAGGTAACAAGAGTATTTGGGTTTCAATTTGACTGAAATATTGAAAGTAAAATGAAAGTATATCATGTTAATAATTAAGAAAAAAATGAGTGGTGAAGTGAGGGTGAGAGAGAGAGGCAAAGTGGTGCTGAATGAAGTGAAGATAAACTGTATGATTATTGGATGTAGTCCTGGTGACGTCACCCATCTGTTTCTGAAGTGGAGGTTTGAAGCTAATTATTGGTGGTCGCCATATTGGATAACTTGTCTCAACCTGCCGGAGGCGGGCTTTTAGCCTTCTCGTAAAAGGCTCCAGTGAGCCTGCCTGTCAGTCAAGGCAGCCTCTGATTTGCCAGTCATTTAACCCTGATAACTTCAAAATTAGAGAGAGGCTGTTTGTCCTCCTGCTCAGTTTAGGGAGCATTAACCCTTTGAGCATCGCAAAACTGAGCAATACTGTGGTCAGGATCTGCATGATTTTCGGAAACTATGACCAATTCAGTCCCCTTTCTGAAAAGAAGGCTATTTTGCATGCATTGTGAGGTTTTTCTTTCTGTGTACATCTCAAATATCTCTTTAAAATATCTTGTGTTTGATATCTTAGATTGTACTTTATCATACAGAGTTTCTCCAGCAGCTTTCATTACATAATTGGGAGCATTATTCAGTCATGCATCCTTTTTATTTGTGCTATTACTGTCTTCTTTTTCCACTTGCTCCACCTTTTACACGCTGACTGGGAGCTACCCACATCTCTCCATTTCCTTCTGCAGCTAAGACCCCAAGTGCACCAATAAAACAAAGTGTTATTCCCGCCAGTGGATGTTGTTATACCTCTCAGTTTTGAGAATTGGCAGTAACAGCAGTGAGAATAGTACTGTATGCTGCCAAGCATGAAGCCCAAAAAACTCACAGTGTCACAGTCAAAGCTGTATCTCACTGGAAGGCTCCAAACACCTCCAGGTGAATTTCATCATTTTCCTCTGCCGTTTTCTCTACCCTCTTACTTCTCTCTTAATGCAGTGTCCAATATCCAGAAGACAGGGTTTGATGGTAAGCGTAGAGTGAAATGAGTGTAAAGGCTTTTTATTTATTTATTTCTGCGTGGTCCTGTACTCCAGGCCAGAGAGAATGGAAATGCTGCTGAGCTGGAATACAGCTCAAACAGCAAGCGCTGAGCTTCTTGACCATATGACCTATTTTTATTAGCCTCATTTCATCTATCTGCTCTGCAAGCATTCTGTGCCAGTGTAATTTCTGCCATCGTTTGGAACAGCTTGAGGATTGACTGAAGATGATGTTGTGGTCTCTGTCACATGCTTTAACCTATTTTGTTTAGTTCAGAAAATATGAACATCGATGGAGCAAAAGCAGTTTCATAATGAAAAACAATCTGCTATAAATTTGTTGATAATCCAAAATCTTAGGTTGCAATAACTGAATTAAAAGAAAATTGCGAAACAACTTAAAACACAAATAACAGTTTAAGAGAACCAATAGCCACGGTCTGTTCATGATGATTTAATGCTGTATTCATACATATGTACATGCATGTACTCAATGCATATGCATATTATGCAAATGCATAATATGTCATGTGTGGACCCATTTAAAAAAAAAAAAAAAAATGAAGCCAATTTGCATCGCTTTAATGTTTGTTTCTGTACAAATTGTTTGGAAAAAAATATTCAGGCTCAGGCTCACTGAAACCTGTCAGAGAAGTCTAATCTCCCCAGGAACAGTGCCAGCCAGGTTTAGTCAATTATAAACCACAATATACTGTGCTCATATCAAAGGTAGGACTTTGGCAACTCTGTGATTTGGTTTGGGCTCCTTAAGTTACAATCTTTGTTCATAAGTCTTAAGGATGAGGAAGTGGCTGAAAAATGCTTTGCTGCAGCGCCTCAATGTTTATTTCCTGAGAACATTCTTTTTGGCATGGTCCATTCAGAGGCTGGACCTCAGACTCAACATGCAGCACTTTGGTTCAAGGCTTATCAGCAGTTTGCTGAAACTGATGCTTGTATGTGCAGAAAAGTCTCATTTAGCACCTGAGTTTCCAGTAGATGAGGCTGGAATAACATCATACACTCATCAGTGACCGACAAGATAACAACTGGTCTTCATTAATAGCATTTCATCTCCTCTGTATTTTCCATCAGTCTGTCAGAGTACACACTGGAGTTCCCTGCTGCCTAGCAACATTAAATATTCATATCTCCATAATTGTAATTTTTGACTTAATCAAATGGATTCCAGCAGATAACACTAACAGCATTAATCTTTCTGATGATGAGGATTGATCCAGTGTGATGAGTGACACTTGGTGAAGCCTTTTCAGCTTCTTTGACAACATTGTCTTTAAGATTGACAGTGATCATAGATAAATTATATATATATATATATATCGCTGTCTGACCTACTTCATCACCTGTATTGGGGGTTAAAGGTCAATTTCACTTTCTTGTAGCTTCTAACCACTTATGAACAGGCACTGGTAGGTTTGACCTACTTTGTCAGGGTCTTCATTTGATTATATTATCAAATAATCTAATTGGGCTTGGGAACAAGTTTTAACCATAGACTGAATATAGAATGGAACGCTGTCTGCCTCCTCGTTGGGTGAAGCCACCACCGCGAGAACAGCACCCTCTGGTGATGGGCTGCAGTATAGGTCATAAATACCGCCTCCTCCAGCAATCCCTATGGAGCTGTGGACAAACTTTAGAAATTTATTACACAGAATATAATTTTTTCTCCCCCCTGCTTGCGATGTTGACATGCAGTTACTGTAAGACTGGTTTGTGCTCAAGTCCTCTTTTTTCTGTACAGCTCAATTTTATAGGGTTCTTAGAGGGTTCATGTTTTTAGGGCCCGAGCGTAGCTGCTAAGCAGCTGCGAGAGCCCTCTTGTTCCTGTAGTTTCCTTCTTTTGTTATTATTAGGGCCCGAGCGTAGCTGCTAAGCAGCTGCGAGAGCCCTCTTGTTAGGGCCCGAGCGTAGCTGCTAAGCAGCTGCGAGAGCCCTCTTGTTCCTGATGGATTCTTCTTTCGTTATTTTTCCTCCGCTTTAAACTGGAAAATGGCCCACTTCCCACTGGCGAAAACTCAGGAAATTTGGCAGGACGACCGGGCCTGGTGAAAAATTTGATATTCTGAAGTCGCCCAAACAAAAAAATGAAAAATGGCTGCATAGCGCCCCCTATGGTGAAAACTCACCTGACGCCTGTACACTTTGTCAAAATGACACAAAATTTGACACACATGTGTATCTCAATAAGATCTACAAAAAAGTCAGTGCAGGCATATCTGTCAAATGTACCGTTAAAGGGCTATTTCGCATTTTTTGCCGATCCGCACACATTGGAATTTCGCTAACTCCTCCGAAGGCTTTCGTTCCACCGGCACCACATTTGCTCAGGCCAATCTACACCCCATGGCCATTAAAAGTTGTACAAATCATGATGCTGCACCCCACGGTTTACGTTCTAGGGGGCGCCAAAGATAACCCAAAAATCCACATTCTTAAAAGTCTTATAACTTTTTATTTTTGTCCTCACTGGCCTCCAAGTTTTCTAGGATGATGCCATGTCAAGCCATCAACACATTTGTGAAGGAATTTTTACTCCCCAAAAGAGCGCCCCCCCATGGCAGGAGAAAAAAGTCAAGTTTTTCTTGTCCCCTAACATGAAAATACACATTGTTGAGTGTCACGCCTAAACGCTTTGTCATATTGACAAAAAATTTGACAATCACGTGTATCTCAATAAGATCTACAAAAAAGTCATAGAGCGCGTATCTGTATAATGTACGGTTAAAGGGCTATTTTGCATTTTTTGCCGATCCGCACACATTGGAATTTCGCTAACTCCTCCGAAGGCTTTCGTTCCACCGGCACCAAATTTGCTCAGGCCAATCTACACCCCATGGCCATTAAAAGTTGTACAAATCATGACGCTGCAACCCACGGTGAAGGTTCTAGGGGGCGCCAAAGATAACCCTAAAATCCACATATTTAAAAGTCTTATAACTTCTTATTTTTGTCCTCACTGGCCTCCAGGTTTTCTAGGATGATGCAATGTCCAGCCATCAACACATTTGTGAAGGAATTTTTACTCCCCAAAAGAGCGCCCCCCATGGCAGGAGAAAAAAGTCCATTTTTTCTTGTCCCCTAAGGTGAAAATACATATTGTTGAGATTCACGCCTATACGCTTTGTCATATTGACACAAAATTTGACAATCACGTGTATCTCAATAAGATCTACGAAAAAGTCAATGGGCGTGTATCTGTCAAATGTACGGTTAAAGGGCTATTTTGCATTTTTTGCCGATTCGCACACATTGGAATGTGGCTAACTCCTCCTAAGGCTTTCCTCCCACTGACACCAAATTTGCTCAGGCCAATCTAGACCCCATGGCCATTCAAAGTTGTAAAAATCATGACGCTGCACCCTACGGCTCACGTTCTAGGGGGCGCCAAAGATGACCCAAATATCCACATTCTTAAAAGAATCCACATCCCCCCCCATCCCCCATCCCCCATGGCAGGAGAAACAGTCAAGTTTTTCCTGCCCATCACTCAATGGCTCAATCGCATCGCTCTCCCGGCAACACCGTAACAAGGAGCAACTTGCCGTTTGGATATATCCTAGCTGTGTTTGTGGCCTCACTCATGGTCCAGACTTTTTTCAAATAGGACATGTAGTTTGTCTGCAGCGAGTGTTTTGGTAGAAACTGCGCCTCCCATTCATTATAATGGGAAATGACCACAGACAAGTGCGCACACCATCTTTGGACCTTGAGTGTGACGCGATCGGGAGGGGGAGGCGGTCGAACTGGGGGCGGCGCAACGCGGCTCGGGCCCGCCAGTGCCCCAACGGGGCCCTAGTTCCTGATGGATTCTTCTTTCGTTATTTTTCCTCCGCTTTAAACTGGAAAATGGCCCACTTCCCACTGGCGAAAACTCAGGAAATTTGGCAGGACGACCGGGCCTGGTGAAAAATTTGATATTCTGAAGTCGCCCAAACAAAAAAATGAAAAATGGCTGCATAGCGCCCCCTATGGTGAAAACTCACCTGACGCCTGTACACTTTGTCAAAATGACACAAAATTTGACACACATGTGTATCTCAATAAGATCTACAAAAAAGTCAGTGCAGGCATATCTGTCAAATGTACCGTTAAAGGGCTATTTCGCATTTTTTGCCGATCCGCACACATTGGAATTTCGCTAACTCCTCCGAAGGCTTTCGTTCCACCGGCACCACATTTGCTCAGGCCAATCTACACCCCATGGCCATTAAAAGTTGTACAAATCATGATGCTGCACCCCACGGTTTACGTTCTAGGGGGCGCCAAAGATAACCCAAAAATCCACATTCTTAAAAGTCTTATAACTTTTTATTTTTGTCCTCACTGGCCTCCAAGTTTTCTAGGATGATGCCATGTCAAGCCATCAACACATTTGTGAAGGAATTTTTACTCCCCAAAAGAGCGCCCCCCCATGGCAGGAGAAAAAAGTCAAGTTTTTCTTGTCCCCTAACATGAAAATACACATTGTTGAGTGTCACGCCTAAACGCTTTGTCATATTGACAAAAAATTTGACAATCACGTGTATCTCAATAAGATCTACAAAAAAGTCATAGAGCGCGTATCTGTATAATGTACGGTTAAAGGGCTATTTTGCATTTTTTGCCGATCCGCACACATTGGAATTTCGCTAACTCCTCCGAAGGCTTTCGTTCCACCGGCACCAAATTTGCTCAGGCCAATCTACACCCCATGGCCATTAAAAGTTGTACAAATCATGACGCTGCAACCCACGGTGAAGGTTCTAGGGGGCGCCAAAGATAACCCTAAAATCCACATATTTAAAAGTCTTATAACTTCTTATTTTTGTCCTCACTGGCCTCCAGGTTTTCTAGGATGATGCAATGTCCAGCCATCAACACATTTGTGAAGGAATTTTTACTCCCCAAAAGAGCGCCCCCCCATGGCAGGAGAAAAAAGTCCATTTTTTCTTGTCCCCTAAGGTGAAAATACATATTGTTGAGATTCACGCCTATACGCTTTGTCATATTGACACAAAATTTGACAATCACGTGTATCTCAATAAGATCTACGAAAAAGTCAATGGGCGTGTATCTGTCAAATGTACGGTTAAAGGGCTATTTTGCATTTTTTGCCGATTCGCACACATTGGAATGTGGCTAACTCCTCCTAAGGCTTTCCTCCCACTGACACCAAATTTGCTCAGGCCAATCTAGACCCCATGGCCATTCAAAGTTGTAAAAATCATGACGCTGCACCCTACGGCTCACGTTCTAGGGGGCGCCAAAGATGACCCAAATATCCACATTCTTAAAAGAATCCACATCCCCCCCCCATCCCCCATCCCCCATGGCAGGAGAAACAGTCAAGTTTTTCCTGCCCATCACTCAATGGCTCAATCGCATCGCTCTCCCGGCAACACCGTAACAAGGAGCAACTTGCCGTTTGGATATATCCTAGCTGTGTTTGTGGCCTCACTCATGGTCCAGACTTTTTTCAAATAGGACATGTAGTTTGTCTGCAGCGAGTGTTTTGGTAGAAACTGCGCCTCCCATTCATTATAATGGGAAATGACCACAGACAAGTGCGCACACCATCTTTGGACCTTGAGTGTGACGCGATCGGGAGGGGGAGGCGGTCGAACTGGGGGCGGCGCAACGCGGCTCGGGCCCGCCAGTGCCCCAACGGGGCCCTAGTTCCTGATGGATTCTTCTTTCGTTATTTTTCCTCCGCTTTAAACTGGAAAATGGCCCACTTCCCACTGGCGAAAACTCAGGAAATTTGGCAGGACGACCGGGCCTGGTGAAAAATTTGATATTCTGAAGTCGCCCAAACAAAAAAATGAAAAATGGCTGCATAGCGCCCCCTATGGTGAAAACTCACCTGACGCCTGTACACTTTGTCAAAATGACACAAAATTTGACACACATGTGTATCTCAATAAGATCTACAAAAAAGTCAGTGCAGTTATATCTGTCAAATGTACCGTTAAAGGGCTATTTCGCATTTTTTGCCGATCCGCACACATTGGAATTTCGCTAACTCCTCCGAAGGCTTTCGTTCCACCGGCACCACATTTGCTCAGGCCAATCTACACCCCATGGCCATTAAAAGTTGTACAAATCATGATGCTGCACCCCACGGTTTACGTTCTAGGGGGCGCCAAAGATAACCCAAAAATCCACATTCTTAAAAGTCTTATAACTTTTTATTTTTGTCCTCACTGGCCTCCAAGTTTTCTAGGATGATGCCATGTCAAGCCATCAACACATTTGTGAAGGAATTTTTACTCCCCAAAAGAGCGCCCCCCATGGCAGGAGAAAAAAGTCAAGTTTTTCTTGTCCCCTAACATGAAAATACACATTGTTGAGTGTCACGCCTAAACGCTTTGTCATATTGACAAAAAATTTGACAATCACGTGTATCTCAATAAGATCTACAAAAAAGTCATAGAGCGCGTATCTGTATAATGTACGGTTAAAGGGCTATTTTGCATTTTTTGCCGATCCGCACACATTGGAATTTCGCTAACTCCTCCGAAGGCTTTCGTTCCACCGGCACCAAATTTGCTCAGGCCAATCTACACCCCATGGCCATTAAAAGTTGTACAAATCATGACGCTGCAACCCACGGTGAAGGTTCTAGGGGGCGCCAAAGATAACCCTAAAATCCACATATTTAAAAGTCTTATAACTTCTTATTTTTGTCCTCACTGGCCTCCAGGTTTTCTAGGATGATGCAATGTCCAGCCATCAACACATTTGTGAAGGAATTTTTACTCCCCAAAAGAGCGCCCCCCATGGCAGGAGAAAAAAGTCCATTTTTTCTTGTCCCCTAAGGTGAAAATACATATTGTTGAGATTCACGCCTATACGCTTTGTCATATTGACACAAAATTTGACAATCACGTGTATCTCAATAAGATCTACGAAAAAGTCAATGGGCGTGTATCTGTCAAATGTACGGTTAAAGGGCTATTTTGCATTTTTTGCCGATTCGCACACATTGGAATGTGGCTAACTCCTCCTAAGGCTTTCCTCCCACTGACACCAAATTTGCTCAGGCCAATCTAGACCCCATGGCCATTCAAAGTTGTAAAAATCATGACGCTGCACCCTACGGCTCACGTTCTAGGGGGCGCCAAAGATGACCCAAATATCCACATTCTTAAAAGAATCCACATCCCCCCCCATCCCCCATCCCCCATGGCAGGAGAAACAGTCAAGTTTTTCCTGCCCATCACTCAATGGCTCAATCGCATCGCTCTCCCGGCAACACCGTAACAAGGAGCAACTTGCCGTTTGGATATATCCTAGCTGTGTTTGTGGCCTCACTCATGGTCCAGACTTTTTTCAAATAGGACATGTAGTTTGTCTGCAGCGAGTGTTTTGGTAGAAACTGCGCCTCCCATTCATTATAATGGGAAATGACCACAGACAAGTGCGCACACCATCTTTGGACCTTGAGTGTGACGCGATCGGGAGGGGGAGGCGGTCGAACTGGGGGCGGCGCAACGCGGCTCGGGCCCGCCAGTGCCCCAACGGGGCCCTAGTTAGGGCCCGAGCCAGCTGCAGAGCAGCCGGGCGTAGGCCCTATTATTCCCCAAGTGGTTTTTCTTTGTTTCTTTCTTTCTTTAGGACCCGAGCGTAGCTGCTAAGCAGCTGCGAGAGCCCTATTATTCCCCAAGTGGTTTTTCTTTGTTTCTTTCTTTCTTTTTTCTTTTTCCTCCCCTTTGAACTGGAAAATGGCCCACTTCCCACTGGCGAAAACTCATGAAATTTGGCAGGACGACCGGGCCTGGTGAAAAATTCGATATTCTGAAGTCGCCCAAACAATAAAATGCAAAATGGCTCCATAGCGCCCCCTAAGGTGGAAATTCACACTATTGACTGTCACGCCTGTACGCTTTGTCATATTGACACAAAAATTGACACACATATGTATCTCAATAAGATCTACAAAAAAGTCAGTGCGGCCGTATCTGTCAAAATTACGGTTAAAGGGTTATTTCGCATTTTTTGCCGATCCGCACACATTGGAATTTCGCTAACTCCTCCGAAGGCTTTCGTTCCACCGGCACCACATTTGCTCAGGCCAATCTACACCCCGTGGCCATTAAAAGTTATCAAAATCATGACGCTGCACCCCAAGGTTTAGGTTCTAGGGGGCGCCAAAGATAACACTAAAATCCACATATTTAAAAGTCTTATAACTTTTTATTTTTGTCCTCACTGGCCTCCAAGTTTTCTAGGATGATGCAATGTACAGCCATCAACACATTTGTGAAGGAATTTTTACTCCCCAAAAGAGCGCCCCCCCATGGCAGGAGAAAAAAGTCCATTTTTTCTTGTCCCCTAAGGTGAAAATACACATTGTTGAGTGTCACGCCTATACGCTTTGTCAAAATGACACAAAAATTGACACACACATGTAACTCAATAAGATCTACGAAAAAGTCAATGCGCGCGTATCTGTCAAATGTACGGTTAAAGGGTTATTCCGCATTTTTTGCCGATCCGCACACATTGGAATGTGGCTAACTCCTCCTAAGGCTTTCGTTCCACCGGCACCACATTTTCTCAGGCCAATCTACACCCCATGGCCATTAAAAGTTATTCAAATCATGACGCTGCACCCCACGGTTTAGGTTCTAGGGGGCGCCAAAGATAACCCTAAAATCCACATATTTAAAAGTCTTATAACTTTTTATTTTTGTCCTCACTGGCCTCCAAGTTTTCTAGGATGATGCAATGTCCAGCCATCAACACATTTGTGAAGGAATTTTTACTCCCCAAAAGAGTGCCCCCCCATGGCAGGAGAAAAAAGTCCATTTTTTCTTGTCCCCTAAGGTGAAAATTCACACTATTGACTGTCACGCCTGTACGCTTTGTCAAAATGACACAAAAATTGACACACACATGTATCTCAATAAGATCTACAAAAAAGTTTATGCGCGCGTATCTGTCAAATGTACGGTTAAAGGGTTATTTTGCATTTTTTGCCGATCCGCACACATTGGAATTTCGCTAACTCCTCCGAAGGCTTTCGTTCCACCGGCACCACATTTGCTCAGGCCAATCTACACCCCATGGCCATTAAAAGTTATTCAAATCATGACGCTGCACCCCACGGTTTACGTTCTAGGGGGCGCCAAAGATAACCCAAAAATCCACATTTTTCAAAGTCTTATAACTTTTTATTTTTGTCCTCACTGGCCTCCAAGTTTTCTAGGATGATGCAATGTCCAGCCATCAACACATTTGTGAAGGAATTTTTACTCCCCAAAAGAGCGCCCCCCCATGGCAGGAGAAAAAAGTCCATTTTTTCTTGTCCCCTAAGGTGAAAATACACATTGTTGACTGTCACGCCTGTACGCTTTGGCAAAATGACACAAAAATTGACAATCATGTGTATCTCAATTAGATCTACGAAAAAGTCAAAGAGCGCGTATCTGTATAATGTACGGTAAAAGGGCTATTTTGCATTTTTTGCCGATTCGCACACATTGGAATTTCGCTAACTCCTCCTAAGGCTTTCGTCCCACTGACACCAAATTTGCTCAGGCCAATCTACACTCCATGGCCATTCAAAGTTGTAAAAATCATGACGCTGCACCCCACAGTTTACGTTTTAGGGAGCGCCAAAGATGACCCAAATATACATTACAGTAGACAAAGTAGTTTTGCCCACTGAGTGGCGCCAAAGGGACTTGTCTGTGGAGTCTGTGAGTCACTATTGGCCGTTTTTGACTACTTTAGATTTTACCTTTATATTTCTATATTTTTACCTTGCCTTGCCTGGTATCATTTTTTTCAGCACAACCTCACCTGTGTCAATTTACAGTTATTTTATCATTTTGACATACTATATTTACACATTGGACCCAAATTCACACACAAAACATAAAATCCGAGTGGAAAAAAGTAACGTTTTTACTGTGAAAACCACAAATATGTGTGATGAACTGTTTTTAAAACTTAAACTTCAAATAAAAATTGTAAACTTCAAAACATATGCAAATTTTTAACAAAGAACATAGTAATTTACCTCTATTTACATCAAAATGCAGGCAATGGCCCAGGTGTTCTTTGTAAAATTATTTACAAAACACTGTATAGTCTCACAAATGTCACTTTTTTTTATGCCACTACAAAAAAACATGATGTAAATGATGCATGATGTAAAACATGATGTAAAAAACTTGTGTAGATCCTCCTCTATGTTAGTCCATGTGTAATTTTTCCATAATTCTTTGTTTTTTGCAGCATTTTTGTTATTGTAACTGCAGATTGTGCTGACAGTGTCTATGGCACACACAAAAAAAAAACTGAAAATGCCTCAACATGAACCCCTGGTGGTCTCTGAGGGTGAACCTGCTAACTGCTGCAGCTCTGTCAGCTTCAGTCTCCCATGCAGAGCTCTGAGCGCATGTGTGGCTCTGCACCCTTAGCAGCGTTGCTAACTCCTCAGTAAGGAAAGCCTGCTTCATGTCAGAGTCTCTAAACTCCAGAAGAAGTCGATAAAAGTCACTTTCTTTCTAAAAAAAAAGTCGTTAGGGGGTCTGAAAAGTAATTGAATCTAACAACAAAGTCGCTAGGTTTGCAACTACGTGTCCCAGACTGCATCCCTGCTGAGAGTCCCTCCCTCCCTTCTCATATTGCAGGAAGAACGTAAGCGCCCGCCCCTTGTCAATCAGTCACCATATAATTTTGGATTGGTTGTTGTGGTGAAGTTTTCCACCAATAGGAGAGATGTTGTGGTGTGTTTTTTTTTTCCTTTGGCAAGCCTTTTTCCGCCTGTAAGACCTGTCGCTAATGTCTGCATGCTATGTTTTCCTGTCTCATACAGCGCGATCGAGCGCCGAACGTGATCAAAATAAGCAGAAAACAAGTATCGCGGACATAATTTATCATAACTCTGGTTTTATTTGGCCTATCAACACAATTTAAAAACTGGTATATAGGTTGAGGTCCTCACTTTTGAGATAAGTTGAAACGGAGTCAACGAGGCTCCGTCTTGCAGCTACATCCGGTTAAATATGTCATGTGACTTGAACGCACACACACACACACACACACACACACACACACAGACACACACACACACGCACACACACACACACACACACTCAGAGTCTGGTTTTTAGCACCTGCAAAAACATGCTATTTACATATTTGACAAGAATGCAGAGGCTCCTTTTGCCCCTGAAAGAAATCAAATTTCAAACATAACTTGACTGGTCATTTCTCCAAAAGACAACCATGAAGCTCCATCCAAACCTGAAGCAGGCAGTTGGTGCATGTGTACAGTAACCTGAGGGGAGTGAGGTGACTGCTTCTGAGGAGAACATGAGCAGTGAAGATTCACCTTGGAGCTAGAACAGAGACGTGCACATGATTATACAGGGGCAGGGGCTCAAGAGGCTGGCTGTGGCAAGTGTAAGTGAAAGCAACACGCACTGGCAGGAAGAACAGCAAACGCCGATGAAGGAAAAGGGTCTTTTCAGTGATGGGCGTTACCAGAGAGGGCGATGGCCAGAGGACACAAATGGGACGGGGAGGCAGCGCGTTGGGGGGGGGACGCGACACAGCTCGGGCCCGCCAGTGCCCCAACGGGGTCCTAGTTAGGGCCCGAGCGTAGCTGCTAAGCAGCTGCGAGAGCCCTCTTGTTCCTGTAGTTTCCTTCTTTAGGGCCCGAGCCAGCTGCAGAGCAGCCGCGCGTAGGCCCTATTATTCCCCAAGTGGTTTTTTAGGGCCCGAGCGTAGCTGCTAAGCAGCTGCGAGAGCCCTCTTGTTCCTGCATGTTTCCTTCTTTCGTTATTATTTTTCCTCCGCTTTAAACTGGAAAATGGCCCACTTCCCACTGGCGAAAACTCAGGAAATTTGGCAGGACGACCGGGCCTGGTGAAAAATTCGATATTCTGAAGTCGCCCAAACAATAAAATGCAAAATGGCTCCATAGCGCCCCCTAAGGTGAAAATTCACATGACGGCTGTACGCTTTGTCATATTGACACAAAAATTGACACACACATGTATCTCAATAAGATCTACAAAAAAGTCAGTGCGGGCGTATCTGTCAAATGTATGGTTAATGGGTTATTTTGCATTTTTTGCAGATCTGCACACATTGGAATTTCGCTAACTCCTCCGAAGGCTTTCATTCGACCGGCACCACATTTGCGCAGGCCAATCTACCCCCCATGGCCATTAAAAGTTGTACAAATCATGACGCTGCACCCCACGGTTTACGTTCTAGGGGGCGCCAAAGATAACCCAAAATCCACATTCTTAAAAGTCTTATAACTTTTTATTTTTGTCCTCACTGCCCTCCAAGTTTTCTAGGATGATGCAATGTCCAGCCATCAACACATTTGTGAAGGAATTTTTACTCCCCAAAAGAGCGCCCCCCCATGGCAGGAGAAAAAAGTCAATTTTTTCTTGTCCCCTTACATGAAAATACACATTGTTGAGTGTCACGCCTGAACGCTTTGTCATATTGACACAAAAATTGACAATCATGTGTATCTCAATTAGATCTACGAAAAAGTCAAAAAGCGCGTATCTGTATAATGTACGGTTAAAGGGCTATTTCGCATTTTTTGCCGATTCGCACACATTGGAATGTGGCTATCTCCTCCTAAGGCTTTCGTCCCACCGATACCAAATTTGCTCAGGGCAATCTACACCCCATGCCCATTCAAAGTTGTAAAAATCATGACGCTGCACCCCACGGTTTACGTTCTAGGGGGCGCCAAAGATGACCCAAAAATCCACATTCTTAAAAGTCATTTTGGCCACTGCAGGAGTACAGAGTACTGCAGTTCTAGGGGGCGCCAAAGATGACCCAAAAATCCACATTCTTAAAAGTCTTTTTGGCCACTGCAGGAGTACAGAGTACTGCAGGATACACACACATACACACACACACACACACACACACACACACACACACACACACACACACTCAGAGTCTGTTTTTTAGCACCTGCAAAAACATGCTGTTTACATATTTGACAAGAATGCAGAGGCTTCCTTTTGCCCCTGAAAAAAATCAGATTTCAAACACAACTTGACTGTTCATTTCTCCAAAAGACAACCATGAAGCTCCATCCAAACCTGAAGCAGATAGTTGGTGCATGTGTACAGTAACCTGAGGGGAGTGAGGTGACTATTTCTGAGGAGAACATGAGCAGTGAAGATTCACCTTGGAGCTAGAACAGGGACGTGCACATGATTATACAGGGGCAGGGGCTCAAGTTTTTTCCAGTCATTTATACAATATGGAAATTAATGTGAAATTAAACCACAAATATGTGTGATGAACTGTTTTTAAAACTTAAACTTCAAATAAAAATTGTAAACTTCAAAACATATGCAAATTTTTAACAAAGAACATAGTAATTTACCTCTATTTACATCAAAATGCAGGCAATGGCCCAGGCGTTCTTTGTAAAATTATTTACAAAACACTGTATAGTCTCACAAATGTCACTTTTTATTTATGCCACTACAAAAAAACATGATGTAAATGATGCATGATGTAAAACATGATGTAAAAAACTTGTGTAGATCCTCCTCTATGTCAGTCCATGTGTAATTTTTCCATAATTCTTTGTTTTTTGCAGCATTTTTGTTAGTGTAACTGCAGATTGTGCTGACAGTCTATGGCAAAAAAAACAAAAACTGAAAATGCCTCAACATGAACCCCTGGTGGTCTCTGAGGGTGAAACCTGCTAACTGCTGCAGCTCTGTCAGCTTCAGTCTCCCATGCAGAGCTCCGAGCGCATGTGTGGCTCTGCACCCTTAGCAGCGTTGCTAACTCCTCAGTAAGGAAAGCCTGCTTCATGTCAGAGTCTCTAAACTCCAGAAGAAGTCGATAAAAGTCCCTTTCTTTCTAAAAAAAAGTCGTTAGGGGGTCTGAAAAGTCATTGAATCTAACAACAAAGTCGCTAGGTTTGCAACTACGTGTCCCAGACTGCATCCCTGCTGAGAGTCCCTCCCTCCCTTCTCATGTTGCAGGAAGAACGTAAGCGCCCGCCCCTTGTCATTCAGTCACCATATAATTTTGGATTGGTTGTTGTGGTGAAGTTTTCCACCAATAGGAGAGATGTTGTGGTGTGTTTTTTTTTTCTTTTGGCAAGCCTTTTCCGCCTGTAAGACCTGTCGCTAATGTGTGCATGCTATGTTTTCCTGTCTCATACAGCGCGATCGAGCGCCGAACGTGATCAAAATAAGCAGAAAAAAAGTATCGCGGACATAATTTATCATAACTCTGGTTTTATTTGGCCTATCAACACAATTTAAAAACTGGTATATAGGTTGAGGTCCTCACTTTTGAGATAAGTTGAAACGGAGAGTTAACGAGGCTCCGTCTTGCAGCTACATCCGGTTAAATATGTCATGTGACTTGAACGCTGGGGAGCGTCAATCGAATCGAATCAAACCTAACTCTCAGATGAATCTTCAAAATTCACCTCAGAAATATGCTTATTATTCTTCTCAGAGTACTGCAGGATACACACACACACACACACACACACACACACACACACACACAGACACACACACACACTCAGAGTCTGTTTTTTAGCACCTGCAAAAACATGCTATTTACATATTTGACAAGAATGCAGAGGCTTCCTTTTGCCCCTGAAAAAAATCAAATTTCAAACACAACTTGACTGCTCATTTCTCCAAAAGACAACCATGAAGCTCCATCCAAACCTGAAGCAGGCAGTTGGTGCATGTGTACAGTAACCTGAGGGGAGTGAGGTGACTGCTTCTGAGGAGAACATGAGCAGTGAAGATTCACCTTGGAGCTAGAACAGGGACGTGCACATGATAATACAGGGGCAGGGGCTCAAGTTTTTTCCAGTCGTTTATACAATATGGAAATTAATGTGAAATTAAAAAACAAAGTATGACTGTCCTGTGTAGGTGACAGTGATATCCAATAGGCTAGGCACTCACGAGGCTGGCTGTGGCAAGTGTATGTGAAAGCAACACGCACTGGCAGGAAGAACAGCAAACGCCGATGAAGGAAAAGGGTCTTTGCTGTGATGGGCGTTACCAGAGAGGGCGATGGCCAGAGGACACGAATGGGACGGGGAGGCAGCGCGTTGGGGGGGGGGTGGCGACACGGCTCGGGCCCGCCAGTGCCCCAACGGGGCCCTAGTTATTATTATTATTATTATTTTTCCTCCGCTTTAAACTGGAAAATGGCCCACTTCCCACTGGCGAAAACTCATGAAATTTGGCAGGACGACCGGGCCTGGTGAAAAATTCGATATTCTGAAGTCGCCCAAACAATAAAATGCAAAATGGCTCCATAGCGCCCCCTAAGGTGGAAATTCACACTATTGACTGTCACGTCTGTACGTTTTGTCATATTGACACAAAAATTGACACACATATGTATCTCAATAAGATCTACAAAAAAGTCAGTGCGGGCGTATCTGTCAAATGTACGGTTAAAGGGTTATTTCGCATTTTTTGCCGATCCGCACACATTGGAATTTCGCTAACTCCTCCGAAGGCTTTCGTTCCACCGGCACCACATTTGCTCAGGCCAGTCTACACCCCATGGCCATTAAAAGTTGTACAAATCATGACGCTGCACCCCACGGTTTAGGTTCTAGGGGGCGCCAAAGATAACCCAAAAATCCACATTCTTAAAAGTCTTATAACTTTTTATTTTTGTCCTCACTGCCCTCCAAGTTTTCTAGGATGATGCAATGTCCAGCCATCAACACATTTGTGAAGGAATTTTTACTCCCCAAAAGAGCGCCCCCCCATGGCAGGAGAAAAAAGTCAATTTTTTCTTGTCCCCTTACATGAAAATTCACATTGTTGAGTGTCACGCCTGAACGCTTTGTCATATTGACACAAAAATTGACAATCATGTGTATCTCAATTAGATCTACGAAAAAGTCAAAGAGCGCGTATCTGTATAATGTACGGTTAAAGGGCTATTTCGCATTTTTTGCCTATTCGCACACATTGGAATGTGGCTATCTCCTCCTAAGGCTTTCGTCCCACTGATACCAAATTTGCTCAGGGCAATCTACACCCCATGCCCATTCAAAGTTGTAAAAATCATGACGCTGCACCCCACGGTTTACGTTCTAGGGGGCGCCAAAGATGACCCAAAAATCCACATTCTTAAAAGTCATTTTGGCCACTGCAGGAGTACAGAGTACTGCAGTTCTAGGGGGCGCCAAAGATGACCCAAAAATCCACATTCTTAAAAGTCTTTTTGGCCACTGCAGGAGTACAGAGTACTGCAGGATACACACACATATACACACACGCCAACACACACACACACACACACACACACACACACACACACACACACACACACACACACACACACACACACACACACTCAGAGTCTGTTTTTTAGCACCTGCAAAAACATGCTGTTTACATATTTGACAAGAATGCAGAGGCTTCCTTTTGCCCCTGAAAAAAATCAGATTTCAAACACAACTTGACTGTTCATTTCTCCAAAAGACAACCATGAAGCTCCATCCAAACCTGAAGCAGATAGTTGGTGCATGTGTACAGTAACCTGAGGGGAGTGAGGTGACTATTTCTGAGGAGAACATGAGCAGTGAAGATTCACCTTGGAGCTAGAACAGGGACGTGCACATGATTATACAGGGGCAGGGGCTCAAGTTTTTTCCAGTCATTTATACAATATGGAAATTAATGTGAAATTAAAACACAAAGTATTAATAGAAAGGTAATGACTGTCCTGTGTAGGTGACAGTGATATCCAATAGGCTAGGCACTCACGAGGCTGGCTGTGGCAAGTGTAAGTGAAAGCAACACGCACTGGCAGGAAGAACAGCAAACGCCGATGAAGGAAAGGGTCTTTGCAGTGATGGGCGTTACCAGAGAGGACGATGGCCAGAGGACGCGAATGGGACGGGGAGGCAGCGCGTTGGGGGGGGCAGCGCGACACGGCTCGGGCCCGCCAGTGCCCCAACGGGGCCCTAGTCTTTCTTTAGGGCCCGAGCGTAGCTGCTAAGCAGCTGCGAGAGCCCTCTTGTTCCTGATGGATTCTTCTTTTGTTATTATTAGGGCCCGAGCCAGCTGCAGAGCAGCCGGGCGTAGGCCCTATTATTCCCCAAGTGGTTTTTCTTTGTTTCTTTAGGGCCCGAGCCAGCTGCAGAGCAGCCGGGCGTAGGCCCTATTATTCCCCAAGAGGTTTTTCTTTGTTTCTTTCTTTAGGGCCCGAGCGTAGCTGCTAAGCAGCTGCGAGAGCCCTCTTGTTCCTGTAGTTTCCTTCTTTTGTTATTATTATTATTATTATTTTTCCTCCCCTTTGAACTGGAAAATGGCCCACTTCCCACTGGCGAAAACTCATGAAATTTGGCAGGACGACTGGGCCTGGTGAAAAATTTGATATTCCGAAGTCGCCCAAACAAGAAAATGCAAAATGGCTCCATAGCGCCCCCTAACGTGAAAATTCACACTATTCACTGTCACGCCTGTACGCTTTGTCAAAATGACACAAAAATTGACACACACATGTATCTCAATAAGATCTACAAAAAAGTCAGTGCGGGCGTATCTGTCAAATGTACGGTTAAAGGGTTATTGCGCATTTTTTGCCGATCCGCACACATTGGAATTTCGCTAACTCCTCCGAAGGCTTTCGTTCCACCGGCACCACATTTGCTCAGGCCAATCTACACCCCATGGCCATTAAAAGTTATTCAAATCATGACGCTGCACCCCACGGTTTAGGTTCTAGGGGGCGCCAAAAATAACCCTAAAATCCACATATTTCAAAGTCTTATAACTTTTTATTTTTGCCCTCACTGGCCTCCAAGTTTTCTAGGATGATGCAATGTCCAGCCATCAACACATTTTTGAAGGAATTTTTACTCCCCAAAAGAGCGCCCCCCCATGGCAGGAGAAAAAAGTCCATTTTTTCTTGTCCCATAAGGTGAAAATTCACACTATTGACTGTCACGCCTGTACGCTTTGTCAAAATTACACAAAAATTGACACACACATGTATCTCAATAAGATCTACAAAAAAGTCAGTGCTGGCGTATCTGTCAAATGTACGGTTAAAGGGTTATTGCGCATTTTTTGCCGATCCGCACACATTGGAATTTCGCTAACTCCTCCGAAGGCTTTCGTTCCACCGGCACCACATTTGCTCAGGCCAATCTACACCCCATGGCCATTAAAAGTTATTCAAATCATGACGCTGCACCCCACAGTTTAGGTTCTAGGGGGCGCCAAAGATAACCCAAAAATCCACATATTTAAAAGTCTTATAACTTTTTATTTTTGTCCTCTCTGGCCTCCAAGTTTTCTAGGATGATGCAATGTCCAGCCATCAACACATTTGTGAAGGAATTTTTACTCCCCAAAAGAGCGCCCCCCCATGGCAGGAGAAAAAAGTCCATTTTTTCTTGTCCCATAAGGTGAAAATACACATTGTTGACTGTCATACCTGTATGCTTTGTCATATTGACACAAAATTTGACACACACATGTATCTCAATAAGATCTACGAAAAAGTCAATGCGCGCGTATCTGTAAAATGTACGGTTAAAGGGCTATTTTGCATTTTTTGCCGATTAGCACACATTGGAATGTGGCTAACTCCTCCTAAGGCTTTCGTCCCACTGACACCAAATTTGCTCAGGCCAATCTACACCCCATGGCCATTCAAAGTTTTAAAAATCATGACGCTGCACCCCACGGTTTACGTTCTAGGGGGCGCCAAAGATGACCCAAATATCCACATTCTTAAAAGAATCCACATCCCCCCCCCCCCATCCCCCATCCCCCATGGCAGGAGAAACAGTCAAGTTTTTCCTGCCCATCACTCAATGGCTCAATCGCATCGCTCTCCCGGCAACACCGTAACGAGGAGCAACTTGCCGTTTGGATATATCCTAGCTGTGTTTGTGCCCTCACTCATGGTCCACACTTTTTTCAAATAGGACATGTAGTTTGTCTGCAGCGAGTGTTTTGGTAGAAACTGCGCCTCCCATTCATTATAATGGGAAATGACCACAGACAAGTGCGCACACCATCTTTGGACCTTGAGTGTGACGCGATCGGGAGGGGGAGGCGGTCGCACTGGGGGCGGCGCAACGCGGCTCGGGCCCGCCAGTGCCCCAACGGGGCCCTAGTTAGGGCCCGAGCGTAGCTGCTAAGCAGCTGCGAGAGCCCTCTTGTTCCTGTAGTTTCCTTCTTTTGTTATTATTATTATTTTTCCTCCCCTTTGAACTGGAAAATGGCCCACTTCCCACTGGCGAAAACTCATGATATTTGGCAGGACGACCGGGCCTGGTGAAAAATTTGATTTTCTGAAGTCGCCCAAACAAGAAAATGCAAAATGGCTCCATAGCGCCCCCTAAGGTGAAAATTCACACTATTGACTGTCACGCCTGTACGCTTTGTCAAAATGACACAAAAATTGACACACACATGTATCTCAATAAGATCTACAAAAAAGTCAGTGCGGGCGTATCTGTCAAATGTACGGTTAAAGGGTTATTTCGCATTTTTTGCCGATCCGCACACATTGGAATTTCGCTAACTCCTCCGAAGGCTTTCGTTCCACCGGCACCACATTTGCTCAGGCCAATCTACACCCCATGGCCATTAAAAGTTATTCAAATTGAGACGCTGCACCCCACGGTTTAGGTTCTAGGGGGCGCCAAAGATAACCCTAAAATCCACATATTTAAAAGTCTTATAACTTTTTATTTTTGCCCTCACTGGCCTCCAAGTTTTCTAGGATGATGCAATGTCCAGCCATCAACACATTTGTGAAGGAATTTTTACTCCCCAAAAGAGCGCCCCCCCATGGCAGGAGAAAAAAGTCCATTTTTTCTTGACCCCTAAGGTGAAAATACACATTGTTGAGTGTCATGCCTGTACGCTTTGGCAAAATGACACAAAAATTGACACACACGTGTATCTCAATAAGATCTACGAAAAAGTCCATGCGCGCGTACCTGTCAAATGTACGGTTAAAGGGTTATTCCGCATTTTTTGCCGATCCGCACACATTGGAATTTCGCTAACTCCTCCGAAGGCTTTCGTTCCACCGGCACCACATTTGCTCAGGCCAATCTACACCCCATGGCCATTAAAAGTTATTCAAATCATGACGCTGCACCCCACGGTTTAGGTTCTAGGGGGCGCCAAAGATAACCCTAAAATCCACATATTTCAAAGTCTTATAACTTTTTATTTTTGTCCTCACTGGCCTCCAAGTTTTCTAGGATGATGCAATGTCCAGCCATCAACACATTTGTGAAGGAATTTTTACTCCCCAAAAGAGCGCCCCCCCATGGCAGGAGAAAAAGTCAATTTTTTCTTGTCCCGTAAGGTGAAAATTCACATTGTTGAGTGTGACACCTGTACGCTTTGTCATATTGACACAAAATTTGACAATCACGTGTATCTCAATAAGATCTACGAAAAAGTCAATGCACGCGTATCTGTCAAATATATGGTTAGAGGGCTATTTTGCATTTTTTGCCGATTCGCACACATTGGAATGTGGCTAACTCCTCCTAAGGCTTTCGTCCCACTGAAACCAAATTTGCTCAGGCCAATCTACACCCCATGGCCATTCAAAGTTGTAAAAATCATGACGCTGCACCCCACGGTTTACGTTCTAGGGGGCGCCAAAGATGACCCAAAAATCCACATTATTAAAAGAATCCACATTCCCCCCCCCCCCCATGGCACGAGAAAAAGTCAAGTTTTTCCTGCCCATCGCTCAATGGCTCAATCGCATCGCTCTCCAGGCAAAACCGTAAGGAGGAGCAACCTGCCATTTGGATATATATCCCAGCTGTGTTTGTGCCCTCACTCATGGTCCAGACTTTTTTCAAATAGGACATGAAGTTTGTCTGCAGCGAGTGTTTTGGTAGAAACTGCGCCTCCCATTCATTATAATGGGAAATGACTACAGACAAGTGCGCACACCATCTTTGGACCTTGAGTGTGACGCGATTGGGAGGGGGAGGCGGTCGCGCTGGGGGCGGCGCGACGCGGCTCGGGCCCGACAGTGCCCCACCGGGGCCCTAGTCTTTGTTTCTTTCTTTCTTTTTTCTTTTTCCTCCCCTTTGAACTGGAAAATGGCCCACTTCCCACTGGCGAAAACTCATGAAATTTGGCAGGACGACCGGGCCTGGTGAAAAATTCGATATTCTGAAGTCGCCCAAACAATAAAATGCAAAATGGCTCCATAGCGCCCCCTAAGGTGGAAATTCACACTATTGACTGTCACGCCTGTACGCTTTGTCATATTGACACAAAAATTGACACACATATGTATCTCAATAAGATCTACAAAAAAGTCAGTGCGGCCGTATCTGTCAAATGTACGGTTAAAGGGTTATTTCGCATTTTTTTCCGATCCGCACACATTGGAATTTCGCTAACTCCTCCGAAGGCTTTCGTTCCACCGGCACCACATTTGCTCAGGCCAAACTACACCCCGTGGCCATTAAAAGTTATCAAAATCATGACGCTGCACTCCAAGGTTTAGGTTCTAGGGGGCGCCAAAGATAACACTAAAATCCACATATTTAAAAGTCTTATAACTTTTTATTTTTGTCCTCACTGGCCTCCAAGTTTTCTAGGATGATGCAATGTCCAGCCATCAACACATTTGTGAAGGAATTTTTACTCCCCAAAAGAGCGCCCCCCCATGGCAGGAGAAAAAAGTCCATTTTTTCTTGTCCCCTAAGGTGAAAATACACATTGTTGAGTGTCACGCCTATACGCTTTGTCAAAATGACACAAAAATTGACACACACATGTAACTCAATAAGATCTACGAAAAAGTCAATGCGCGCGTATCTGTCAAATGTACGGTTAAAGGGTTATTCCGCATTTTTTGCCGATCCGCACACATTGGAATTTCGCTAACTCCTCCGAAGGCTTTCTGTCCACCGGCACCACATTTGCTCAGGCCAATCTACACCCCGTGGCCATTAAAAGTTATCAAAATCATGACGCTGCACCCCAAGGTTTAGGTTCTAGGGGGCGCCAAAGACAACCCTAAAATCCACATATTTAAAAGTCTTATAACTTTTTATTTTTGTCCTCACTGGCCTCCAAGTTTTCTAGGATGATGCAATGTCCAGCCATCCACACATTTGTGAAGGAATTTTTACTCCCCAAAAGAGCGCCCCCCCATGGTAGGAGAAAAAAGTCAATTTTTTCTTGTCCCCTTACATGAAAATACACATTGTTGAGTGTCACGCCTGAACGCTTTGTCATATTGACACAAAAATTGACAATCATGTGTATCTCAATTAGATCTACGAAAAAGTCAAAGAGCGCGTATCTGTATAATGTACGGTTAAAGGGCTATTTTGCATTTTTTGCCGATTCGCACACATTGGAATGTGGCTATCTCCTCCTAAGGCTTTCGTCCCACCGATACCAAATTTGCTCAGGGCAATCTACACCCCATGCCCATTCAAAGTTGTAAAAATCATGATGCTGCACCCCACGTTTTACGTTCTAGGGGGCGCCAAAGATGACCCAAAAATCCACATTCTTAAAAGTCATTTTGGCCACTGCAGGAGTACAGAGTACTGCAGTTCTAGGGGGCGCCAAAGATGACCCAAAAATCCACATTCTTAAAAGTCTTTTTGGCCACTGCAGGAGTACAGAGTACTGCAGGATACACACACATATACACACACGCCAACATACACACACACACACACACACACACACACACAGACACACACACACACACTCAGAGTCTGTTTTTTAGCACCTGCAAAAACATGCTGTTTACATATTTGACAAGAATGCAGAGGCTTCCTTTTGCCCCTGATAAAAATCAAATTTCAAACACAACTTGACTGTTCATTTCTCCAAAAGACAACCATGAAGCTCCATTTCAAACCTGAAGCAGATAGTTGGTGCATGTGTACAGTAACCTGAGGGGAGTGAGGTGACTATTTCTGAGGAGAACATGAGCAGTGAAGATTCACCTTGGAGCTAGAACAGGGACGTGCACATGATTATACAGGGGCAGGGGCTCAAGTTTTTTCCAGTAATTTATACAATATGGAAATTAATGTGAAATTAAACCACAAATATGTGTGATGAACTGTTTTTAAAACTTAAACTTCAAATAAAAATTGTAAACTTCAAAACATATGCAAATTTTTAACAAAGAACATAGTAATTTACCTCTATTTACACCAAAATGCAGGCAATGGCCCAGGCGTTCTTTGTAAAATTATTTACAAAACACTGTATAGTCTCACAAATGTCACTTTTTATTTATGCCACTACAAAAAAACATGATGTAAATGATGCATGATGTAAAACATGATGTAAAAAACTTGTGTAGATCCTCCTCTATGTCAGTCCATGTGTAATTTTTCCATAATTCTTTGTTTTTTGCAGCATTTTTGTTAGTGTAACTGCAGATTGTGCTGACAGTGTCTATGGCACAAAAAAAAAAAAAATTAAAATGCCTCAACATGAACCCCTGGTGGTCTCTGAGGGTGAAACCTGCTAACTGCTGCAGCTCTGTCAGCTTCAGTCTCCCATGCAGAGCTCGGAGCGCATGTGTGGCTCTGCACCCTTAGCAGCGTTGCTAACTCCTCAGTAAGGAAAGCCTGCTTCATGTCAGAGTCTCTAAACTCCAGAAGAAGTCGATAAAAGTCCCTTTCTTTCTAAAAAAAAGTCGTTAGGGGGTCTGAAAAATCATTGAATCTAACAACAAAGTCGCTAGGTTTGCAACTACGTGTCCCAGACTGCATCCCTGCTGAGAGTCCCTCCCTCCCTTCTCATGTTGCAGGAAGAACGTAAGCGCCCGCCCCTTGTCAATCAGTCACCATATAATTTTGGATTGGTTGTTGTGGTGAAGTTTTCCACCAATAGGAGAGATGTTGTGGTGTGTATTTTTTTTCCTTTGGCAAGCCTTTTCCGCCTGTAAGACCTGTCGCTAATGTCTGCATGCTATGTTTTCCTGTCTCATTCAGCGCGATCGAGCGCCGAACGTGATCAAAATAAGCAGAAAACAAGTATCGCGGACATAATTTATCATAACTCTGGTTTTATTTGGCCTATCAACACAATTTAAAAACTGGTATATAGGTTGAGGTCCTCACTTTTGAGATAAATTGAAACGGAGAGTCAACGAGGCTCCGTCTTGCAGCTACATCCGGTTAAATATGTCATGTGACTTGAACGCACACACACACACACAGACACACACACACACGCACACACACACACTCAGAGTCTGGTTTGTAGCACCTGCAAAAACATGCTATTTACATATTTGACAAGAATGCAGAGGCTCCTTTTGCCCCTGAAAAAAATCAAATTTCAAACACAACTTGACTGGTCATTTCTCCAAAAGACAACCATGAAGCTCCATCCAAACCTGAAGCAGGCAGTTGGTGCATGTGTACAGTAACCTGAGGGGAGTGAGGTGACTGCTTCTGAGGAGAACATGAGCAGTGAAGATTTACCTTAGAGCTAGAACAGAGACGTGCACATGATTATACAGGGGCAGGGGCTCAAGTTTTTTCCAGTCGTTTATACAATTTGGAAATTAATGTGAAATTAAAAAACAAAGTATTAATAGAAAGGTAATGACTGTCCTGTGTAGGTGACAGTGATATCCAATAGGCTAGGCACTCACGAGGCTGGCTGTGGCAAGTGTAAGTGAAAGCAACACGCACTGGCAGGAAGAACAGCAAACGCCGATGAAGGAAAAGGGTCTTTGCAGTGATGGGCGTTACCAAAGAGGGCGATAGCCAGAGGACACAAATGGGACGGGGAGGCAGCGCGTTGGGGGGGGGACGCGACACAGCTCGGGCCCGCCAGTGCCCCAACGGGGTCCTAGTTAGGGCCCGAGCGTAGCTGCTAAGCAGCTGCGAGAGCCCTCTTGTTCCTGCATGTTTCCTTCTTTTGTTATTATTATTATTTTTCCTCCCCTTTGAACTGGAAAATGGCCCACTTCCCACTGGCGAAAACTCATGAAATTTGGCAGGAAGACCGGGCCTGGTGAAAAATTTGATATTCTGAAGTCGCCCAAACAATGAAATGCAAAATGGCTCCATAGCGCCCCCTAAGGTGAAAATTCACACTATTGACTGTCACGCCTTTACGCTTTGGCAAAATGACACAAAAATTGACACACATATGTATCTCAATAAGATCTACGAAAAAGTCAGTGCGGGCGTATCTGTCAAATTTACGGTTAAAGGGTTATTTCGCATTTTTTGCCGATCCACACACATCGGAATTTCGCTAACTCCTCTGAAGACTTTCGTTCCATCGGAACAACATTTGCTCAGGTCAATCTACACCCCATGGCCATTAAAAGTTATTCAAATCATGACGCTGCACCCCACGGTTTAGGTTCTAGGGGGCGCCAAAGATAACCCTAAAATCCACATATTTAAAAGTCTTATAACTTTTTATTTTTGTCCTCACTGGCCTCCAAGTTTTCTAGGATGATGCAATGTCCAGCCATCAACACATCTGTGAAGGAATTTTTACTCCCCAAAAGAGCGCCCCCCCATGGCAGGAGAAAAAAGTCCATTTTTTCTTGTCCCCTAAGGTGAAAATACACATTGTTGAGTGTCACGCCTGTACGCTTTGGCAAAATGACACAAAAATTGACACACACATGTATCTCAATAAGATCTACAAAAAAGTCTATGCGCGCGTATCTGTCAAATGTACGGTTAAAGGGCTATTTTGCATTTTTTGCCGATTCGCACACATTGGAATTTCGCTAACTCCTCCGAAGGCTTTCATTCCACCGGCACCACATTTGCTCAGGCCAATCTACACCCCATGGCCATTAAAAGTTATTCAAATCATGATGCTGCACCCCACGGTCTAGGTTCTAGGGGGCGCCAAAAATAACCCTAAAATCCACATATGTAAAAGTCTTATAACTTTTTATTTTTGTCCTCACTGGCCTCCAAGTTTTCTAGGATGATGCAATGTCCAGCCATCAACACATTTGTGAAGGAATTTTTACTCCCCAAAAGAGCGCCCCCCCCCCATGGCAGGAGAAAAAAGTCCATTTTTTCTTGTCCCCTAAGGTGAAAATTCACATTGTTGAGTGTGACACCTGTACGCTTTGTCAAAATGACACAAAAATTGACACACACATGTATCTCAATAAGATCTACGAAAAAGGAGGAGGAGCAACCTGCCATTTGGATATATCCTAGCTGTGTTTGTGCCCTCACTCATGGTCCAGACTTTTTTCAAATAGGACATGTAGTTTGTCTGCAGTGAGTGTTTTGGTAGAAACTGCGCCTCCCATTCATTATAATGGTAAATGACCACAGACAAGTGCGCACACCATCTTTGGACCTTGAGTGTGACGCGATCGGGAGGGGGAGGCGGTCGCACTGGGGGCGGCGCGACGCGGCTCGGGCCCGACAGTGCCCCAACGGGGCCCTAGTTATTATTTTTCCTCCCCTTTGAACTGGAAAATGGCCCACTTCCCACTGGCGAAAACTCATGAAATTTGGCAGGACGACCGGGCCTGGTGAAAAATTTGATATTCCGAAGTCGCCCAAACAAGAAAATGCAAAATGGCTCCATAGCGCCCCCTAAGGTGAAAATTCACACTATTGACTGTCACGCCTGTACGCTTTGTCAAAATGACACAAAAATTGACACACACATGTATCTCAATAAGATCTACAAAAAAGTCAGTGCGGGCGTATCTGTCAAATGTACGGTTAAAGGGTTATTTCGCATTTTTTGCCGATCCGCACACATTGGAATTTCGCTAACTCCTCCGAAGGCTTTCGTTCCACCGGCACCACATTTGCTCAGGCCAATCTACACCCCATGGCCATTAAAAGTTATTCAAATCATGACGCTGCACCCCACGGTTTAGGTTCTAGGGGGCGCCAAAGATAACCCTAAGATCCACATATTTAAAAGTCTTATAACTTTTTATTTTTGCCCTCACTGGCCTCCAAGTTTTCTAGGATGATGCAATGTCCAGCCATCAACACATTTGTGAAGGAATTTTTACTCCCCAAAAGAGCGCCCCCCCATGGCAGGAGAAAAAAGTCCATTTTTTCTTGTCCCCTAAGGTGAAAATACACATTGTTGAGTGTAACACCTGTACGCTTTGGCAAAATGACACCAAAATTGAGACACACATGTATCTCAATAAGATCTACAAAAAAGTCAATGCGCACGTATCTGTCAAATGTACGGTTAAAGGGTTATTCCGCATTTTTTGCCGATCCGCACACATTGGAATTTCGCTAACTCCTCCGAAGGCTTTCGTTCCACCGGCACCACATTTTCTCAGGCCAATCTACACCCCATGGCCATTAAAAGTTATTCAAATCATGACGCTGCACCCCACGGTTTAGGTTCTAGGGGGCGCCAAAGATAACCGTAAAATCCACATATTTAAAAGTCTTATAACTTTTTATTTATGTCCCCACTGGCCTCCAAGTTTTCTAGGATGATGCAATGTCCAGCCATCAACACATTTGTGAAGGAATTTTTACTCGCCAAAAGAGCGCCCCCCCATGGCAGGAGAAAAAAGTCCATTTTTTCTTGTCCACTAAGGTGAAAATACACATTGTTGAGTGCTACGCCTGTATGTTTTGTCGTATTGACACAAAATTTTACATACACGTGTCTTTCAATAAGATCTTCGAAAAATTCAATAGCCACGTATCTGTAAAATGTACGGTTAAAGGGTTATTTCGCATTTTTTGCAGATTCGCACACATTGGAATTTCGCTAACTCCTCCGAAGGCTTTCGTTCCACCGGCACCACATTTGCTCAGGCCAATCTACACCCCATGGCCATTAAAAGTTGTACAAATCATGACGCTGCACCCCACGGTTTAGGTTCTAGGGGGCGCCAAAGATAACCCTAAAATCCACATATTTAAAAGTCTTATAACTTTTTATTTTTGTCCTCACTGGCCTCCATGTTTTCTAGGATGATGCAATGTCCAGCCATCAACACATTTGTGAAGGAGTTTTTTCTCGTTAAAAGAGCGCCCCCCCATGGCAGGAGAATAAAGTCAAGTTTTTCCTGTTCATCATTCAATGGCTCAAACGCACTGCTCTCTCGGCAAAAGCGAAAGGAGGAGCAACTTGCCATTTGGATATATCTTAGCTGTGTTTGTGCCCTCACTCATGGTCCAGACTTTTTTCAAATAGGACATGGAGTTTTTCTGCAGCGAGCGTTTTGGTAGAAACTGCGCCTCCCGTTCATTATAATGGTAAATGACCACAAACAAGTGCGCACACCATCTTTGGACCTTGAGTGTGACGCGATCGGGTGGGGGAGGCGGTCGTGCTGGGGGCGGCGTGACACGGCTCGGGCCCGCCAGTGCCCCAACGGGGCCCTAGTTTGTTATTATTATTTTTCCTCCCCTTTGAACTGGAAAATGGCCCACTTCCCACTGGCGAAAACTCATGAAATTTGGCAGGACGACCGGGCCTGGTGAAAAATTTGATATTCCGAAGTCGCCCAAACAAGAAAATGCAAAATGGCTCCATAGCGCCCCCTAAGGTGAAAATTCACACTATTGACTGTCACGCCTGTACGCTTTGTCAAAATGACACAAAAATTGACACACACATGTATCTCAATAAGATCTACAAAAAAGTCAGTGCGGGCGTATCTGTCAAATGTACGGTTAAAGGGTTATTTCGCATTTTTTGCCGATCCGCACACATTGGAATTTCGCTAACTCCTCCGAAGGCTTTCGTTCCACCGGCACCACATTTGCTCAGGCCAATCTACACCCCATGGCCATTAAAAGTTATTCAAATCATGACGCTGCACCCCACGGTTTAGGTTCTAGGGGGCGCCAAAGATAACCCTAAGATCCACATATTTAAAAGTCTTATAACTTTTTATTTTTGCCCTCACTGGCCTCCAAGTTTTCTAGGATGATGCAATGTCCAGCCATCAACACATTTGTGAAGGAATTTTTACTCCCCAAAAGAGCGCCCCCCCATGGCAGGAGAAAAAAGTCCATTTTTTCTTGTCCCCTAAGGTGAAAATACACATTGTTGAGTGTAACACCTGTACGCTTTGGCAAAATGACACAAAAATTGACACACACATGTATCTCAATAAGATCTACGAAAAAGTCAATGCGCGCGTATCTGTCAAATGTACGGTTAAAGGGTTATTCCGCATTTTTTGCCGATCCGCACACATTGGAATTTCGCTAACTCCTCCGAAGGCTTTCATTCCACCGGTACCACATTTGCTCAGGCCAATCTACACCCCATGGCCATTAAAAGTTATTCAAATCATGACGCTGCATCCCACGGTTTAGGTTCTAGGGGGCGCCAAAGATAACCCTAAAATCCACATATTTAAAAGTCTTATAACTTTTTATTTTTGTCCTCACTGGCCTCCAAGTTTTCTAGGATGATGCAATGTCCAGCCATCAACACATTTGTGAAGGAATTTTTACTCCCCAAAAGAGCGCCCCCCCATGGCAGGAAAAAAAAGCCAATTTTTTCTTGTCCCCTAAGGTGGAAATTCACACTATTGACTGTCACGCCTGTACGCTTTATCATATTGACACAAAAATTGACACACATATGTATCTCAATAAGATCTACAAAAGAGTCGATTCGCGCGTATCTGTCAAATGTACGGTTAAAGGGCTATTTTGCATTTTTTGCCGATTCGCACACATTGGAATGTGGCTAACTCCTCCTAAGGCTTTCGTCCCACTGACACCAAATTTGCTCAGGCCAATCTACACCCCATGGCCATTCAAAGTTGTAAAAATCATGACGCTGCACCCCACGGTTTACGTTCTACGGGGCGCCAAAGATGACCCAAAAATCCACATTCTTCAAAGAATCCACATCTCCCCCCCCCCCCCCCATATGGCAGGAGAAAAAGTTAAGTTTTTCCTGCCCATCGCTCAATGGCTCAATCGCATCGCTCTCCAGGCAACACCGTAAGGAGGAGCAACCTGCCATTTCGATATATCATAGCTGTGTTTGTGCCCTCACTCATGGTCCAGACTTTTTTCAAATAGGACATGAAGTTTGTCTGCAGCGAGTGTTTTGGTAGAAACTGCGCCTCCCATTCATTATAATAGGAAATGACCACAGACAAGTGCGCACACCATCTTTGGATCTTGAGTGTGACGCGATCGGGAGGGGGAGGCGGTCGCACTGGGGGCGGCGCGACACGGCTCGGGCCCGACAGTGCCCCAACGGGGTCCTAGTTCTTTCTTTCTTCTTTTTCCTCCCCTTTGAACTGGAAAATGGCCCACTTCCCACTGGCGAAAACTCATGAAATTTGGCAGGACGACCGGGCCTGGTGAAAAATTCGATATTCTGAAGTCGCCCAAACAATAAAATGCAAAATGGCTCCATAGCGCCCCCTAAGGTGGAAATTCACACTATTGACTGTCACGCCTGTACGCTTTGTCATATTGACACAAAAATTGACACACATATGTATCTCAATAAGATCTACAAAAAAGTCAGTGCGGCCGTATCTGTCAAAATTACGGTTAAAGGGTTATTTCGCATTTTTTGCCGATCCGCACACATTGGAATTTCGCTAACTCCTCCGAAGGCTTTCGTTCCACCGGCACCACATTTGCTCAGGCCAATCTACACCCCGTGGCCATTAAAAGTTATCAAAATCATGACGCTGCACCCCAAGGTTTAGGTTCTAGGGGGCGCCAAAGATAACACTAAAATCCACATATTTAAAAGTCTTATAACTTTTTATTTTTGTCCTCACTGGCCTCCAAGTTTTCTAGGATGATGCAATGTCCAGCCATCAACACATTTGTGAAGGAATTTTTACTCCCCAAAAGAGCGCCCCCCCATGGCAGGAGAAAAAAGTCAATTTTTTCTTGTCCCCTAAGGTGAAAATACACATTGTTGAGTGTCACGCCTATACGCTTTGTCAAAATGACACAAAAATTGACACACACATGTAACTCAATAAGATCTACAAAAAAGTCCATGCGCGCGTATCTGTCAAATGTACAGTTAAAGGGTTATTCCGCATTTTTTGCCGATACGCACACATTGGAATTTCGCTAACTCCTCCGAAGGCTTTCGTTCCACCGGCACCACATTTGCTCAGGCCAATCTACACCCCATGGCCATTAAAAGTTATTCAAATCATGATGCTGCACCCCATGGTTTAGGTTCTAGGGGGCGCCAAAAATAACCCAAAAATCCACATTCTTAAATGTTTTATAACTTTTTATTTTTGTCCTCACTGGCCTCCAAGTTTTCTAGGATGATGCAATGTCCAGCCATCAACACATTTGTGAAGGAATTTTTACTCCCCAAAAGAGCGCCCCCCCATGGTAGGAGAAAAAAGTCAATTTTTTCTTGTCCCCTTACATAAAAATACACATTGTTGAGTGTCACGCCTGAACGCTTTGTCATATTGACACAAAAATTGACAATCACGTGTATCTCAATTAGATCTACGAAAAAGTCAAAGAGCGCGTATCTGTATAATGTACGGTTAAAGGGCTATTTTGCATTTTTTGCCGATTCGCACACATTGGAATGTGGCTATCTCCTCCTAAGGCTTTCGTCCCACCGATACCAAATTTGCTCAGGGCAATCTACACCCCATGCCCATTCAAAGTTGTAAAAATCATGACGCTGCACCCCACGGTTTACGTTCTAGGGGGCGCCAAAGATGACCCAAAAATCCACATTCTTAAAAGTCATTTTGGCCACTGCAGGAGTACAGAGTACTGCAGTTCTAGGGGGCGCCAAAGATGACCCAAAAATCCACATTCTTAAAAGTCTTTTTGGCCACTGCAGGAGTACAGAGTACTGCAGGATACACACACATATACACACACGCCAACATACACACACACACACACACACACACACACACACACACACACACACACACGCACACAGACACACACACACACACACACACACACACACACACTCAGAGTCTGTTTTTTAGCACCTGCAAAAACATGCTGTTTACATATTTGACAAGAATGCAGAGGCTTCCTTTTGCCCCTGAAAAAAATCAAATTTCAAACACAACTTGACTGTTCATTTCTCCAAAAGACAACCATGAAGCTCCATTTCAAACCTGAAGCAGATAGTTGGTGCATGTGTACAGTAACCTGAGGGGAGTGAGGTGACTATTTCTGAGGAGAACATGAGCAGTGAAGATTCACCTTGGAGCTAGAACAGCGACGTGCACATGATTATACAGGGGCAGGGGCTCAAGTTTTTTCCAGTCATTTATACAATATGGAAATTAATGTGAAATTAAACCACAAATATGTGTGATGAACTGTTTTTAAAACTTAAACTTCAAATAAAAATTGTAAACTTCAAAACATATGCAAATTTTTAACAAAGAACATAGTAATTTACCTCTATTTACATCAAAATGCAGGCAATGGCCCAGGCGTTCTTTGTAAAATTATTTACAAAACACTGTATAGTCTCACAAATCTCACTTTTTATTTATGCCACTACAAAAAAACATGATGTAAATGATGCATGATGTAAAACATGATGTAAAAAACTTGTGTAGATCCTCCTCTATGTCAGTCCATGTGTAATTTTTCCATAATTCTTTGTTTTTTGCAGCATTTTTGTTAGTGTAACTGCAGATTGTGCTGACAGTGTCTATGGCACAAAAAAAAAAAAAAATTAAAATGCCTCAACATGAACCCCTGGTGGTCTCTGAGGGTGAAACCTGCTAACTGCTGCAGCTCTGTCAGCTTCAGTCTCCCATGCAGAGCTCTGAGCGCATGTGTGGCTCTGCACCCTTAGCAGCGTTGCTAACTCCTCAGTAAGGAAAGCCTGCTTCATGTCAGAGTCTCTAAACTCCAGAAGAAGTCGATAAAAGTCCCTTTCTTTCTAAAAAAAGTCGTTAGGGGGTCTGAAAAGTCATTGAATCTAACAACAAAGTCGCTAGGTTTGCAACTACGTGTCCCAGACTGCATCCCTGCTGAGAGTCCCTCCCTCGCTTCTCATGTTGCAGGAAGAACGTAAGCGCCCGCCCCTTGTCAATCAGTCACCATATAATTTTGGATTGGTTGTTGTGGTGAAGTTTTCCACCAATAGGAGAGATGTTGTGGTGTGTTTTTTTTTTCTTTTGGCAAGCCTTTTCCGCCTGTAAGACCTGTCGCTAATGTCTGCATGCTATGTTTTCCTGTCTCATACAGCGCGATCGAGCGCCGAACGTGATCAAAATAAGCAGAAAAAAAGTATCGCGGACATAATTTATCATAACTCTGGTTTTATTTGGCCTATCAACACAATTTAAAAACTGGTATATAGGTTGAGGTCCTCACTTTTGAGATAAGTTGAAACGGAGAGTCAACGAGGCTCCGTCTTGCAGCTACATCCGGTTAAATATGTCATGTGACTTGAACGCACACGCAGACACACACACGCACACACACACACACACTCAGAGTCTGGTTTTTAGCACCTGCAAAAACATGCTATTTACATATTTGACAAGAATGCAGAGGCTCCTTTTGCCCCTGAAAAAAATCAAATTTCAAACACAACTTGACTGGTCATTTCTCCAAAAGACAACCATGAAGCTCCATCCAAACCTGAAGCAGGCAGTTGGTGCATGTGTACAGTAACCTGAGGGGAGTGAGGTGAGTGCTTCTGAGGAGAACATGAGCAGTGTAGATTCACCTTGGAGCTAGAACAGAGACATGCACATGATTATACAGGGGCAGGGGCTCAAGTTTTTTCCAGTCGTTTATACAATATGGAAATTAATGTGAAATTAAAACACAAAGTATTAATAGAAAGGTAATGACTGTCCTGTGTAGGTGACAGTGATATCCAATAGGCTAGGCACTCACGAGGCTGGCTGTGGCAAGTGTAAGTGAAAGCAACACGCACTGGCAGGAAGAACAGCAAACGCCGATGAAGGAAAAGGGTCTTTGCAGTGATGGGCGTTAACAGAGAGGGCGATGGCCAGAGGACACAAATGGGACGGGGAGGCAGCGCGTTGGGGGGGGGACGCGACACAGCTCGGGCCCGCCAGTGCCCCAACGGGGTCCTAGTTAGGGCCCGAGCCAGCTGCAGAGCAGCCGGGCGTAGGCCCTATTATTCCCCAAGTGGTTTTTCTTTGTTTCTTTCTTTCTTTAGGGCCCGAGCCAGCTGCAGAGCAGCCGGGCGTAGGCCCTATTATTCCCCAAGTGGTTTTTCTTTGTTTCTTTCTTTCTTTTTTCTTTTTCCTCCCCTTTGAACTGGAAAATGGCCCACTTCCCACTGGCGAAAACTCATGAAATTTGGCAGGACGACCGGGCCTGGTGAAAAATTTGATATTCTGAAGTCGCCAAAACAATAAAATGCAAAATGGCTCCATAGCGCCCCCTAAGGTGAAAATTCACACTATTCACTGTCACGACTGTACGCTTTGTCAAAATGACACAAAAATTGACACACATATGTATCTCAATAAGATCTACAAAAAAGTCAGTGCGGCCGTATCTGTCAAAATTACGGTTAAAGGGTTATTACGCATTTTTTGCCGATCCGCACACATTGGAATTTCGCTAACTCCTCCGAAGGCTTTCGTTCCACCGGCACCACATTTGCTCAGGCCAATCTACACCCCATGGCCATTAAAAGTTATCAAAATCATGACGCTGCACCCCAAGGTTTAGGTTCTAGGGGGCGCCAAAGATAACACTAAAATCCACATATTTAAAAGTCTTATAACTTTTTATTTTTGTCCTCACTGGCCTCCAAGTTTTCTAGGATGATGCAATGTCCAGCCATCAACACATTTGTGAAGGAATTTTTACTCCCCAAAAGAGCGCCCCCCCATGGCAGGAGAAAAAAGTCCATTTTTTCTTGTCCCCCAAGGTGAAAATACACATTGTTGAGTGTCACGCCTATACGCTTTGTCAAAATGACACAAAAATTGACACACACATGTATCTCAATAAGATCTACGAAAAAGTCAATGCGCGCGTATCTGTCAAATGTACGGTTAAAGGGTTATTCCGCATTTTTTGCCGATCCGCACACATTGGAATGTGGCTAACTCCTCCTAAGGCTTTCGTTCCACCGGCACCACATTTGCTCAGGCCAATCTACACCCCATGGCCATTAAAAGTTATTCAAATCATGACGCTGCACCCCACGGTTTAGGTTCTAGGGGGCGCCAAAGACAACCCTAAAATCCACATATTTAAAAGTCTTATAACTTTTTATTTTTGTCCTCACTGGCCTCCAAGTTTTCTAGGATGATGCAATGTCCAGCCATCAACACATTTGTGAAGGAATTTTTACTCCCCAAAAGAGCGCCCCCCCATGGCAGGAGAAAAAAGTCCATTTTTTCTTGTCCCCCAAGGTGAAAATACATATTGTTGAGATTCACGCCTATACGCTTTGTCATAATGACACAAAATTTGACAATCACGTGCCTTGCCTGGTATCATTTTTTTTCAGCACAACCTCACCTGTGCGAATTTACAGTTATTTTATCATGTTGACATACTGAATTTACACAATGGACCCAAATTCACACACAAAACATAAAATCCGAGTGGAAAAAAGTAACATTTTTACTGTGAAAACCACAAATATGTGTGATGAACTGTTTTTAAAACTTAAACTTCAAATAAAAATTGTAAACTTCAAAACATATGCAAATTTTTAACAAAGAACATAGTGATTTACCTCTATTTACATCAAAATGCAGGCAATGGCCCAGGCGTTCTTTGTAAAATTATTTACAAAACACTGTATAGTCTCACAAATGTCACTTTTTATTTATGCCACTACAAAAAACATGATGTAAATGATGCATGATGTAAAACATGATGTAAAAAACTTGTGTAGATCCTCCTCTATGTCAGTCCATGTGTAATTTTTCCATAATTCTTTGTTTTTTGCAGCATTTTTGTTAGTGTAACTGCAGATTGTGCTGACAGTGTCTATGGCACAAAAAAAAAAAAAATTAAAATGCCTCAACATAAACCCCTGGTGGTCTCTGAGGGTGAAACCTGCTAACTGCTGCAGCTCTGTCAGCTTCAGTCTCCCATGCAGAGCTCTGAGCGCATGTGTGGCTCTGCACCCTTAGCAGCGTTGCTAACTCCTCAGTAAGGAAAGCCTGCTTCATGTCAGAGTCTCTAAACTCCAGAAGAAGTCGATAAAAGTCCCTTTCTTTCTAAAAAAAAGTTGTTAGTGGGTCTGAAAAGTCATTGAATCTAACAACAAAGTCGCTAGGTTTGCAACTACGTGTCCCAGACTGCATCCCTGCTGAGAGTCCCTCCCTCCCTTCTCATGTTGCAGGAAGAACGTAAGCGCCCTCCCCTTGTCAATCAGTCACCATATAATTTTGGATTGGTTGTTGTGGTGAAGTTTTCCACCAATAGGAGAGATGTTGTGGTGTGTTTTTTTTTCTTTTGGCAAGCCTTTTCCGCCTGTAAGACCTGTCGCTAATGTCTGCATGCTATGTTTTCCTGTCTCATACAGCGCGATCGAGCGCCGAACGTGATCAAAATAAGCAGAAAAAAAGTATCGCGGACATAATTTATCATAACTCTGGTTTTATTTGGCCTATCAACACAATTTAAAAACTGGTATATAGGTTGAGGTCCTCACTTTTGAGATAAGTTGAAACGGAGAGTCAACGAGGCTCCGTCTTGCAGCTACATCCGGTTAAATATGTCATGTGACTTGAACGCACACACACACACAGACACACACACTCAGAGTCTGGTTTTTAGCACCTGCAAAAACATGCTATTTACATATTTGACAAGAATGCAGAGGCTCCTTTTGCCCCTGAAAAAAATCAAATTTCAAACACAACTTGACTGGTCATTTTTCTTCAAAAGACAACCATGAAGCTCCATCCAAACCTGAAGCAGGCAGTTGGTGCATGTGTACAGTAACCTGAGGGGAGTGAGGTGAGTGCTTCTGAGGAGAACATGAGCAGTGAAGATTCACCTTGGAGCTAGAACAGAGACATGCACATGATTATACAGGGGCAGGGGCTCAAGTTTTTTCCAGTCGTTTATACAATATGGAAATTAATGTGAAATTAAAACACAAAGTATTAATAGAAAGGTAATGACTGTCCTGTGTAGGTGACAGTGATATCCAATAGGCTAGGCGCTCACGAGGCTGGCTGTGGCAAGTGTAAGTGAAAGCAACACGCACTGGCAGGAAGAACAGCAAACGCCGATGAAGGAAAAGGGTCTTTGCAGTGATGGGCGTTACCAGAGAGGGCGATGGCCAGAGGACACAAATGGGACGGGGAGGCAGCACGTTGGGGGGGGGGGGGGCGACACGGCTCGGGCCCGCCAGTGCCCCAACGGGGTCCTAGTGTTATTATTAGGGCCCGAGCGTAGCTGCTAAGCAGCTGCGAGAGCCCTCTTGTTAGGGCCCGAGCGTAGCTGCTAAGCAGCTGCGAGAGCCCTATTATTCCCCAAGTGGTTTTTCTTTGTTTCTTTTTTCTTTTTCCTCCCCTTTGAACTGGAAAATGGCCCACTTCCCACTGGCGAAAACTCATGAAATTTGGCAGGACGACCGGGCCTGGTGAAAAATTTGATATTCCGAAGTCGCCCAAACAAGAAAATGCAAAATGGCTCCATAGCGCCCCCTAAGGTGAAAATTCACACTATTGACTGTCACGCCTGTACGCTTTGTCATATTGACACAAAATTTGACACACACATGTATCTCAATAAGATCTACAAAAAAGTCAGTGCGGGCGTATCTGTAAAATGTACGGTTAAAGGGTTATTTCGCATTTTTTGCCGATCCGCACACATTGGAATTTCGCTAACTCCTCCGAAGGCTTTCGTTCCACCGGCACCACATTTGCTCAGGCCAATCTACACCCCATGGCCATTAAAAGTTATTCAAATCATGACGCTGCACCCCACGGTTTAGGTTCTAGGGGGCGCCAAAGATAACCCTAAAATCCACATATTTCAAAGTCTTATAACTTTTTATTTTTGCCCTCACTGGCCTCCAAGTTTTCTAGGATGATGCAATGTCCAGCCATCAACACATTTGTGAAGGAATTTTTACTCCCCAAAAGAGCGCCCCCCCATGGCAGGAGAAAAAAGTCCATTTTTTCTTGTCCCCTAAGGTGAAAATACACATTGTTGAGTGTCACGCCTGTACGCTTTGTCAAAATGACACAAAAATTGACACACACATGTATCTCAATAAGATCTACAAAAAAGTCAATGAGCGCGTATCTGTCAAATGTACGGTTAAAGGGTTATTCCGCATTTTTTGCCGATTCGCACACATTGGAATTTCGCTAACTCCTCCGAAGGCTTTCGTTCCACCGGCACCACTTTTGCTCAGGCCAAATTACACCCCATGGCCATTAAAAGTTATTCAAATCATGACGCTGCACCCCACGGTTTACGTTCTAGGGGGCGCCAAAGATAACCCAAAAATCCACATTTTTAAAAGTCTTATAACTTTTTATTTTTGTCCTCACTGGCCTCCAAGTTTTCTAGGATGATGCAATGTCCAGCCATCAACACATTTGTGAAGGAATTTTTACTCCCTAAAAGAGCGCCCCCCCATGGCAGGAGAAAAAAGTCCATTTTTTCTTGTCCCCTAAGGTGAAAATACACATTGTTGACTGTCACGCCTGTACGCTTTGGCAAAATGACACAAAAATTGACAATCATGTGTATCTCAATTAGATCTACGAAAAAGTCAAAGAGCGCGTATCTGTCAAATGTACGGTAAAAGGGCTATTTTGCATTTTTTGCCGATTCGCACACATTGGAATTTCGCTAACTCCTCCTAAGGCTTTCGTCCCACTGACACCAAATTTGCTCAGGCCAATCTACACTCCATGGCCATTCAAAGTTGTAAAAATCATGACGCTGCACCCCACGGTTTACGTTTTAGGGGGCGCCAAAGATGACCCAAATATACATTACAGTAGACAAAGTAGTTTTGCCCACTGAGTGGCGCCAAAGGGACTTGTCTGTGGAGTCTGTGAGTCACTATTGGCCGTTTTTGACTACTTTAGATTTTACCTTTATATTTCCTCTTACAAAATTTTTACCTTGCCTTGCCTGGTATCATTTTTTTCAGCACAACCTCACCTGTGTCAATTTACAGTTATTTTATCATTTTGACATACTATATTTACACATTGGACCCAAATTCACACACAAAACATAAAATCCGAGTGGAAAAAAGTAACGTTTTTACTGTGAAAACCACAAATATGTGTGATGAACTGTTTTTAAAACTTAAACTTCAAATAAAAATTGTAAACTTCAAAACATATGCAAATTTTTAACAAAGAACATAGTAATTTACCTCTATTTACATCAAAATGCAGGCAATGGCCCAGGCGTTCTTTGTAAAATTATTTACAAAACACTGTATAGTCTCACAAATGTCACTTTTTATTTATGCCACTACAAAAAAACATGATGTAAATGATGCATGATGTAAAACATGATGTAAAAAACTTGTGTAGATCCTCCTCTATGTTAGTCCATGTGTAATTTTTCCATAATTCTTTGTTTTTTGCAGCATTTTTGTTAGTGTAACTGCAGATTGTGCTGACAGTGTCTATGGCAAAAAAAAAAAAAAAACTGAAAATGCCTCAACATGAACCCCTGGTGGTCTCTGAGGGTGAAACCTGCTAACTGCTGCAGCTCTGTCAGCTTCAGTCTCCCATGCAGAGCTCGGAGCGCATGTGTGGCTCTGCACCCTAAGCAGCGTTGCTAACTCCTCAGTAAGGAAAGCCTGCTTCATGTCAGAGTCTCTAAACTCCAGAAGAAGTCGATAAAAGTCACTTTCTCTCTAAAAAAAAGTCGTTAGGGGGTCTGAAAAGTCATTGAATCTAACAACAAAGTCGCTAGGTTTGCAACTACGTGTCCCAGACTGCATCCCTGCTGAGAGTCCCTCCCTCCCTTCTCATATTGCAGGAAGAACGTAAGCGCCCGCCCCTTGTCAATCAGTCACCATATAATTTTGGATTGGTTGTTGTGGTGAAGTTTTCCACCAATAGGAGAGATGTTGTGGTGTGTTTTTTTTTTCCTTTGGCAAGCCTTTTCCGCCTGTAAGACCTGTCGCTAATGTCTGCATGCTATGTTTTCCTGTCTCATACAGCGCGATCGAGCGCCGAACGTGATCAAAATAAGCAGAAAACAAGTATCGCGGACATAATTTATCATAACTCTGGTTTTATTTGGCCTATCAACACAATTTAAAAACTGGTATATAGGTTGAGGTCCTCACTTTTGAGATAAGTTGAAACGGAGAGTCAACGAGGCTCCGTCTTGCAGCTACATCCGGTTAAATATGTCATGTGACTTGAACGCACACACACACACACACACACAGACACGCACACACACACACGCACACACACACACTCAGAGTCTGGTTTTTAGCACCTGCAAAAACATGCTATTTACATATTTGACAAGAATGCAGAGGCTCCTTTTGCCCCTGAAAAAAATCAAATTTCAAACACAACTTGACTGGTCATTTCTCCAAAAGACAACCATGAAGCTCCATCCAAACCTGAAGCAGGCAGTTGGTGCATGTGTACAGTAACCTGAGGGGAGTGAGGTGACTGCTTCTGAGGAGAACATGAGCAGTGAAGATTCACCTTAGAGCTAGAACAGAGACGTGCACATGATTATACAGGGGCAGGGGCTCAAGTTTTTTCCAGTTGTTTATACAATATGGAAATTAATGTGAAATTAAAAAACAAAGTATTAATAGAAAGGTAATGACTGTCCTGTGTAGGTGACAGTGATATCCAATAGGCTAGGCACTCACGAGGCTGGCTGTGGCAAGTGTAAGTGAAAGCAACACGCACTGGCAGGAAGAACAGCAAACGCAGATGAAGGAAAAGGGTCTTTGCAGTGATGGGCGTTACCAGAGAGGGCGATGGCCAGAGGACACAAATGGGACGGGGAGGCAGCGCGTTGGGGGGGGACGCGACACAGCTCGGGCCCGCCAGTGCCCCAACGGGGTCCTAGTTTTTCTTTTTCCTCCCCTTTGAACTGGAAAATGGCCCACTTCCCACTGGCGAAAACTCATGAAATTTGGCAGGATGACCGGGCCTGGTGAAAAATTCGATATTCTGAAGTCGCCCAAACAATAAAATGCAAAATGGCTCCATAGCGCCCCCTAAGGTGGAAATTCACACTATTGACTGTCACGCCTGTACGCTTTGTCATATTGACACAAAAATTGACACACATATGTATCTCAATAAGATCTACAAAAAAGTCAGTGCGGCCGTATCTGTCAAAATTACGGTTAAAGGGTTATTTCGCATTTTTTGCCGATCTGCACACATTGGAATTTCGCTAACTCCTCCGAAGGCTTTCGTTCCACCGGCACCACATTTGCTCAGGCCAATCTACACCCCGTGGCCATTAAAAGTTATCAAAATCATGACGCTGCACCCCAAGGTTTAGGTTCTAGGGGGCGCCAAAGATAACACTAAAATCCACATATTTAAAAGTCTTATAACTTTTTATTTTTGTCCTCACTGGCCTCCAAGTTTTCTAGGATGATGCAATGTCCAGCCATCAACACATTTGTGAAGGAATTTTTACTCCCCAAAAGAGCGCCCCCCATGGCAGGAGAAAAAAGTCCATTTTTTCTTGTCCCCTAAGGTGAAAATACACATTGTTGAGTGTCACGCCTATACGCTTTGTCAAAATGACACAAAAATTGACACACACATGTAACTCAATAAGATCTACGAAAAAGTCAATGCGCGCGTATCTGTCAAATGTACGGTTAAAGGGTTATTTCGCATTTTTTGCCGATCCGCACACATTGGAATTTCGCTAACTCCTCCGAAGGCTTTCGTTCCACCGGCACCACATTTGCTCAGGCCAATCTACACCCCGTGGCCATTAAAAGTTATCAAAATCATGACGCTGCACCCCACGGTTTACGTTCTAGGGGGCGCCAAAGATAACCCTAAAATCCACATATTTAAAAGTCTTATAACTTTTTATTTTTGTCCTCACTGGCCTCCAAGTTTTCTAGGATGATGCAATGTCCAGCCATCAACACATTTGTGAAGGAATTTTTACTCCCCAAAAGAGCGCCCCCCCATGGCAGGAGAAAAAAGTCCATTTTTTCTTGTCCCCTAAGGTGAAAATACATATTGTTGAGATTCACGCCTATACGCTTTGTCATATTGACACAAAATTTGACAATCACATGTATCTCAATCAGATCTACGAAAAAGTCTATGCGCGCGTATCTGTAAAATGTACGGTTAAAGGGCTATTTTGCATTTTTTGCCGATTCGCACACATTGGAATGTGGCTAACTCCTCCTAAGGCTTTCGTCCCACTGACACCAAATTTGCTCAGGCCAATCTACACCCCATGGCCATTCAAAGTTGTAAAAATCATGACGCTGCACCCCACGGTTTACGTTCTAGGGGGCGCCAAAGATGACCCAAATATCCACATTCTTAAAAGAATCCACATCCCCCCCCATCCCCCATCCCCCATGGCAGGAGAAACAGTCAAGTTTTTCCTGCCCATCACTCAATGGCTCATTCGCATCACTCTCCCGGCAACACCGTAACGAGGAGCAACTTGCCGTTTGGATATATCCTAGCTGTGTTTGTGCCCTCACTCATGGTCCAGACTTTTTTCAAAAAGGACATGTAGTTTGTCTGCAGCGAGTGTTTTGGTAGAAACTGCGCCTCCCATTCATTATAATGGGAAATGACCACAGACAGGTGCGCACACCATCTTTGGACCTTGAGTGTGACGCGATCGGGAGGGGTAGGCGGTGGCGCTGGGGGCGGCGCAACGCGGCTCGGGCCCGACAGTGCCCCACCGGGGTCCTAGTTAGGGCCCGAGCGTAGCTGCTAAGCAGCTGCGAGAGCCCTATTATTCCCCAAGTGGTTTTTCTTTGTTTCTTTCTTTCTTTCTTTCTTTCTTTCTTTCTTCTTTTTCCTCCCCTTTGAACTGGAAAATGGCCCACTTCCCACTGGCGAAAACTCATGAAATTTGGCAGGACGACTGGGCCTGGTGAAAAATTCGATATTCTGAAGTCGCCCAAACAATAAAATGCAAAATGGCTCCATAGCGCCCCCTAAGGTGGAAATTCACACTATTGACTGTCACGCCTGTACGCTTTGTCATATTGACACAAAAATTGACACACATATGTATCTCAATAAGATCTACAAAAAAGTCAGTGCGGCCGTATCTGTCAAAATTACGGTTAAAGGGTTATTTCGCATTTTTTGCCGATCCGCACACATTGGAATTTCACTAACTCCTCCGAAGGCTTTCGTTCCACCGGCACCACATTTGCTCAGGCCAATCTACACCCCGTGGCCATTAAAAGTTATCAAAATCATGACGCTGCACCCCAAGGTTTAGGTTCTAGGGGGCGCCAAAGATAACACTAAAATCCACATATTTAAAAGTCTTATAACTTTTTATTTTTGTCCTCACTGGCCTCCAAGTTTTCTAGGATGATGCAATGTCCAGCCATCAACACATTTGTGAAGGAATTTTTACTCACCAAAAGAGCGCCCCCCCATGGCATGAGAAAAAAGTCCATTTTTTCTTGTCCCCTAAGGTGAAAATACACATTGTTGAGTGTCACGCCTATACGCTTTGTCAAAATGACACAAAAATTGACACACACATGTAACTCAATAAGATCTACGAAAAAGTCAATGCGTGCGTATCTGTCAAATGTACGGTTAAAGGGTTATTCCGCATTTTTTGCCGATCCGCACACATTGGAATGTGGCTAACTCCTCCTAAGGCTTTCGTTCCACCGGCACCACATTTGCTCAGGCCAATCTACACCCCATGGCCATTAAAAGTTATTCAAATCATGACGCTGCACCCCACGGTTTAGGTTCTAGGGGGCGCCAAAGATAACCCTAAAATCCACATATTTAAAAGTCTTATAACTTTTTATTTTTGTCCTCACTGGCCTCCAAGTTTTCTAGGATGATGCAATGTCCAGCCATCAACACATTTGTGAAGGCATTTTTACTCCCCAAAAGAGCGCCCCCCCATGGCAGGAGAAAAAAGTCCATTTTTTCTTGTCCCCTAAGGTGAAAATACATATTGTTGAGATTCACGCCTATACGCTTTGTCATATTGACACAAAATTTGACAATCACGTGCCTTGCCTGGTATCATTTTTTTCAGCACAACCTCACCTGTGCGAATTTACAGTTATTTTATCATGTTGACATACTGAATTTACACAATGGACCCAAATTCACACACAAAACATAAAATCCGAGTGGAAAAAAGTAACATTTTTACTCTGAAAACCACAATTATGTGTGATGAACTGTTTTTAAAACTTAGACTTCAAATAAAAATTGTAAACTTCAAAACATATGCAAATTTTTAACAAAGAACATAGTGATTTACCTCTATTTACATCAAAATGCAGGCAATGGCCCAGGCGTTCTTTGTAAAATTATTTACAAAACACTGTATAGTCTCACAAATGTCACTTTTTATTTATGCCACTACAAAAAAACATGATGTAAATGATGCATGATGTAAAACATGATGTAAAAAACTTGTGTAGATCCTCCTCTATGTCAGTCCATGTGTAATTTTTCCATAATTCTTTGTTTTTTGCAGCATTTTTGTTAGTGTAACTGCAGATTGTGCTGACAGTGTCTATGGCACAAAAAAAAAATTTAAAATGCCTCAACATGAACCCCTGGTGGTCTCTGAGGGTGAAACCTGCTAACTGCTGCAGCTCTGTCAGCTTCAGTCTCCCATGCAGAGCTCTGAGCGCATGTGTGGCTCTGCACCCTTATCAGCGTTGCTAACTCCTCAGTAAGGAAAGCCTGCTTCATGTCAGAGTCTCTAAACTCCAGAAGAAGTCGATAAAAGTCCCTTTCTTTCTAAAAAAAAGTCGTTAGGGGGTCTGAAAAGTCATTGAATCTAACAACAAAGTCGCTAGGTTTGCAACTACGTGTCCCAGACTGCATCCCTGCTGAGAGTCCCTCCCTCGCTTCTCATGTTGCAGGAAGAACGTAAGCGCCCGCCCCTTGTCAATCAGTCACCATATAATTTTGGATTGGTTGTTGTGGTGAAGTTTTCCACCAATAGGAGAGATGTTGTGGTGTGTTTTTTTTTTCTTTTGGCAAGCCTTTTCCGCCTGTAAGACCTGTCGCTAATGTCTGCATGCTATGTTTTCCTGTCTCATACAGCGCGATCGAGCGCCGAACGTGATCAAAATAAGCAGAAAAAAAGTATCGCGGACATAATTTATCATAACTCTGGTTTTATTTGGCCTATCAACACAATTTAAAAACTGGTATATAGGTTGAGGTCCTCACTTTTGAGATAAGTTGAAACGGAGAGTCAACGAGGCTCCGTCTTGCAGCTACATCCGGTTAAATATGTCATGTGACTTGAACGCACACACAGACACACACACACGCACACACACACACACACACACACACACACACACACACACACTCAGAGTCTGGTTTTTAGCACCTGCAAAAACATGCTGTTTACATATTTGACAAGAATGCAGAGGCTCCTTTTGCCCCTGAAAAAAATCAAATTTCAAACACAACTTGACTGGTCATTTCTCCAAAAGACAACCATGAAGCTCCATCCAAACCTGAAGCAGGCAGTTGGTGCATGTGTACAGTAACCTGAGGGGAGTGAGGTGAGTGCTTCTGAGGAGAACATGAGCAGTGAAGATTCACCTTGGAGCTAGAACAGAGACATGCACATGATTATACAGGGGCAGGGGCTCAAGTTTTTTCCAGTCGTTTATACAATATGGAAATTAATGTGAAATTAAAACACAAAGTATTAATAGAAAGGTAATGACTGTCCTGTGTAGGTGACAGTGATATCCAATAGGCTAGGCACTCACGAGGCTGGCTGTGGCAAGTGTAAGTGAAAGCAACACGCACTGGCAGGAAGAACAGCAAACGCCGATGAAGGAAAAGGGTCTTTGCAGTGATGGGCGTTACCAGAGAGGGCGATGGCCAGAGAACACAAATGGGACGGGGAGGCAGCACGTTGGGGGGGGACGCGACACGGCTCGGGCCCGCCAGTGCCCCAACGGGGTCCTAGTTATTATTTTTCCTCCCCTTTGAACTGGAAAATGGCCCACTTCCCACTGGCGAAAACTCATGAAATTTGGCAGGACGACCGGGCCTGGTGAAAAATTTGATATTCCGAAGTCGCCCAAACAAGAAAATGCAAAATGGCTCCATAGCGCCCCCTAAGGTGAAAATTCACACTATTCACTGTCACGCCTGTACGCTTTGTCAAAATGACACAAAAATTGACACACACATGTATCTCAATAAGATCTACAAAAAAGTCAGTGCGGGCGTATCTGTCAAATGTACGGTTAAAGGGTTATTTCGCATTTTTTGCCGATCCGCACACATTGGAATTTCGCTAACTCCTCCGAAGGCTTTCGTTCCACCGGCACCACATTTGCTCAGGCCAATCTACACCCCATGGCCATTAAAAGTTATTCAAATCATGACGCTGCACCCCACGGTTTAGGTTCTAGGGGGCGCCAAAGATAACCCTAAGATCCACATATTTAAAAGTCTTATAACTTTTTATTTTTGCCCTCACTGGCCTCCAAGTTTTCTAGGATGATGCAATGTCCAGCCATCAACACATTTGTGAAGGAATTTTTACTCCCCAAAAGAGCGCCCCCCATGGCAGGAGAAAAAAGTCCATTTTTTCTTGTCCCCTAAGGTGAAAATACACATTGTTGAGTGTCACGCCTATACGCTTTGTCAAAATGACACAAAAATTGACACACACATGTAACTCAATAAGATCTACAAAAAAGTCCATGCGCGCGTATCTGTCAAATGTACAGTTAAAGGTTTATTCCGCATTTTTTGCCGATACGCACACATTGGAATTTCGCTAACTCCTCCGAAGGCTTTCGTTCCACCGGCACCACATTTGCTCAGGCCAATCTACACCCCATGGCCATTAAAAGTTATTCAAATCATGACGCTGCACCCCACGGTTTAGGTTCTAGGGGGCGCCAAAAATAACCCAAAAATCCACATTCTTAAATGTTTTATAACTTTTTATTTTTGTCCTCACTGGCCTCCAAGTTTTCTAGGATGATGCAATGTCCAGCCATCAACACATTTGTGAAGGAATTTTTACTCCCCAAAAGAGCGCCCCCCCATGGTAGGAGAAAAAAGTCAATTTTTTCTTGTCCCCTTACATAAAAATACACATTGTTGAGTGTCACGCCTGAACGCTTTGTCATATTGACACAAAAATTGACAATCATGTGTATCTCAATTAGATCTACGAAAAAGTCAAAGAGCGCGTATCTGTATAATGTACGGTTAAAGGGCTATTTTGCATTTTTTGCCGATTCGCACACATTGGAATGTGGCTATCTCCTCCTAAGGCTTTCGTCCCACCGATACCAAATTTGCTCAGGGCAATCTACACCCCATGCCCATTCAAAGTTGTAAAAATCATGACGCTGCACCCCACGGTTTACGTTCTAGGGGGCGCCAAAGATGACCCAAAAATCCACATTCTTAAAAGTCATTTTGGCCACTGCAGGAGTACAGAGTACTGCAGTTCTAGGGGGCGCCAAAGATGACCCAAAAATCCACATTCTTAAAAGTCTTTTTGGCCACTGCAGGAGTACAGAGTACTGCAGGATACACACACATATACACACACGCCAACATACACACACACACACACACACACACACACACACACACACACACACACAGACACACACACACACTCAGAGTCTGTTTTTTAGCACCTGCAAAAACATGCTGTTTACATATTTGACAAGAATGCAGAGGCTTCCTTTTGCCCCTGAAAAAAATCAAATTTCAAACACATCTTGACTGTTCATTTCTCCAAAAGACAACCATGAAGCTCCATTTCAAACCTGAAGCAGATAGTTGGTGCATGTGTACAGTAACCTGAGGGGAGTGAGGTGACTATTTCTGAGGAGAACATGAGCAGTGAAGATTCACCTTGGAGCTAGAACAGGGACGTGCACATGATTATACAGGGGCAGGGGCTCAAGTTTTTTCCAGTCATTTATACAATATGGAAATTAATGTGAAATTAAACCACAAATATGTGTGATGAACTGTTTTTAAAACTTAAACTTCAAATAAAAATTGTAAACTTCAAAACATATGCAAATTTTTAACAAAGAACATAGTAATTTACCTCTATTTACATCAAAATGCAGGCAATGGCCCAGGCGTTCTTTGTAAAATTATTTACAAAACACTGTATAGTCTCACAAATGTCACTTTTTATTTATGCCACTACAAAAAAAACATGATGTAAATGATGCATGATGTAAAACATGATGTAAAAAACTTGTGTAGATCCTCCTCTATGTCAGTCCATGTGTAATTTTTCCATAATTCTTTGTTTTTTGCAGCATTTTTGTTAGTGTAACTGCAGATTGTGCTGACAGTGTCTATGGCACAAAAAAAAAAAAAAATTAAAATGCCTCAACATGAACCCCTGGTGGTCTCTGAGGGTGAAACCTGCTAACTGCTGCAGCTCTGTCAGCTTCAGTCTCCCATGCAGAGCTCTGAGCGCATGTGTGGCTCTGCACCCTTAGCAGCGTTGCTAACTCCTCAGTAAGGAAAGCCTGCTTCATGTCAGAGTCTCTAAACTCCAGAAGAAGTCGATAAAAGTCACTTTCTTTCTAAAAAAAAGTCGTTAGGGGGTCTGAAAAGTAATTGAATCTAACAACAAAGTCGCTAGGTTTGCAACTACGTGTCCCAGACTGCATCCCTGCTGAGAGTCCCTCCCTCCCTTCTCATATTGCAGGAAGAACGTAAGTTCCCGCCCCTTGTCAATCAGTCACCATATAATTTTGGATTGGTTGTTGTGGTGAAGTTTTCCACCAATAGGAGAGATGTTGTGGTGTGTTTTTTTTTTCTTTTGGCAAGCCTTTTCCGCCTGTAAGACCTGTCGCTAATGTCTGCATGCTATGTTTTCCTGTCTCATACAGCGCGATCGAGCGCCGAACGTGATCAAAATAAGCAGAAAAAAAGTATCGCGGACATAATTTATCATAACTCTGGTTTTATTTGGCCTATCAACACAATTTAAAAACTGGTATATAGGTTGAGGTCCTCACTTTTGAGGTAAGTTGAAACGGAGAGTCAACGAGGCTCCGTCTTGCAGCTACATCCGGTTAAATATGTCATGTGACTTGAACGCACACATAGACACACACACACACACACACACACACACACACACACACACACACACACACACACACTCAGAGTCTGGTTTTTAGCACCTGCAAAAACATGCTATTTACATATTTGACAAGAATGCAGAGGCTCCTTTTGCCCCTGAAAAAAATCAAATTTCAAACACAACTTGACTGGTCATTTCTCCAAAAGACAACCATGAAGCTCCATCCAAACCTGAAGCAGGCAGTTGGTGCATGTGTACAGTAACCTGAGGGGAGTGAGGTGAGTGCTTCTGAGGAGAACATGAGCAGTGAAGATTCACCTTGGAGCTAGAACAGAGACATGCACATGATTATACAGGGGCAGGGGCTCAAGTTTTTTCCAGTCGTTTATACAATATGGAAATTAATGTGAAATTAAAACACAAAGTATTAATAGAAAGGTAATGACTGTCCTGTGTAGGTGACAGTGATATCGAATAGGCTAGGCACTCACGAGGCTGGCTGTGGCAAGTGTAAGTGAAAGCAACACGCACTGGCAGGAAGAACAGCAAACGCCGATGAAGGAAAAGGGTCTTTGCAGTGATGGGCGTTACCAGAGAGGGCGATGGCCAGAGGACACAAATGGGATGGGGAGGCAGCGCGTTGGGGGGGGGGGGGGGGGGGGGCGACACGGCTCGGGCCCGCCAGTGCCCCAACGGGGTCCTAGTCTATGATTGATGCTTGATAAAGCCCATGGGTGTACAAAGATTGCATAGCTCACCCAGGAGATACGCTGTTTGAGCTGAGCGTCATCACAGCGACTCTTGGTGACTCTTCCGCTGAATGCGTACAACGCTACTGTGCAATGTTGGTTTCCAGAAGCGGAGAAAAAAAAAACGGATATACAGAGAGCTTTTTGGCTTCAAATATACAGTATAGTATACTGGCGTATACTGGCGCAAGGCGGTACCGAGCTGTCCATAGTATATAAAGTCAATGGTTTTACCACAGTAAAAAGGTAGGCAGTAAATAAGCTCAAAGAGGCTAAAGGCTAAAACATATGGGAACTGCATTTAGCGCGTATTGGCAGCGTCACATATCACGCAGCAAATAGGTTGCCACTCTAATCTATGCAGCATCACATACAGGACGCATATCAGCTCAGTTGCAGCAGGAAATAGACTACAGAAAGGCAAAGCAACCCTTTGTGAGCATGTTGTTCCTTCTATATTGAGCCCAGCTGAACGAGGCTGTACCAAGCTACTGCCACGCTCCAAATATGCATCGTGTACGTGATAACCAGGGCTGCTCTATGGAGCAAAGACAGAACGCGTTCACTACAGATCCTGTATGTTTTTGGCTTAAAATTCTCCACGCAGCTTCACAGCCGTAAATGTGACTGTGTTCAGTATCATCTCAAGTGATCCTGAATTAAGAGTATCTTTATACATTCACGTGCCTGATTTTTTTTCCCCCATAGTTATAACAATTATGTTCTTGTGCAAAAGCACAACTTCCTGACAAATATCATGATTTCAGAAGGTTGCATCATGGGAAAATAATAAAATGAGGCCTCATTAAGTAGGCTATAGGGCAAAGCACCTGGTTGTGTTTTCTACAATAGGCTGCCCTTAAGCTGTATTATGGAGTGCACTAGTGCTTGAGGAGAAACACCTCCAGCACCTTAAATTTGCCCTTTTCCCCTTTGAATGATGTCGATTCTTTTCTTTTTTTCTATTGATATCTTTTGAATCAAACAATAGTCCCGTTTTTTTTGCTTTATTTGTCATTGATCGGATGCATCAAAACCCTCCTGAGATCCAATGAGGCTGATGTGCATCAAATTTCTGGTCTTCACCATCTTCACCCCATCAGCTGCGGCTGGACACTTGAATTTAGTCTCTTCTCCTCCTATCATGTACACATCTACGGAGCAACTATGCATTCATCTGAGCAGAGGAATGGCAGGTGCCCACTGCCCACAGGCTGGTGGTGCATTACTGTGCTGCGATGGGTGTTTTCACGCGTCACCAGTGGGCGCTTCTTCCTGCGCACAAAGAAAGCAGAGCCCGGGGATGCGCACAATGTGAGTCTCCGCTTGGGGCAACGCGGTCCGAAGCGCTTCTTGGCAGTGCCTCGCTGTGTGCAGTACGAAGAGGTGGAGGATCAACGACACACTATATAGGCTAGTGTATCATCCTCGGATGCCAACACCCGTGTACAGTGGAATATACCGCGAAAGAAGCTTTCAGTATTCCTTTTTTTGAGGACGCGCCTCAGACGGAACAGAATTAAGTGCAAAGCAGCAAATCACTGCTGGAACACAGCACAGCCTCTTCTTTGGCTCCCGTGCAGACTAGAGTTGCAGAGAGAAATGTTATCCGCGCCCTAAGCAGGATATACCACAGCTCACGTATACTGGAATACAACCAAAGCTATCTAATGAAGAGGAAAAAACACATGCTAGAAGAAGTAAGTATGCAATCAGAAAGCAGATCTGGCGTTTGCACACGTTCTTGCCCGTTTTCTTATTTGATATGGAAAGAATACAGACTATTGTGACATGGCTCGGCAAATATAGACACTCGTAAGTTTTTAACCTTTGCTTTTAAATGCAAATACAAATCTTTGATATGGGTTGACATGAGCTCAGCTGTGTTTTCGTCTAACACGCTGACATCTAGTAAAAGGAAACTCACTCATCGTGCATGCTTGTAGTGGCCACACATGCAGCATGAGAATATCTGCGTTTCCAGATGAGCCTCAGATTGTTTGAATGGTCCTGTAGGGATTTCTACGGTTGTAGCTCGTTTCCCTCATCTAGGACAAAGTCCATATGGTGCTGCTCTGCTCAGTCACACACAGAAAAAAACAGCCACCTGAAGAAAATCTCTCTTTTGACTTGGCAAAGAATAGCGTATATATATATATATATATATATATATATATATATATAGAGAGAGATATGTGTATATAGATATATATATGTATACTTCATGGACCCCATCTGGATGCTGAAAATGGTCATTCTAATGTATTCGTAAACCCTTTCTGCTCGATTTTTGTTGCAGTAAACTGCATGGAAGTGAGAATAAAAATAATGTAATAGATGAGCTTTTTTTGATTTTTTTTTTTCTTAGCCACCTGGAGTGGGTAAATATTTGTTTCCCTCTCTGGGCACCTAAAGGATGGACCTAGAAGCACAGCTTGTTCAATCTTCAAAGTGTTCCAGTCTTCAGCAGGGGTTGTCATCATTCTTCTGTTCATGTTTATTTATAGATCTTTTGCTGTTATTTTGAGTAACAGCCAAATATGGGGTAACAAACCCTTTTATGAAGCCATGAGGTAAATTATTCTATGATACAGCAATACCTAGAATAGCAGTGCACACAAGTGTTTGTAGTACCATTTGCTGACAAAAAAAAGAAAAAACTCTCCAATTGAACCGAAGTGGCAATTACTTGCCACAGTCGCTTTCTTTCTCCAGTGTGGCTGTAAAAATGGATTGAATAGCACAGCCCAGAAATATGTAAAGAGCCTGTGTGAGTGTCCTCATCCTTGACCTCCAGTCATGTGTTTTGTGGCTTCATCTAGAAATAGAGTTCAATGGATGTGGCTGCTGAAGGGGAAGAGAAATGGAGTGCTGCTCCCTTCTCTTTTAAAAGCACTTACTGTCCTGCCCCTGTATTAGGGAGCAACTGGGGGATGCAGCCAGGTCTAACATTGCCGGGTGTCAGTGGGGGCATCTGGCTGTCTTTCAGGGGTTGAGTAATTTTTGGCATTAACATATCTACAGCTGTGTACTGTCTGTAGAGCGTCCTTGTCATGTTTTTCTTTGCTGCTGCAGTGAAGGAATATTTGATGTGGAAGCGAGGTTGGATACCATTGAGTGTGAAAGTGCAAATTGTCTGTTGTTTAAATACCAAATGAAGAAAGAAGAAAAAAAAATGTCCCTGACTTCCACCCAAGTTTTTTTTATTTTCTATTTTAATTTAATTAATTTATTTTTTACAAGCGGTTATGTTCCATCTGTACTCATCTGTTAGTTGTCCTCAAGCGCTCCGGTATGACCTTAGCCTCAAGTCTAATCATCCTGTCCTATTCATACATGCAGAGTGATTCATTAGTCTACTGTGAGGTGGGCATTTGCTGTGCTTGAAATTAGATGAAAGAAAGTTCTCTTAAGAAAAGGAGCATTCAACCATTACTTTCACGAATTTTAATGTAAAGGCTATGAGTTTAAGAACAGTAAGATGAACTTCATAAAATATGATCTGCTGTGAGAGGCATTGTTTTCTCAGTTAAAACCATGTAAAGTTTTTTTAATGCAAACAGCACTGAAGAACTCCTCTGCACTTAGGATGGGCGACAAATGATCCTTCACGATAAATTGTCAGAAAAATCCTCCATGATAAATATTTGCCATCGCATCATAAATACGATAAATGCAAGTTGATGACACAAGTGTGAGTGACGGACTGGCAGCCATAGCCTATACAGAGCAGCATAACAAACAAACATGGCTGAAGGCAGTGGTGTTTTGGTCCCTGGAGAAGTGGGTATTCTCTCAATTTTCACCTTTTTTTTGGTTTTATTTTTCAAAGTAGTCCAGAAAAATGTCCTGTTTAAGAAACAGTGACATGTAAGACTACTCTATTTAGTTTACCCCAAAACCAGTCACTTCTACTCGCTCACTGTTATAAAATTATCATGACTTGAATAGGAGCAGTTTGTAGTTATTACCGGTCACACAAGCAACTTAGATGAATGTAACATGTATTTATCATGAGGCAAACATGGTGTTTCAGTTGCTTTTTGAACATTTATTTAAATAAAATACCTCAAATCTGAAGCTGACAATGCATCCTTGATCATATTTTATCTAAAAAATAAAACACACAAATCAATCTTTTCCACTGCCACTGACTTGAAAGATGTTTGTTCTGCCTTACTTGCATTTCCGCGCATCTTTCAAGGACACCTGTCAATCAACTGGAGTGGCACTGAGGTATTAGCAATATTTTCTGCGGCATGACCCGCCCTACTCTGCCTCTGATTGTTTCATCAGTCCTCATCCCTACAGTTGACCAATCTAATCAGAGAAGGCAGCGAGGACCAGCCAATTAGAGGGAGAGGAGGGTGGGTCATGGCTTCACCACCCTTGAGGAAAAAATGGGCAATCGGGGTGTTTTCAAATTTGAGACTTGTTTGATGTCATTAGCTTTCTCCATAACCTACCACTTAAACTTGTGGTCTAATTTGACTACTCCAACTGTTGTTCTCAATACAACAGGAGTCAAAAATATTGATTGGAATTATAATATTTGACATCAGGACTTTTATCATTATTACCAGAATGGCAAATCTTATCTTGATCATTTTTTAGCCCATATTGCCCATCCCTATTCTGCACCTTAACTTTCCTTAGCCCCTGCCTTGATAAACAGACATGAAAGTCCACCTTTGTTTTCTAATCACTTTTTAAACCTCAGTGACTCATGTGAAATAGAGTTGCTCAGGTCCTCAGTCAGCTGGAGTAAATTAGGAGGCATCAGTCCACAGTTGATTGTGAATTCTTCATCCTCTTGCCAAAGCACAGAGCAGCTGTGTATTCAGATGCAGTTGCTCTCTAGTGGCTGATCCTTCTCTCAAAGATTCGATCGCTGAATGATTCAATGGAGATGGAGGTAGACAGTGATAAAGATAATAACTTGTGGGAATTAAAGTATATTCTGTTGTGCAGTCAGTGGTGTACATGAAGGACACAGTTTTACATGATGGTAGGTCTTTCAGCTCTGTGTACTGCATGTGATCCGAATACAGACCTTGATCATGCACATCCCTACAATAGGATCTCTCCTCTACCTCATTAGATTCTTTGGCAATCATGCTGCCCTCATGGGGGAAATGGATGCCTTTAACCACCTTTCCTATCAATTATGTGCCGAACGACAGCCCCTCTTAGCAAGAAGTCATCTCATTTACTCTGAACTGAGTTTAGACTAGGAATGGGAATTTTAACACAGTCCCTTGATTGATTAATCATAGAAATTAACAATCAATCATTGACTTGATTGGTTTTTTTTTTAATGCAAATGGCATAAGATACCCCCCACCCCTAGGACTGCATGCTACATGCTCACTCGCGCTTCCTACCTGCCCGGCTACCTTAATAACGGTTGTTTTCTTTCTCATCCGTGAAACGCTTAAAATCTGGGGACATTTCCTGGGAAAAACTTCAGCTGGGGACAGGTCATCCAAAACTGAGACTGTCGCCCAAAATCAGGGATGTCTGGTCCCTACAGATCCTCCTGAGCTGATGCAGTTTGTGACAGTTTCACAATTTCCTATGAGACTGGGTCAGCTGATGATAGGTTGAGATAAGAGCACTCTCTTATCCATTACCCTCAGTCGGATGTATGTGGTTCAAGTGGTACATCTTGGGGTCGTTATCCAGAGTTTGATTTTAGAGCTAAGGCCTTAAACTGGTCTTGCACTTTTAAGGTCCAAAATGGTACTATCTTTCATCAAACTTTGGTTGTTCTTCAATGGCTTTTGGCAAACCACAACAAATACTCCACTGACAGACACTAACAAGTTGTCCTCCGATGATGAACTTTAACATGGTAGATCAACCAACCTTTCTTCCTGGGGAGGAAGCATCAAACACAAAGATTCAAGATATCTGAACAAACTGGTGAAATAGACTGGCTCTGTGGTTGGACTCAAGCTGGACTCATTGGAGGATGTGGTGGAGAGATCTACACTGAGGAAGGTGGAGACTATTCTAAAGAACATGGATCACCCACTTCACAACACCTTAATGGACCAAAGGGCCAATGGTGGTGGACGGCTCCTCTCTCTTCGCTGCAGGACAGAAAGATTCAGAAGATCTTTTGTACCCACAGCCATCAGATTTTACAACTCTTCTGTAAATAGTAGATGACTTTTAGAGACATGGTAAATGAGAAGACAGACAATTGAATTTCCCTTCGGGGATCAATAAAGTTCCTCTCATCTTATCTTAACACAGTTAAAATAATTTAGCTTCAAAGCGAGCATTAAGCAGGCCTGTTACTGAAAAACAAATACAAAACAAATCAACAGTAATGAAAATACAGACAATCAGACTGCCAGTCTGTGTTTGACGGTATGTCGCTGTGCTCAGACTCAAATGCCTGTTAAATCAGGGTGTTTCCAACTCAAATCCATAAACAAGGTCTTTTTCAAGAGATTTCCCACAAGGATCTTGAGGCTTTTTGGACTGATGAGCTGTCATGGGGGGGCATGACTCCCACAGAAAGTGAATGGTAGTTAATTCTGCACTCACACTGAAAAATGCAGCAGCTATTTATTTTGCTCTTGGAGAATCCAAAACCATGTAATCCAATGTGATGGGTCTCAAGAGTGGAAAAACACCCCTACGTTTGAAAAGATGTGAGGAAATCCACTGAATCACCTTGTGCCTGCATTTACACATGATGGGGGGAATTACTTGCACCACAATGATCAGGCTCAGCTAACACTGGCTATTTATTTACAACCAACAAGGCTGACTTTGCCCCTAGTGGTTTCTTCTTTTTGTTAACTCAGCACAGCAGTGTTGGTTCTTTCTTGTCCACATGAGATTGTTGCTACCTCTTTTCCTAAGATCAGAGCCACTCTCCTGTGGTTACATGCTGTTGAAACAAGTGAGGGGTTAGTATTTAGCTGTTTAGAAAGTTGCAAAGATAACTGTGATTCCCCTCCAGTTGAATTCATAAACAAAAGGTCTTCTTTTTGGCTGCATCTCCCTGCTTTCAAGCATGCTGCAAAAATGTAACATACCTGTTCAACTTTAAGGCCCACTCTGATGAAAATCTTTTTTTTTTGTCTACATGTTAATATGGCATTTTTCTGATGCTGCAGGGCATATCATGAGAAAAATAAGTGCAAAATTGCATTTCTTAGTATCTCTTTATTCAAATCGCTGTGACTCTTGCAGACCCTAACGGCAGGTTCAGATGCAGTGAGATTTACTACATAGCAAATCCATTCTCCACCCCTGGAGCCCCGCTATGCAGGCCACACTCGGAGAAATAGAGAGGACAATCGCGGAACAAGCTTGTGCGTTAGCAGATCGCAATGTTAGTAAGCAAGCTAATTATGATATTAACTTTCATCATGTCCCCAAAGACATTAATGTCTGAAAGCTGAATAGCTCCCATGTTACCTGCTTCTTCTACTTCACCGGCAATGTTAGGCTACAAGCTAGTGTGAAGAGGAGTGTGCAGAGCAGCGCTGTCTCCGCCCACGACTCAGAGGCGAATAAATAATAAGCTACTGGAGCTCTGCAGAAGAAAAGTCCTTGAAAATGACACAGGTAATGTGATTTTGGCTAAAAACTTAATAATCACAATTTAAAGACATCTGAGAAGACTTTAAGTAGTGAAAAAAAAAAAAAGATTAGAGTGGGACTTTAAAACGATGTGAACAGAAACATAGTTCGGCTGCGGGAACTTGTGGTAGTAAATACGCTCACTACTTTATCAACATCAATAAACACACCTGCCGCACATACTTCATTGACTGCACTAACTCAAAGGAATAAACTGAAAAGCCCCACCCCCACAGGTCTTCACTTTACAGGTATGCAGAAAATATTACACACAGCAACCTCATTTAAATGCCCTCCTCTCTCACAGGTGCCCCCAGAGAGCATGGCTGCGTAGTTAAAAAGAAAAAAATCCTGTCCCTCCCTTTAGCTCCCAAACATGAGTTCTGCTATGAACTGACATGATCTGTTTCTTGTTTTTAACTTCAATTAATAAATAATCAAACCATCAAAAAACAAATCAATGAGTTAAACAGCCTGATTCTGATGGCAGCTACAACAGCCTTGGGTTAATCCACATAACGGTGTTCTTTGTAAGGATAAGAGGTCGGGATGAATTCTTAATCCTGAGAGGCGCATCAGTTTCCACTTACTGTGATGTAGGTCAGAGCTTGTGCAAAGCCTCTCTTTTGCCACTGTCACTACAATTAGGGTCTCAAGACTTTCCATTTCTGTCAGAGAAGTGTAGAGGTAATTTTGGCCACTAAATTGGATATCTGCAGTTTGTTCATTTTTGTTCGTCTCCAGAAATTTCTTTTAATGACCAATCTTTTTTATATTCAGTTTATTCCAATGTGTGCCCCTGGCATTAATGATATGGAGATAGGGGAGACATCGCTCAGAATAAATCCTTCTGTCCTATGATGATTCATTTGAAGGATCTGCTGTAGATGTTTTCTTTTTGGCTTGACAAAGGAATTAAATATCAACTATGACATGTCATCATATTCTTCTGTTTTACCTTCTGTTAATTGTTTACTGAATCGCATTCAGAAACCAGCTTGACTGGTGTTGCTTCCACAATGTTCATTAACTCACAAGAGGCTAATTTTTGGAAAGGGCTGGAGAAACAGAGGCACATATTTCTGACCTTACATTTCCCTGTTGGTATATCTTCAATGTCACTGGATCCTGCTTTTCCCATGATGTAACTTCAAGCATATTTTTCACTGTGGTTTGTGACAGTTGCATGTAGTTCAGTAAGTCATTTGTATAGCTTTGAAGCATTAGTTACTGCACCTTACTTCTCAGAGAAAGAGAGAGGGGGAGAGAGAGAGAGAGAGAGAGAAACAATTTCTTAATTTCTTGTCATATAAATGACCCTAACCAGCATCTTTAAATGGATATTCTGGCGTAATTTAAGTTATGGTCAAACATTACAATAACACTGAGTTAGACACCCCCTCAGGAGATAAATATTGCTGGCTGCTTGCTTCTCTAGTTACACCAACTTCAGCAACGGTACGACAGCACGATAGCAATACATCTCCACGCACACACCGCAACCAAAAAGCCACTCTATAGCCACAAATAATGCTCAGAACAGCACCTAACTTCATCAACAGTACATATGGGGTTTCAGCCATAGTACTAGCCACAGAACATCTTTTTAGCTTTGCCTGATTTCTTTAGTAAAGAGACCAAACACAACTGACCCACTCTCCTCCAGCAGCCACTTGTTTGTGGGGGAGCCCTGACGAGTCGATCACCGAGTGCAGCAGATCAATTCCTTGAAGTAATAATCTTCATAACAATCATTTTGCACTGCAGACGCAGTAGTTCTTCTGCCTTAGCATCTCGGCCTGATTGCATTTCCATGAAGAAATGATCATTAATATTCTTCCTTGAGCTGAATGTGTTGGGACCCTTTATGTACTGTTGATGAAGTTAGGTGCTGTTCTGAGCATTGTTTGTGGCTATAGAGTGGCTTTTGGTTGAGTTTTGCATGTGAAGACGTAGACCAATGTGTTTTGCAATTTTGCTGAGGTTGGTATAACTAGAGAAGCAAGCAGTCGGCAAAACTCATCTCTAGAGGGGCTGTCTAACTCTGTGTTCCAGTGTGTTTGACCATGACTTAAACTTACACCAGAATTACCCTTTCATCATTCACGTTGTTTTATTGTTAATATTGCTTTGTTTTCTTTTTTGTTGACTTATTGTACTTTTTTTGAAGTTTCCCAAAGATACTGCAATAACATCGTTATCCTGATATGGCCACGATAGTAATGAGGTAAATATGAGATGTCACAATAGTCCTGTGTTGTTTAAGATTTCCAAAGGGTCCAAAACTGCATCTTTCTAATGGCAGAAATGCAAATAACATGGACAACAGAGTGCTGTTGCTTTAAAGGTGTTACTAATCAATGACAACACTGATCTTTATGTGTAAAATGTTTTAGCCCTGTTTTATGTAAATGTAGATGCAGATGTGTGTCAAATGCTGCTATGTAAAGCACCTTTCAGTTCTTCCCTAAATCCATTCACACACCACTGGGGGCAGCCAGCAGGGGTGGGTAAGGTCAAGTGTTTTGCCCAAGAGCGGTTCAGCATGTAGACAGCCCTGGGGTCAAATCCCCAATCTTTCTGTTGGGAGCTGACTAACTCGACCACTAAGCCTCAGCCGCCATGACAGAAAAATACAACATGATGAATATAGTATATTTAAATACATGTATATACAGCCCTAGTTTTGCCCCTCTGTTGGTCTAAAGGAGTGGATCACATTGAAAACTATGCTCCTGCACTCTCTGTTTGCTTCTAAATCTATTGTTAAAGTCTATAGCAGCATTTTTGGGGCGTTAGTACGTTGTGTGCCAACCCCTATTAATAGTCAAACTAAAATCAATAGGCATCGTTTGGAGGTCAATTATGTCTTCCCCCACTTTTAAAGCTGCTGAATTGAGATTGTTAGAGGGAATGTGTGGCAAGCATGAAGAAAACATGCTCATTCAGCAGCTGCTTCGCTTTCTGTGCAACCTGACAGCCTTTTGGTAGCTGCTATGTTCTCCCTGCTGCTCTCTCAGTATTGAAGATCCACTTCTTCTCCACTTACACAGACAATCACTCAATGTTATCGAAGAGGGAACCTGGCAGTGTTTCAAACATGTCTGACAGTTTGAATAATTTCATGATAATGTTATAGTTTATGTTTTTTGTTTTTTTTTCATCCTCCAGATTTAAAACCCAATATTCAAAGAAGAGCTTATCATTCACAAGCATTTGGATGAGAGTTTTACTAGCCCTCGGAACCTCAAGATGATGTTACCATGGAAACAAATTACTCTACTTACAATCACCGGATGCCTTGCAGGTAAGATCCCTAACACATATATTCACACATAAGTCGTTATTGTTCATGAAAAAAATACTTCTTTTTTGGGGTTGGGTTAGTTTTTGAAGCGGTAGAGATTATAGACAAATGCTCTCTTTTTGATGTTAACAGAGTTTGAGATTATTCATCGCACTGAGCAATATCAGAGGCATTGTAGCTGCCTTTCTTATTAGGCATCTAGGTCATATCACTGAGACATCTGAAATGAACTGTTCTTTATGGCTTACTTTACAAAAGACATTGTCGGTTTGAGTGGCATTTTAGCTCAGGTTTGCTGCGGGGGTTGAGTGGATTACAAATCAATAATGGAGTAATGGTTTGGGTTTGTCTGAAGCAAATTCAGCTTCCTATTTTCCTCTGAACAACCACCAAGTGTTGGTCAAGTTCTTTGTTGCCTCATTTAACGGGTGCACATGTAAAAATATGAAACCGATAACTCTGCTTTATTTCCTGACCATGTATTAATAAATAAAGTATCATGTTTATATGTCTAATTTACATCAGTAGCAGACTTTATTTGCAAACTTAAGTCCTCAACTATTATAATCACATTATTCCAATATTCCTCCTGGCAGTGATTCCCGGTGGCTTTTTTTTGGAAATTGTAATTGTCACCCTCACCTTAAAAAAACTGCACAGTTGTTGAGTAGGACAGATGGCAAAAACAATTAATGCCCAACAAGAGTAACAGAGATTTATTCCTCCACAAGCAGAGTGAGAAAATATACACAGCTCATCCGAGGGACCGTCCTTATTTCTTCCTTCAGTTTAAAAAAACAAAGAAACAAACAAAGACAGGACTGTTCTGTAATACTCGGTAAGAAAAAGCTGCAAATGCACATGAGAGAGATGGAGTAGTTGCATGTGTAAATGATTTCCCTTGAGCCTTTGTGCTTTTGCTAAAGAGACATTACTGTCTACCCTTTCCCCAGCCTTTACACAGGATGTCAAATTTCAAGGGCCAAGATGGAGGACGGAGCCAAGTGACCTGATTCTACCAATTAACTCCCCAGACCGGCAGGCTGCAGTTTCGTGCGAGGCAGATGGGAGTCCTCCACTTCAGTACAGGTGAATTACCGCATCAAAGTTAGATTCCCAGAGGCCTTAGCTCACATATTTACTCATTTTGCTCTACGCTAACATCTCATGAAGTCAATTTATGCTTAATTGGGTGTGAATCTCTATTTCTGCCTTTACAGAGTTGATGACTGTTGAACATTATTTTCTGGACATGATCTCTTAGAAAAGGAAATAAGAGATCCCGCTAAAAGATAGGCTTCAAAGAGCATGAGGCTTACCTGGTATTTTCGATTTTTATCCTGAGCTATGATAAACACTTTTAAATATTGTTGGTTAAATATGCTTACTTTTTAGAAATATTAAAGTGAACTTATATGATGAAAAGATTGAAGCCCCTCTGTGACTCTGAATCTGGTAATTAACAATATGTTGCAGGATTTTAGAAGTGACTAGGGGAGCAAAAGAGATATGCACCACAGATCCTTTGATATCTCCCTGGCTTTTCCCTGGTGGTGCAGAGAGCCAGCCCAGAGACGGTAGCTTGCGGTCTTTTTTGTAGTAGATTGTGTTTCAGGGCTTGGTCAGCAGCATGTAGATGCAAAGCAAGCACAGGCAATAACCTTGTGAGTGACATTCGGTTAAATGCGTACATTTCCCATTATGTGCCTGCGCTGAAAACCATAGTCTAGGCACAGCAAGGGAGTTGGGGGGTATCATTATTCTTGTTGTGCAACCTAAGCTATCTCAGGGTGAAGCTGAAACCATCACAGGCATCATGACATCTGCACTCTGTAGCAGTCTGTCATTCACTGCTGTCTCCAGAGATGCTTTCCCATCTGGGTACATTTTGGGTGTTAATATAATCGTTAAAAAATAAGATAAATAAATTACTATATGTTTGGCAGTATGACATTTCTTAACAGAAGAGCAAGTAATTTGAGAACAGTTATTCATGGATCTCTACTTTAAGCTTAGGATTCAGTGCAAATAATAAGCTGGATCTAATGATTTACAATTCAAATGATCACCAAGGAAAGCAAATGTGTGTATGTAAATGTGTTTCTCAAGTAAACTACGCATATTTATGACCACCTTTGCTGCTACAAATTTGAGGTGTTTTATGTCTTACAACTGAAAACTTCCAAATATAATATAGGCAGCAATAACGCTTTGATAAAAGCCTGTGGATTGAATCCATCAACAATGGGTCCAGTGGCATTGGATGGCAGCTGTTTTAGCCCCAATGTCTATCAAACAGACGTTGGGCCACACTCCCAGCTCCAAACAGCCGACAAATGGCAAATTGTCAGTTTACATAGCATGCCTTTTTACATCCTGGGAGAGAAATCCTTCATTTTTTTCCACTAACCACACAGCAGGTCTGGGAATAAGGGAAGCTGTAAACATGAAAGGACTTGATCTAGAAGCTAAGTCAAAACATCTGACTTAACTGAAACAGCCTCTGAAGAGATGTTTATCTTGTTCTGACTTTTGGCTCATTGTGGAGTCTGGGTGTCGAAAACAGCCATGACTAAAAAATATTTTCTCGTTGGAGTGTTGCAGTAGTAATGATGTGGTAATGATGCTAAAATTAGAGACTCCAGCTCTAAACAACCGCTCAGAGCCCATGGTTTTTTCAGCGGAGTGAAATCATGAACAGAATTCTCCCCTTTCCTGAAACAATGATTGAGTAAAAATCCTCATGAGTCACAGTTTTCTATTAACACTCACGTCTTAAAATGACTCCTTTTCCACTCGTTTTATTTAGGTTCATCCTCCTGCCTCTTGTGTTTTTCTTTTCCTGCATATTTCCAGAACACTCAGCTTTTGTTTGTGTCAAGAAGCATGACACATATCTGACTGTCCTTTTACTCATGTAGGTCAGAAACATTCTGCTTAAAGCCAGCGCTATCAATAAGGAATAAAAAGGAATATGAAAGCAGGTTTCAAGGAAAGACATTATGATTGAGTAAGCAAACTTTCCTTGCCGTGGATTGACATTTCTGGTAATGCCTTTAAAGACACCTCATCTCTACCCTTAATTTTACCTAGAGGGAAGAATCCATTTTGCTTTATTCGGGTTGCATCAGTTTTTCTGACACGGATTGTCCTTGACTTGTTTCCCTTCAGGCAAGGAGAGGACTTTTTGTCCCAGCAATAAAATAGAGAGCATTGTTTCTGTGTGCAACTTATTTCACTGTTTCTGTTAGTAAAACCTAAAAATCTCCAGAGGAAGCAGTCATGTGGTGCCATTTTTTTTCTAGTCTGCATGTTGCCTTGCCAATTGAACAGTATTTATATAATTACAGTGAGAGTACATTTTATTTGTTGACTTCGGCTTTCAGAGGATTTTGTTCCTATGGGAACAGTCTGTGATTTAGAAGAAATATATTTTCATAGGTAGGTAGGTAGTAGGTAGGTATACTTTATTGATCCCATTGATTTCATCGGCCACCATATTAATGTCTTTGAATAAATCTAAAGATGAAACATTAACTTTGGCATGCACTGAAATTAAAAGTCAAGTTTTCATTTGATACAGTGTATTTAACACAGGATTACTTTACCATTACTGTTTTTTGATTAGCCCAGGAATGACTGTACAAGTTATAGTGAGTGATATTCAAACTGAACTGCTCATGTTTAAAGTATAGAAACATCCACAACCATGTGACTCTGTAAATATTCATCTCTTTTTGATCGTTTTTGAAGAATGGAGCTCTGGGAGACATGTAAACTTGACTTGACAAAACCTGATTACATGTAGATATGATAAATAAATCAAATTAAACTTAATTTATAAAGTGTTTTTCATACAGAAGGATGTAACACAAAAGTCTTTGCTGTCTGTTAAAAGATAGATAAGATAAGAAGAACTTAATTCATCCATGAGGGAAATGTGATAAGGTAGTTACTTGAATTATTCAACAGTTTAAAAACTATATTGCAAGTAAGACTTTAAATCAGTGAGACTGATTACTTTGGTATTCACTAAAATTCCTCACACAGAAACCACAACAAGGATGTTGGGGTAGATGAGTCAATGCAGTCATTGTAGGTTTAATGTGCTTGACTTCCAGAGTGCTGCAAGCTGGTATGATAAAGAAGAGTGTCAGGTTCTTACATGTGTTTGAGTTCAATTCTGTACAGGATTTTATTTCCACACTGTGTTGTCACACAGTGGTGCACTTAATACATGAAGGAGCGCTTTGACAGTTCATCAGCTGACAGATAGTTGGGGGGCAGTGCCACAGCACACTCCAGGGCTCAGATCAGTGCTTTATCAATACACCTGTCATTGTGTTTACTATGAATCTTTTGAACGGCACAGCAGTGACTGTAGAGGGGAAATAAAAAGCTAATCTGGCAGGTGTCCGCTCTCATGCAATGTTACTGTGGGCAGCTGTTTAACTCTGCCTTTGTTTACTAGTTGTTCTAGGGTAAACATATCATGGAGCCAGATATGAGGCCTCTAATAAAATCCAAATATCTGCATTTTATTACATAGTTCATTTAGATATCATTCCCACTTTAAATTATATTTGAAAAAAAAAAAGGATTGTGCAAGCTAGAACATATAAAATCTAGATTTATATGAACCCCCACACAAATCCTCACCCAGAATCACTGACAATGACACTTAATTTACTGTGGATCATTTAGCTTAAGGACTAAATGAACAACGGTTTATTAAAAGGCTGCAGCAATAATCTACTCAACTAAAAGGTTCAGTCTAAGTTATATTTCCATTGTCAGCTTGAGGCATGGGTGTGTGTGCACGCCTACAAACCATGAAGTCTGGTCGATGCCCTCTCAGTGGGTGACAGGCCTCGAGCAGAGCTGGGTGAATCAGTGCTGCAGTACAATCCCTGATCTATTTGCTAAGGAGACCTCATGCAAAATTGATGTGAACTTCAAGGTCATGGTGAGTTCATTCAGAGCATGCTCAGATCAGTATGTGCCTGCAGCAACGGACAACAAATAGGAAATATTCTCCTGGACTCGGCTGGACTTACTGTAAGCTGCTCTTGACCTGAGCTTGGTGGTGGATTCAGTGTGATTCAGTTTGAGCTCATCCTACTGACAGACCTGAACTCTTTCTGCCTCACCTCTCTGTATCTTACCTGTACAGCCATGGAGTAACTGTTATAGCCCCAATGAATTAATTGAATTAATGCTGAGGAAAAGAAAGCATCAGATATCAGCATTCAGATAGCCCTTTCATGCAAATATATGACAGTTAAAAAACACTAATGTAATGATATTATTGCTGCGTTCCAGTTACCTCGGAAGTCGGAGCTGAGAATAAATTACACTCAAGTTGACGGTGTTCCAGCAAACAAGTTGGAAAACCAAGATGGACACCTACTGTTAGCCGTTGTTAGCTGTTGTTAGCGGTTGTCTGTTGTTGTTAGCGGTTGTTGCTGTTGTTAGCGGTTGTTGCTGTTGTTAGTTGTTGTTAGCTATACCAGTTGTAAAAAACGCATAACACAGTATTTTACTCTTACAAACACCATAGCACCGTGTTCACAGTTAGACATTGGGCAGTACAACATATACCACTTATTTAATTTCACAAAAACAAAACAGAAGTGCTAATAAATAATACATTGTGAGAGCTTTCACTGTTACTGTTTATGTTGATGGACTGCGCTGTGATCTTTATTATGATCATGATGTTGTCGTCAAGTCGGGTTGGCGAGGATTGTCTGACTTTGCGAGTCAGAAATCCGAGTTCAGGGGGACGTTCCAGATGGATTTCTGACTCGGAGCTCAGAAATCCTGACTTCCAAGTAAAACTGGAATGCAGCACAATTATATGTAACTTAACAGCAAAGCTTTCTAAGGCTAAAATGAAGAGAAGGGAAAAAAATGGTGGCTAGAGGAGTTGGCTGACCACATGGCAACTGTACAATCCCAACCCCCATAACCCAACCAACACCCCATCTACAAGGGTTGAAGGGAATCCAGGTGAAATTATTTTTTTGTTTAAAAATGTAATATGATATATCAGTGCATGTTTCATGTACTGTCAGTATCCTGAGTGTAGGGCGTAGTGAAGGAATATCATTGCTGGAAAAGTGACAGAATCTTACACGTTAAATGGTTGGCAAAGACTGTAAATGAATAATCCAAGTTACAAGATGAAACACTGCGTCTTTTGTAGGCTGTCAGACAGGACACCAGGGAGAGTCATGCTGCTTTTCAGACTTCATGAAGCATCATTTTAACAGCTTGTTACTGTGCCTGGGAAGAAATCCATGAAGCCATGGTGGAGTTTTTTGCTCGGTATCACTTGGACTGCAATTATTAAGTCCTTTGACAAAGACAGACTTAAACAGAGTGATCCAATAGGTCTTTGATTTCCAAATGCTGTACAGAAAAAAGTAGTTTTTCATTTGCATTAATGATCTGAGATTAAATCCCATTGGCCTTCATGTGCTTATAAATCTGATAAGGCTTGCTTCTCTGTCAAACGGTTACTGTCAGACCAGCAGACTGCTGAATAAAAAGGAAAGTACTCTTCAAGTTCATTCAAGGCAGAGATATTTGTCAATATTTTCTTTACGGTGGCGGCGATGATTCATAACTTCTTGAACTAGGTGTCAGAACGCACAGCAGAGCACACATCAGCTGATTAGAAACCACTCAGAGAGAGGATTAGTAAACAAAGCTTCACAGCCCTTTTAAAAGCTATTCCAATAACCCAAAATGGTTTTAGTCAGCTTCAGTGTGTGAATACAGACTAAAATTCAAAAGCTTTTATAATATCAAACTATGTTATTTATTTATTTATTTATTCTATTTTCAGAGAGTTATTTTTAGTTGGGATTATTCTGGACTACAGCTGTAATTTTGTAACAGACAGGAAATCCTGTGCTACCTGTGTATTTAAAAATAACAACAACAAAAAATCAAGGTAATCTTACTTTGCTCTGAAGCAGAATTTTATAATTTTACCAACATGAGACACCTTTTTAATCTCATAGAGCTCAGGTTACATAAAGTGGACTAAACCAAGCAAAAAGGAGAAAATCAGCATCTTTACCGTCTTCTATTTTCCCAGCAGACTGTGGGTGAGACAGTCATTCTAGTCACTGTGATCAGCATACCGTTGTGCATCTCTAGGGGAATCAGCTACTGATTGTGTTTGCATTTTTCCAGATGGTCCCTGAATGGAACACCCATCGATCTGGGGAATGACGACCGGCGTCGCATGTCGGGGGGCAGCCTGATCATTAGTGACCTGGACAAGGACCAAGACGCTGGGGTTTACCAGTGCACTGCCTTTAATACATGGGGCTCCATCATCAGCCATAAAGCCAGTCTGCAGTTTGCTTGTAAGTGGAGCTACAACTGAGCAGAGATTTCTGGTGTCACTCTGACACAGTTATGTCACGATGCTTTTTGGTTCTCCTGGGTGTAGTCCCAATGTTATGTACTTAGCCTTGACCTTCTTTCTCTACTCTATTCACAGTTTCTCTTTTATTTATCTGGTAGTCATTATTCAGTGCTGGACATGGTAACTCAAACTCAGTTAATTCTTTGAGTGGTTCAGAGTGTGATCGCATCCATGCTTTGTGCACTTTGACTCATAGTTTTGCCAAGTTAAGACAGCAGCATGTCTTTGGATGTACCTGATGAAATTTGAGTGGGCTTTTACCCACAGTATGGAAATGCTGTGAGAATAAAAGACCTGTAAGAGGCCTACAAAATATAATTGTTTTCGCAAGGCCTGACGGATGGGTCAAGTAAGTTTTTAAGAACGTTCTAGACCCCAAACATTACAAACAATAAAAAAGGATCAAATGTACGACTCTAGTATGATCCTGCAAAAGACTTTTGATTAAAACATCAAACACACCAAGTTTTTTTTTTTGCATTGATAGGCTTATGCAGAGTTGAAGCAGCTTTGCTCAAGAGTATGAGTACATTTAAACACATTACCCAAAAAAAGGAGCGGATCGATTGCCCAGATCTATCATCTTCAATCTGTAGTGGCTGCTCTTTGTAGTTTATGGGCCAGCCTTCCTGGTAAAGCATGAGAGGCTCCTGCTTACAAAAGAATCACTGCAGCTGCAGTGAGTTTGGCCTCTAGCTCACAATGATACAGTTAGTGGCCAGTTCACTCAAGTGAAGCCCATTACTCTGCTACTGAGGTCAGAGCACAGAGAAGTGTATCCCTCTCAGCATTAGCCGAGCTTTATCTCCCTCTCCTTTGCCATTTTGTATAAGGTCAGTAAATATGATATTCTTTTTTCTTATCTACTGCTGTTTGTTTTGTTTGCTTGTTTTTTCTGTTATTTTTGTTTCCTACAATGTTTTGTCACCTTCCTCATTTACGTTAGTGCTTGGGAACCAATTTACTCACTAACTCAATTACCAACTGACTGATGTACTGACTAACAGACTGACTCACTTCCACATGTATTGACTGACCAGCATTAACCAGCTGACTGACTTGATTAGTGAATTATTGTCAGAGGCTCTCTGAATTTGTCATCTGCTCCTAAAAAAAAATTAGTGACACAGTCAGTATGAATTGCTTTTATGCTGCACTTTTATGCTGCACTTTTCTTGTTAAAGGAGGTTTTATTTCCTCTATTACCCCTCCTCAGAAGCAGTATTTAGGAAATGGAGTCATTATCATCTAAGACAGCCCAAAGAGATCAGAAGGACAAGGCCCCTGCCTGTATTTCAAGTCAGCCATCTCCTCCTGTGGCCCTCTCTGTGTCCTGCCGTGACTTGGCTCGGTTTGATCCCTCTGTGGTCATCACCGAGCCACACATTAATCCTACCAACACTCTTTCCCATTTCTCTCCATAATCCTCCTCCTTCTAATTTCCCTTATCAGTCACACGGACTTTCTTTTGTTTGTGTTTTGGAAGGCTTACTCTAGGCTGGCAGCCAGAGGGTGCAGACTGAGTACAGAGCAGATTACAGCTGCTTCCCTCCATCAGGCACCAGGCCAGGGAGGGTTCATCAACACAGGTTTAGGTTTGGAGTATTGATGATGAAAAGCCTGATCAATCCGTCTTATTATTTGTAACTAAGATGCTTGTAAAAGCTTCTCAGGTTGTCGGGGGGGTACCGCATGGACTTTTATAGTACAATATTAAAGTCCCAGTGTCCAAGATACAGCATCAAGACAGACCAACTGAGAATATGTGAAGAGACTTAGGGAAAACATGTCACCCACTGTCACTGGGTTCTTTTTAATGAAAACCTTGATCTTACAAATAAGGGCTGTCACAATACACTAATTTTAAAATAATAATAATAATTATATTCTGCTTAAAATAAGCATATCATCGCTTTCCAATGAAAAACACTTACCTCCACTTTTTCAAAACATGCATGGTCCATAATCTTCCCTAACAACCCGTAGCTTTGGGTATCTAAATAACCAATGGAAAGATATTTTATATCATTATCAGTATCACCATTGGGTGTCGGAAATGTCAACAAAGCACGTATCTCCTGCCCTGGCCCTGCGTTGTCATATCAGCAAACAGACTGTGATATGAGTTTTAAGAAGTCGTCAAGCCTCGTCATTATCTTACACAGATTTTACACTGTGACAGACTCATTACAGTCCAGGGTAATGCTACACTAATGTCCTCACATTGACTAATGCTGACTTAAAACTTTTATTCTAACCATGACAGTGTTGCTTACCTGTACGTTAGATTTCTTAAACTGAAGTTCATCTCCAGAGGCAAAGCTGCTGCTGTTTTCTCTCACACACTTGTTGACTATCGTATTAATGAGTTGTGTTTCTGCTATCTTTTAATTTCTTCACTGGTACTGAAGTGAAATCAGAGCCAGAGTTTTATTGAAAACCAATTTAATTAGTAGCATAAGAACTCATAGTACATTTTTCAGTTGTTTTTTCAGTATACCTGCATCAGTTGCAGACACTAGTGCATGTTAAATTTGGAGTCGTGACTCAAAAAGGTTGATAACCAATGTGCTATGTGGAAATGTAGGATAGCCCGCTATCAATAGTTTATCAACATAGTGGGATATAAACAGGATACTTGAAGCTGGTAAATAACTGAACATCATTGGAGTACAATTAAAAAACACGTAGCTATGTCCACTATCACTCACAACGCAAAGCATGTAAGTTTGTTTAAAATATCAAACAGGTTACTGATGACTGTGTAAATATAGATTTTGGGTCCCTATTGTGTCTAATTAACAGTGTTTTGGGTTTATTATGTAAGGTAGTTTATGAATAAAATTGTTTTTTAATGTTCCTGAAAAAAACAAATATTGGAGATACATGTTTTTTATTGGACAGACGATATGATAATACCGTGAGTTCATAGTTGTGGTCCTTTATGCTGGTTATTTTATGTCTTTTAACAGTGGTTGGACAAAGAAGTATAGCAGCTGTAGGAGAGCTAGCTGTATCAGTCCTTTGAGAGATGATTCAGTACTTCTTAAGATTTATTGTGAATCCAAAAACAAATTTACAGCTGGTGGCTTTTCAGGTTACTAATCACCTGAACATTTGTACTTCCTAACTGTTTTTTTTTAAAACTGTTTTCATCCGGTTTGATAATTTATGACCTTCCAGAAATAAAAGCATAATTTGACCATGCATGAAATAAAGCAGCCTGTGCGCTTGATAGAAAAATAAATAAATAAGTGTATGATCAGTTTTTTTATGAGGCAGTGTCCTCTACAAAGAAGTTTCGGTCACACGGCTGGAAATAAAGATAAATCATAAGTTGTTAGGACTGGTTGATGGCAGGTGAAGTAATTTTGTGGATTAGCTAAATCGATTAATTTATATGATGCTCCACAACTTTCTGGCCTCAATTTGTCTGATGATGTTGTTTTACCATCAAGTTTTCCATGAGTGTTGTGATAACATCCTCATCACCTTTTTTTTTTTTACAGCTACAGCTTGTAAGGTGTTCATCTGATACTGTGACAGCCTCTTTACGGACTACAGAAAAGCCCACATTTAACCAATTTTGGTGTCTCACGTTAGTGGTTTTTATTTTTCATTTCATGCTGCTGTCTTACACTACTTCATTCTTGTCTGATTCATCAGATCTCGACAACTTTAAAACTCAAACTGTGAGGAGTGCTGTTAATGTCCGTGAGGGCCAAGGTGTGGTTCTGTTATGTGGACCACCAGCACACTCTGGAGGTAAGTCTGCTTCATCTTCGTAAGCCCCTTTTTCTGCCTGCTGTCTGTTATGTGTTAAATGTCATGATAGGAATTCACTCCATTTGAATAAAAGATCACTCCTAATCTCTAACTCTTTTCACTGAGCACGCTCGGCAATTGACCTCATCTGAACACAAAATACCTTGAGGTGGATGTCTAGATGAATGTTCCTTTAATTGTAATAACAATTTTTCAATCAAAGCAAAATTCATTTATTTTTTCTTAGATTACTGGAGTCTTGTGAAAAGAGTTTTGAATTTTTCCAAAACACTCTAATCTTTGTGTCTTTCCTTAAAACATAGCAATCTGAACAGTTAAGCTTTTTTCTATTTAACCAGCTTCTTGCTACAGCTTTAAACCGAAGCACTTCCACACACACATGTGAAGTAGTTCAGCAACTTTTAAAACAAATGTTTTTTTTTTAGGTAAGAGATCATTTAGCCAGTATCTATCTGCAAAGAAAACTGAAGACATGAACCGTGTTTGCTGCCCAGCTTGTCTCTCTCTGGTACAGTAGCTTGCACAGTGCAACTACCAATTTCCTTGACTAGAGTACGGTTCATAACACAGAGTCCAGTGCTGCAGGTCTATGGTATAATGGGTCTGATTACTAAGTGTGAAATTAAGTTTGACAGCTGTCCTCTGACACAGGCTTTGCACAGTTTGCTCCTATAACTACTGCACTATTGAGTGTTGTCACATTTACAGAACTAAGTAGAAGCTGCGATTCCCCACTTGCCCTGTTTTTGCCTCTCGACTCCCTCCTCTTCACTTTTGAATATCAAAGCATTCATTTGCCATACAATCTTGTAAACTTCTCATCTCAATACTAGAGCAGCTTATCTATTTTTTATTACTCTTCATTGACTTTGAACTCTGCAGAAGCTTTTTCTCCACAACCACATTAGAGATTTGACATTCACCAATAAGTTAGTCATTTAAAGGGCTCTTTTTAAGTGAAGGATGCGAACCAGTTCAAAGCTTAGACCAAAGACTGTGTATAGAATAGACGTCTTCTGCCTCCTCGCTGGGTGAAGCCTCTGTGAGAACAGCACCCTCTGGTGACGGGCTGTTGTATAGGTCATAAATTCCTCCTCCTCATACAACTTTTTTTTTTTTTACCTCTGATACAATACTGATATTGTAGCTTTCAGTATTGTCCGATACCGATATTGATTCAATATTAGCACAAACTTTTGCATGACAAGTTTTGCACTCAGCTGCAATGTCTTTTCGGCCTTTAATGAAAAATACTGCCACAGGGCTGACATCACTCCTACTCCTTGGTACTTGGTACACACTGTTGTTGTGATCACAAGGGCTCTACATGCTGGATCGAGGTGCAGGAGCGGAGTCTGGAATGGACTGCCTGTATCAGAGTGCTGATATAGGAGATTTTTCTGATATAATCCGATTTTCAATTTTTTGCTGATATCAGACAGATATCCCATATCAATATCGTATCAGGACACCCCTAGCTGAAATTTTAGAAATTTATTACACAGAATATAATTTTTTTTCCCCGTTGGTTGCAACGTTGACATGTAGTTACAGTAAGACTGGTTTGTGCTCAAGTCCTCTTTTTTCTGTACAGCTACATTTTTTAAAGTTATTAGGGGGTTCATGTTTTCTATGATTGACACTTGATATAGCTTATGGGCATATGAAAATTGTGTAGCGAGCCCGGGGGATATGCTGTTTAAGCAGAGCGTCATCACAGCGACTCTATCACTGAGCGCTACTGCACTGGGCGACTTCTACCCTGGTTGTCTTCTAAAAAGTAAATCAATATAACAACGAGCAGGTCTTCTGAATAACTCTTTGAAAGGAATGGCTTCTAAAGATCTGGCTCCCTTCAAAGAGCTATAAACCTCTAAACCACATACATTATCTCATCACTCAGGTTGTTACAGTCCATGAGGACAGGTCCAAGTTCAGACCTGGACAACTAACTTCACAGGACTCAGTAACCTAGCAATGTCTTAATGGAGTGTAGGAGTAGGTGTAGATTATGTTAAAGAGTGGATGCAGGGCAGAAGTGCAGACTACAGCAGCTAAGCAAAATGTTGACTATTAGGGGCACTATTTCACCCTGGTGGTTGATTTGAGCCCAGTGTCTGGACTGAAGGGTATGAAAATGTATCATACTGTGCACGAGACTCCAGAAGTTTTTTTTTTTTTTCATTATGTGGGATTGTCAGAGGTTTTAGCCAATTATCAGCTAAGGCTGTTTAGCAAAATAATGTTTCTAATGAGGCGGGACAGTTGACCAACCCACCAGCGTGTCAATTAAAGTCAGCGCTGCTGCATTTTGTTAGGCCTGTGGATCTTTAAAAAAAGAAAAAAAAAATATTCAATTGCTTTAGTTTTAGGAATTTATTCATGCAGAGGTTTTTTTTTCTACATGAAAGCCACAATGAAATCACTTCTCATTTGACTTGAAATTGTACGGCAATATCCTGCCACAGTTTGATACAGATACATTGTTCAAATGTAGGCTAGACTGGCTCTGACTATGAGACTCATGCTTGTTTAACAGAAGGAGCTTCATATCTACATCACTGCCCCCAGCTGAGACACTCTGTTCCATCAAAAAGCGAGGAGGCTTGCAGACGGGGGGACTTGAGGGTCACTGCATACACCTTTTGTCACTGAGCATTTCACCTTCAAAATGTTAGACTGCGCCAGACACGAAACTGTGCAGTGAGTCCTTCTAAATATGGCAAAAAATGAACTGATTCCTCACAGCATGCTTCACCTTTTCAGGGTTGACACTGCTTCTGAGGGAGTATTGCATTATGTAACACCTACCATACATCAGTCCATTAACCCCTCAATCCATCCTTCCATTAGTTTATGCCTCCCCTGAGCCAACCGTGTCACCCAGGGACCAGGAGAATGGAGGCCATGTGTCAAGGGAGGGCCATTGGCGTACTATAATCCATTTTGTTTCGCTCCCTTTACTTAGATCCCATTTCTTCTGCACTGGCAGTTTCAACATTTGCACTACTATTTCTCCCAAAATAAAACCAGATAAGGAGAGGACAGGTTCGTGAAGTGTTTGCATCTTAAGGCCACCGTGTGTGTTGTTTCTCTTGGTTCAGCTGCCCAATAAATGATGATCAATGTTTCTAAAATGCTGTATGTGTGGAGTCAAACAGGCTAAGAAGCTGCTCCAGGTTAAAATGATGTTCTGTCTTTTTCCAGAGTTGACATTTGCTTGGATCTTCAATGTGTACCCGTACTTCGTCCAACAAGACAGTCGTAGATTCATTTCTCAAGAAACAGGGAGTTTGTACATCGCGAAAGTGGAGCCCTCAGATGTCGGCAACTACACCTGTGTGGTTAACAACACTGTCACTAAGGAAAGGGTGCTCAGCTCTCCTACACCACTGGTTCTCAGAAGTGATGGTAAATGCTTCAAATTATAAGAAACTTTTATGCTGAACTCCACTGCTTTATCCATCTTTCAAACAAATTTTAGTTGGTCTGTTGACAACTTAATGATTCTGTTGACAGCTCTATGTTTCAGCGGTTGAGCTGTCCTGAATATTGGCCTCACTTGCTGACAGAGAAAGCTGCTCCAAATTGGATGTCTGAGAATTCAGAGCCCAGAAAGTGATAAGCTCTAAAGATGATGTGCTGTGTTGACATTTAGGGTTGACAACAGCTAACTGCCTGAGAGGCAATCAAGTAAAGAGTGAAGTACAATTTTAGTTTCCCTCCAGTTAATGTAGTCTGTGTGTGTGTGTGTGTGTGTGTGTGTGTGTGTGTGTGTGTGTGTGTGTGTGTGTGTGTGTGTGCGTGTGGGCCCTTCAGTGGTTAAAGGAATATTCTGGTGTAAATTTAAGTCATGCTCAAACACACTGTAACACCGAGTTAGAAACCACCTCAAGAGATGAATGTTTTCGACTGCTAGCTTCTCTAGTTATACCAACTTTAGCAACGACCGCACAATAGCAATACACAGCGGTCTGCGTCTCCATGCGCAAACCTCAAATGAAAAGCCACTCATAGCCCTGACGAGTCGATCACTGACTTCAGCGGAAACTTTATGATCATCACTTCATGGAAATACAATCAGAACAAGATGCTAAGGCAGAAGAACTACCACATCTGCAGTGCACACTCAAGACACACAAGAACTCTGATTGCATTTCCATGAAGTAATAATCACAAACGTTCTTCCTTGAGCTGCGAAACTCCGCTGCACTTGGTGATCGACTCGTCAGGGCTCCCCACAAAAAAGCGGCTGCTGGAGGAGAGTGGGTGAGTTGTGTTTCGTCTCTTTGCTAAAGAAACCAGGCAAAGCTGAAAAGATGTTTGGTGGCTAGTGCTATGGCTAGGGTATGTACTGTTGATGAAGTGCTGTTCTGAGCATTATTTGTGGCTATAGAGTGGCTTTTTGGTTGAGGTTGGAGATGTAGATCACTGTGTATTGCTATTGTGCAGTCGTTGCTGAAGTTGATATAAATAGAGAAGCAAGCAGTCGATAACATTAATCTCTCGAGAGGGTGTCTAACTCAGTGTTTTGGTGTGTTTGACCATCACTTAAATTTATGCCAGAATATCCCTTAAATGCATCTAGGGTTTCTAGCTGACCTGCTGTGGTATGCGTAACGTGTGATGTTAATTATGTATTTGAAAAAAGGTCACCTACCTTTTTTTTCCCTTTTTGTAGGTGTGATGGGTGAATATGAACCCAAAATAGAAGTTCATTTCCCTGATTCAGTTCCAGCTGCTAAAGATTCGGTGGTGAAACTTGAATGCTTTGCTCTTGGAAAGTAAGTCAGCCTCATTTATGTGTGTCAAGAGCTTTCGGCTCCTCAGTATAGTGCTACTTAAAATAATTAATGAATACACAAGTACACATTTATTGGTAGCAAGGGCAGTAGTATTTTAAGGCAAATGGGTAAAACTCAAAGTTTTGTCTGTGGTCTGATTTGCATGGAATAATTATTCCCGGGACGCTTGCTTTAGCCACCTTTCTTAAGGTCCTTAACCAAAATTCAACTATTGTCTGTCTTTTAAAGCCCTGTCCCAGAAATAAGCTGGAGGAGAACCAGCGGCATCCCTTTTCCCAGAGATGTCAAAATGAAGAACTCAAATGCTGTTCTTGAAATCCCCAATTTGCAGCAAGAAGACGCAGGAATGTATGAGTGCATGGCAGAGAACAGGCGAGGCAAAAATGCTGCACGGGGTCGTATTTCATTCCATGGTAAGTGGTTAATTTCAAATAGAGTGGCAGTAAATGCAGAGATACAAATGACGTTGTATAAAGTATCTCATGCTGAATTACAGTGGTACAGAGAGCTTCAGCATGGATGTGTACTTCACAAAAGAATAGAAACTTGTTGGCAAAGAAAGATTTAGAAAAAAAGGCACAAACCCCAATTCCAGTCAAGCCTTCCCCTGCAGTCTGCAATGTTCACCGCCGAGAGTTTACACTGCATCTATGACCAACTTTCTTTATTACTCAAGAGTTAACTCAGAAAAGCTGAATGGTAGTTTATCTTAAAAGTACCTCTTGGCTCTCATTGCTTTTTTATTGCATGACAACAACCCATGGTCGACAGGACACATTTATTTCATCAAAATGGACTGTGGTAGCTGTTGAAGTAACAACTGAATTAACAAACCAACTGCAAAGTGAAATGCTGAAAAATCAGTGCAGCATACCAAGATGAGTGTTTGGATCTGAGCGGTAAAGTGCTGAGCTAACTGGCACCCACTGTGGCAGCTACTCCTTCATGTGACATCTAACCCATCCAGCCCCAGCTCAAAAATAGCAAAGTAACCCATTTAAGTCAGACAAGTTTAGTATTTTAAAGAAAATGTGAACTTAATGTTTAAATATTCAATTTTATGAAAAAAATATATGTTCTTTATATGTTAAATGTAAAATCAACCTCTCTCTTACACAATCTGCTTTATATATGATTAAAAAAGGAAACAACTGACTGTAAATGTTTCCAATAGCAATGCACATGCCACTGAGATACATAAGAACAAAAATGATTCAATTAAAAACTGGACTCCAGTAGCTGCTTAGATTCTTACTGAGGCTGGAAACTGTAAGTTGCTGTTAAAATCTGTCTTTGAGACTTACAATAAATGATCAAATAACAGAATGATAATGACCTACAAAACACTTTTGCCACCAAGAAATGTTGCATGGAGACAGCATAAGAGAATGGACTGAATGGCTCAGCAAAAGGGTAAATAAATGGCACTCAAGCTAGTTCAAGCAAAGAGCATAGATAAAAGTCATCTGTGAAATGTCAGAGGTCCGAGAGGCATTATAACATCATCGTAGAGGATAGTTGAGACGTGCTGGGTTGAAAAAAGTAAAACAGGACCATTTTTGATTGGCAACAACTACCAGAGCCACCCTCTGCTTCTGAAAAATCTTTAACTCGCTGCTGGTTGAGCACAGCAGAAGGTCGACCCTCGTAAGTGCTGGTTTCTGCCTCCTGTACAGAAACGTTTGTTTGAATGTTTGATTTCATTTTAAGAGTGGGTGCTAAATGAACCCTCAAATGCATGCCATCTGCCACCATCCAAGTTCTTGCATCTGGTCATTATGACTTCCTGGCTTTGCCAGACTGTATATAAACTGTATGTAGACTGTATATAGTATTGTCTATAATTATATACAGTTTATGGTTAACTATTTTGTAGCTAATATTAGTTAGTTGACACATCAATAGTGAAGATAAAGTCACAACTTTAAATTACCACTTTTATCACAATTGATTTAATTTTCTTTGAGGGCAACACGATATGTACTCACTAGATATGTACTCACTATATGCACTCACTAGATATGCACTTACTAGATATGCACTTTCTAGAAAAGCACTCACTAGATATGTACTCACTAGATATGCACTCACTAGATTTACACTTTCTAGAAAAGCACTCACTAAATATGTAGTGACTAGATATGCACTCACTAGATATGTACTCACTAGATATGCACTCACCAGCTCTGCTGAAATTGCCTGGATTTCAGGATCCAATGCTTACAGACACCAACAGTTTTGCTCCAGTGCTAACAGGAAAAAGTAAAATGTGCCAGGACTTTAACGTATGCTGATACGGTAGAATGTGTGTGATCTGGTGGTCTGCTGTGTTGTTTTTGTTATGCAGTGTCAATAACCATTCTCAAGAGAGGTTGCCAAAGGGTTTTGACTAGATGATAGTACAGCTGCTTGTCGCATATTGTAAAAGTGAACTGAACTTGCCACATGTTTTAATAGTAAATAAACTTTAACATAAAGATGAATCAAAATAAAAACGTTTTGTCCTTATTATATCGCAATACTCTTGTATTGCAGTTAAACTTTCATGATTTAATAAAAGGTTATCTTTAATGACTTTCTGTTTTCTGTCACTAATCTTTACTTATCCTATGTGTCTTCACATAAAATTGTTGATTAATGACAGAACTTTTGATTTACTTAAAGCTAAACCTCACTGGATCCAGACTATGAGGGACATGGCTCTGTCTATTAAAGAAAGTCTCTTCTGGGAGTGTAAGGCCAGTGGAAAGCCAAAGCCGTCCTACAGTTGGCTGAAGAATGGGCAGCAAATGATGTCTGAGGTATGGCGATTCCTTAGAACCATTTTCTGTGTCTGTGTGCAGGTTTTCATCGTCTAATCCCTTCCCTCATTTCAGTACATATGTGAAATGGTACAAGGCTTATTATCTCCTTTTCCCTTCTTTTCCTCCACTGCTGTCCTCCTTTCATGATGCCTCTCTAATTGCTGCTGTGCTTTCAGATATAATAGACTGGCCCTAAACAATATATAAACAAAAGTGTTCTTCTTTTCCACAGGGCCGGGTACAAATTGAAAATGGTGCCCTTTCTATATCCGAGTTAAACCTGTCAGACTCTGGGATGTATCAGTGTGTAGCTGAAAATAAACATGGAAGTGTTTATTCAGGTGCCCAGCTAATGGTGTTAGGTAAGACTGCATTCCTTCTTCTGCTTTTACACTGCTGCTGTTTCTGTATATATAATCATCTCTTAAGACAGGAGCAGACTGCTGTCTCTCTTTACCTGTCATTCTGCTAGCATATTGTCTGTCACTGAGGGCTCTGTTAAACTGTGGATCAGATGGAGAGTCATTTTTCCACACTGATTGGAAGACTATAAACAAGTTTTCTGTGTCATTGCGCTTGGTGTTTCATGTAGATGGGGTATTTAATAAGGATGTTCCAACAAGGGTACCTCACGATTCAATCCCATTTCAATTATGGGAGCTTCGATTCTTTGATTGTCCAATTACAATGATTGTCGATTTGATTTGATTATTGGTGCCACGATTCTTTAATTATTGCCATTTTTAATGCTTTTTTTCATACAAGATGGATTTTGTCTTCATCTGTGGCTACATTTGTAAATAAATAGCCTATCAATTAACTCAGTTACTCTAAAACTACACAATAATAAGGTTTTTTGAACTTTTGACTTGTATTTTTCAAAGACACAAAATATTTAATTTTTTGACTCGTGATGCATCGGCACATCAATGAATTGCACCCACCTCTAGTATTTACTTATTTGCAAAGCTTTGATGACTTACATCTGACTGGTTCAATGAGTGCCCTGGTACACAGCAAAAACACATGGGGGTCAAGGTGGTTGCTGACATCCCAATGAATGTGAACAACAGCCTCAAATTTAAAAACATTTCCAGATCTAAAACTTGCTTGGATGTTTTGTGTGTAACTCAGGATGGAGTTGCAGGTGGAACCATTGCCAGTGCCTACAAAGCTATTCTAAAAAATGTATTCATGTTACCTTCACTCATGTTTTCCCTATACAGCTTCACCACCCAGTTTCTCCAAGAGTCATTGAAGGCCTTGATAAAGGCTCGATTAGGCACTGAAGTAACACTTGAATGCAAGCCGAATTCAATTCTGCCTTGGTACACAGCAGAAACACATTGGGGTCAAGGTGGTTGCTGACATTCCAAATGTGGTGATGAATGTGGACAACAGCCTCAAATTTAAAAACGTTTACAGATCTAAAACTTGCTTGGATATTTTTTGTGTAACTCAGGATGTGGTTGCAGGTGGAAAAATTGCCAGTGCCTACAAAGCTATTTTAAAAAATGTATTCATGTTACCTTCACTCGTGTTTTTCCCTATACAGCTTCACCACCCAGTTTCTCCAAGAGTCCATTGAAGGCCTTGATAAAGGCTCGATTAGGCACTGAAGTAACACTCGAATGCAAGCCTGAGGCCTCACCCCCAGCAATTAGTCTGTGGAAGAAAGGGAGTGAGATCCTGCAGCAAAATGAAAGGTAGGTCAAAAGTCCAAGCTCTTGATCATATTCAACACCTGCAGTAAAGTGCAAGAAAAATTGTGCACAGCTAATATACCACTCACACCCTCATGTGCAGATATCTTAGTATGAGCGGTGAAGGTGCCGGCTGGTCTGTCAACACTCCATGCATGAAATATTTGAGAAGATAGAAGATGAGCACAAAGCCTCTGCAAAAGATACACCTGTTGTCCTTAAAATGAAGCAAGGAAGAGTAAAGCAAACTTGGAGGTTTTGATTGAAAGATTTATCAAATGAGCAAAGAAAGCCTTCGTGATGGAATTGAACGCAGAAATATCACGTGGGTTATACATACTAGCATGGCTTTGCGGCAGTCATTGGTGCTTAATTTAGTTTATTGCCTTTTGCTGTCATATGACTTGTGGAATGGATCAGAGGTTAAAATGAGCACCTGAACATATTTCACTTCCAACCAACATGCCAATCAAGCATTTAAAAAATCCAAAATCAAGTCAGAGACAAGACATGACTCAGCTCATGCAGACATTTATCATCCTGTTACCCTGGTTGGAGGGAGTGAAAAAAATCGTTGATTGTGTGCACACACATACACACACAAACACACACACACACACACACACACACACACACACACACACACACACACACACACACACACACACACAGATGTTTTTAAAAATGTTGTTTTTGTTAAAAGCTGCTCTGCTTCCCTTAGGATTACTTTGCTACCCAATGGGACGTTAAAGATCTCTAATGTGACCAAACTGGATGCAGCCAGCTACACATGCTTTGCCAGGAATCAGTTTGGGACAGCAAGCACTACTGGAAGACTGCTTATCACTGGTGAGTTCATATCAAAGTTAAATTTAATCCCAAGTGTAATTGAATTTATTATCTGAAGCGCTTATACTCCTGCTACTTTTAACCCACTGTAAAGCTAAACAAGTTGGAAATACTCAAGCAAAATTCACATTGAGAAGCAGAAATGACTTAATATACTTTAAGTTAATTTATTGTTTAGTGCACTGAATTGTTTTTATTTCTGTGAAATGTCAGAGGTCCGAGAGGCATTATAACATCATTGCTGAGGATAGTTGAATTTTTGAATTTTTATGTCATGCATACCAAAATTAATTGATTTGGTGATACTCTTTAAACGAAAATCCAAACACACTAGTCTTTACTTAAAAGAATTATCTCTGCTAAACCCATAGCCCAGTGAAACCTTATTAAACAATGTAAGTGTGCTTTTCTTTAACAGTGAAGGGAAAAATAAACAATTCTTTATCAGCTACTAATGTACAAGAAAAAAAAACACACATTTCACTGAATGTTAAGATGTACAGATACAGTCTGAAACAACCTCAACATTACAGTAGTTTTATAAAAACTAGCTGACAAAATCAATCACAATGTGTGACAGGAGTGTTGAAACTGTCCAAAATGATCCCCCCAGAGTAGAAACAACATATGAACATCAGCCATACATACTGTTCAAACAGCTAACAGGTTCTCTCTTACTTCCCATGAGTTACAGTGCAGAGTAATAGAAATCAACAGGAGCAGAAAGAGGGATGTATTGTGAACACACACACGCCTTAAAAAAATAAATACATAAAATAAAAAATTCTGACTCAGCAGACAAGGTTTGAGAGGTCTGTGATCATCAAGACACATTTGATTTTTCAGACCAAATGTAAACATGTGGAAGAGTTTCTTTGGGTAGTTTTATGCAATCCTGAGATCAAACTGAATATCATAAGGAGCGTATCAGCCGATCTTTCTTCTCACAACAATGTCATCTTTAGTCACTATAGAAATGCTGTCAGGGTTAGACTGGATTGTACTGGTGGGGTCTTCATTGGCAACAGTGGAGAGAGAAAGGAAAGTCTTCAGTGTCCAGCTCATCTTCGCACTGCAACACATACACACAAATAATGCCGATAAGTAAAATTCTGTCCCATTCTTGCTTGATGGACCGCTACAGCTGATCCACAGTCATGGGTCTCTATTGTGGTATTTTGCCCTTCATAAATACTCCACACATTTTCAAAGGGAGACAGGTCTGGGCTGCAGGCAGGCCAGTCTAGTACCTGGGCTCTTTTACTCTTAAGCCCCGCTGTTGTAACTCTCCCTCACAGATGTGACAGTTAGCCATGGGCACTAACATACCACCAGACCATCACAGATGCTGGCTTTGACCTTTGACCTGAGAACAGTCTGGATGGTCCTTTTCCTCTTTAGCCCGGAGGACACCACATCCATGATTTCCTAAAACTATCTAAATGTGGACTCATTAGACCAAAGCAGACTTTCTCACTTTGGGTCAGTCTGGTGGTCCTGATCGTTGTTGATGTCTGTCTCTGTCCTTACTTGGTAGAGACTGAACTTGTAGATGTCGAGACTAACTATGCACACTGATAATGGTTTTCTGAAGTCCATCTGAGCCCACAAAGTAAAATCCTTTACAGAATCATAAGAGTTTTTGATGCAGTGCTGCCGGAGGGGTCAAAGCTCACAGGCATTAAGTGTTGGTTTTTGGCCTTGCTGCTTACCTGAGGAAATTTCTCTGAATCTTTTGATGATATTCTGGACTGTACATGATCAAATCTCTAAATTCTTGCAGTTTGTTGAAAAATGTTTTAAAACTGTTGGACTATTTGCTCACTCAGTTGTTAAAGTTGTGAACCTGGCCCCATCCTTGCTTGTGAAGGAATGGGCTCTTCAGAGATGCTCCTTTTATACCCAATCATGACCCTCGCCTGTTTTCTAATGAACCTGTTCACCTGTTGAATGATCCAAACTAGCCTTTGTTGAGTATTCAGTTGAACTTGGGCAGAAAAGGACACATTTTTGTATTCTGTTTATTCATGTTTTACACAATGTCCCAACTTTATCAAAACTTAACTTTATTAAGAAGAAATTTACAGTAGAAAGTACTTTTACATCATCTGAACTGACAACATATATTGTGACGGATGCAGAAATATAAAAATGCAAACATAACCTTAGACATTTGAAGTGATTATTCAGTTTGATCCAGGATAAACAGAGCCAATCAAAGATATGAAACAATTTTCATTATTCTAGTACATTTACCTCTAATCCCTCTTTTCATTACACATGCTGGTAGCCTGAATTGAGTTTGTTGACTGAGTGTTTTCAGCAGTTCTTTCTTCATCTTTTACTGGATAAAAAGTAAGCCTTGGAATTGTTTACAGTATATTGGCCATGTAAAAATTACTTTCAACAAATGCATGTTGGAAAAAAATCTGTTTGCTTAGTTACCTTTTATAAATAGGGGCGTTAAATATTAGAATAGAATCTTATCTCACATTGTTTCTATGAACTTCCACAGTTTTTTTCCACCGTGGTGGCACAGTTAAATTTTTGGATTACCCAAAGAAACTCTTCCAAACGTTAACCTTTGTTCAGAAAATATAAGTGTGACTTCTTGATAGTAGATCACTCAAACCTTCTGTGCTGAGTCTGAAAAATGAAGTATCTAAATGACACAAAGGGACCTGGGTGAGGAGGCGGCACAGTGGTGTAGTGGTTAGCACTGTCGCCTCACAGCAAGAAGGTCCTGGGTTTGAATTAGGGTCAGGGCTTTTCTGTGTGGAGTTTGTATGTTCTCCCAGTGTCTGCGTGGGTTTACTCTGGGTACTCTGGTTCCCTCCCACATCCCAGAAACATGCAGAAGTGGGGTTAGGTTAATTGGTCACTACAAATTGCCTGTAGGTGTGAATGTGTGTGTGGATGGTTGTTCGTCTCTATATGTCAGCCCTGCGATGAACTGGGGACTTGCCTTTGCCCCAAGATACTGGGGCAAGTATCTGAACAGGATAAGTGGTAGAAAATGGATGGAGGGATGGATTTGCATGTGAACCATACATCCCTGTATATTAAGATGGCTATCTAAACGAAGAATCTCTTGGAAGCTTCTGTTGAATTGTTTCAGATTGCATTGATAGTGTTTCTATTACACTCAGGCGTCTCTATGTTTCAGTGCAGTTCATCAGATGATGCTCCAGACACTCCCTCCCACTATAATCAGCCAATAAAAGGCACCTGGTACTCCCATCACAACAAGGCCCCAAGTCACTAGCCAAACTCTCCTCCTCTGATGCCCCCTAGTGGTGGAATGAATAATTAAACTCTATCAGATCTGCTGAGTCTCTTTCTACCTCTTAAAAAAGCTCCAGACTCAGCTCTTTAGAGAACACCTGAGCTCTTAAACTCAGCTCTTCTCCCCAGAGGCAGAATGACTGAAACAAATGTACCTCTCTACTTAGACACACTTTACCCTGCGGTTTGAACAATTATGAGGATAATTGTGATGATGATGATGATGATGATGATGATGATGATGATGATGATGATGATGATGAGGATGATGATGGTGAGGATGATTACTGTAGATGGTGACAATATAGAGTCATTGTGACTTCATTAAGTTGGTGATTTGCCTCAGCTAATGAGTGCATTGCCTTATTTACCGTGTGACAGCACTATGCCTAATTGCACATGCATCAGTTTTTGGCATTTACTGATGTTGTTTACTTTGTCGGGATCATGCTTGTGTTGTATTTTCTTTCAAATGTACGTCTCTTTGGACGAATGTATCTGATAAATGACACTGTAAAAATCTATTAGTCGGCTGGACAATCCATTACAGGAGCAATCGAAAGTGCATAGCCTTCATGACCGCTCTGGTGATTGGTATACCTTTGGTCTTTTTCTTGGTTACATAAACACTCTGTCAGTCAATCAATCTTTATATATATATAAAACCACATTACAACAAACATCATCTCAGGACTCTTAACAAAAGGAGTTGGTCTAGACTATATTTTTATGACATTTACAAAAAGCCAGTGTAAAGATGGGATAAAATTGAGCCCTTGTAGGATCAGACCCATTCCTATCTCCTATTTTTTTTCTTTATTTTGTCATATTTTTATTTATTTATAAATTTAGTGTTATTTACAGAAGAGATTCCATAAATCCTTCCTCACCCACCCTCTCCCTTGACATAGCAACAGGAAGGATACAATGAAACAGAAAAATAAATAAAAAAATAAATAAGTAAATAAATAAATACTAATCTACATGAACATCTGCTTTTACATTATATGTACCCATACACACATATACACATGCAAGTAAATCAAGTTACATTTTTAAAATTTTCACAATTTAAAAATTCATCATCTCAGAAAGAGTTTAATTTGTCTCATCCTTGGTGCACAAGAGCAAAAAAAAATGTCTGATACCTCATTAAGGCCAGGAAGTAGAGAAATTGAAGCAGAAAAAATGAAGTTCTTGGAAATGGAAAGACTGGTGCTAATAAATTGAAATTAGCATTGTAATAGTTTGATAAATGGGTAGATAGATGAGGCAGCTGGAAAGCAGGCAGGTCCACAGCAGCAGAACGTCTTCAGCAGTGATCCAGAGGAACCTACAGCATGATGGAGCTCAGGGACTCCCAGAAAAGACTGTATTAGTGACTCTAATGGGACATGATGATTCAAAGTTAATGACATGGACAGAGAGAGGATGGAGAATGAAGGAAATGTGCTCAGTGTGCCAGTATCCCCATCAGTCCAAACCCATAACAGCAGAACTAAGAGCTGGCCTAGGCCTGAACTAGCTTTAAAAATGAGCTTTATCAAAGAGGAATGTTTTAAGACGACTCTAATAGGTAGAGAGGGTCTTTGACCCCCAACACCTGGACTGGTAGATGATTCCAGAGGAGAGAGAGGGGCCTGATGACTGAAAGACCTACCTCCTGTACTACTTTAGGCCTTGCTTGTACACAGGTAGCCAGGTACTTTTATAAAGTACCATCATCATGTGTTCCATCTACACAAAACCGCATAAATGTGCTATTGACTGCAGTTATAAGCATGGCAGACCTGGAGTTTGCCAAAAAGTCAGACCCATTCTATCCAATCTCCACGATAGGATTTATTTCAGTGTGGATCAATAAGTGTCCTCTTTTCCTTTCACACAGGTTTAGTGGGTGATCTTTTTATAAAACAGGACATCAGAGTTTCATGCAGAATTAAACAGTAATGAGGAACTACCTGAAGGTTCTGAAAGGGAAAGTTTAAATTCATTTACAGGTCTTTCATTTCTATTTAATTATCTATTTTAGCTAAAGTAAAATGAGCAAAATAGCCTAAAAAGAGAAGGTAAAAAAGAGGAGACTGGTGTTTATGCTTGGAAGCGCTGAAGTTGAAATTATCTATCACCTGTCTTATCCTGTCTGAAGAAAAGCATAAAGATCCAATAAATTCTTGTGCTATTATACATCATTGATGGACCGGCTTGGGGGTGGTGATGGTGACATGAATGAAGTGGGGTTAGATGGCAAGGGCTACAGTAGTGTGATGTGTTTTCATGGCAGAGATATTAATGTGCTATGTTGTCCTTTGTTGTCTGGCCAGAGTCCACCAGAATCACCATGAGGCCCACTAACATGGAGATTATTGTTGGCGAGAGTATCGTGTTACCCTGCCAGGTTGCGTGCGATCCAGCTCTAGATGTGTCTTTCTCATGGGCATTCAACGGACAGCTCATAGACTTCCAGCAAGACAGCGACCATTTTGAAAGAGTGGGAGGGGTGAGTCATCTAAATTTAAGCTCAACTGCTTTCTGGATTTTGAGGATTAAATGGGACATACTGTGTGATGTGCAAGGGTATTTCCCACTGCCCTGTGGATAACCTCTGAAACACCAGTAATTCCTAAGCAAGAAAATCTATGCTGAAACTGGACCAAATGGCTAGTGGTAGAGAAAATTATAAGTGGAAATACTCACAAAGCACTCTAACATGCATTCATTCATTCATTCATTCATTCATTCATATGCAATTAAATCTTCAGTTACTGGAGCTGTCAAGTCAGTAATGAAGTCATACTTTTCTCTTTCTGCCATAATTGTAACCTTTACTGTTGGATACCAATATAAATCCAAAGTCTCCAAAATATTAAGTGATGATCTGACCATCATTCATTTGAAATCCTTTCTCTGTGAAATAAGAACTCGACAGTCTTTGTGGAATATTTGTTCCATCTATTGAAAGGCCAGATCAACTGTTCAAGAGCCTGCCAGTATAAAATCTCCCTCCAGACCCTTTTCTTTTGTGCTGTTTATCAACCAAGGTCAGTAGTCTGATATTATCTGATATTACATTTAGATGCCTTTACAGTCATGTGGACAAACCCTCCACTGCCTTGAAAGCAAATGGCAATTACTTAGGATATTAAATTTGCATAGGCATGTAATGAAATGTAGTTGTCACAGAATCAGTTTCCCTGTCCACAGAGATTAGCAGCCCCCTCCTCAACAGCTTCTGATGAATTAAACAACATAATTAAAGCAGATCTGTTCATCACATCATTCTTGCCAAGCAGAGTAAATTACTCATGATGGCAAGCACTTAGGTTGACCAGGTGGTGGCTGACAATAGAGCAAGAATCAAACATGGCAAAGCTATGCATAAAAAAGCTGTCAGGGTGAATGAAAGAAAGTGAAAAGAGGAAGAAGAGAAAAAAGGAAAGATAGATAATCTCTTCAGCCCATGGCAGCATGAAGGTGGTGCTCCCCTTGGCTCTGCTTTGTCCTGCTAGCTGTGGAGTTGATGCATTGAAAATTAACCACTGGAAGTGATGAAAGCTGCTGTGATGTTTACCTGGTATTCTCCTCAGGCGACTTGCAGCAGAGTTTTTTCAGGCTGATTTACTGTATGATGTAACAGGCCACTTTTTTGATATATATGGGACATTAACCTTTACGTCTACATACATTGTTACCTTTTATAGATAAATATATTCTACGATCGCAAATCCAATGACTATGGGACGTTTTGTAGAACGTAAATAAAAACAATGGTTTGCAAATCCTTTTCAGCCTTCATTCAGCTTAATACTCAACAAAGACAAGAATTTTATGGTTCAAAATCATAAACTTGATTGCTTTTTTTTGTTTTGTTTTTTGAAATATTCACTCAATTTAAATTTGACGTCTGTAACTCATTCCTAAAAGTTGGTTCAAAGTCAACAAAAGTCTGAAAACTGAGGACTACTCTAAAAACACTTGTGTGGATCATTCCACAGCTGAACAGGTTCATTGGAAGCAGGTGAGGGTCATGACTGGGTCTAAATGGAGCATCCCTGAAAGGCTCAGTCCTTCACAAGCAATGATGGAGACAGGTTCACTGTTTTGTCAACAACTGCGTGAGCAAATAGTCCAACTGTTTAAAAAAATGTTTCTTGACATACAACTGCAGGAATTTGGAGATTTGATCATCTACAATCTGAAATATCACCAAAGATTCAGAGAATCTAGGGAAATCATTGGTGGTGTCCATTGGGCCAAAGAGGAAAAGGACCATCCAAACTGTTCTCAAGTCAAAGGTCAAAGCCAGCATCTGTGATGGTCTGGAGGTGTCTTAGTGCCCATAGCCAACTGTCACAGGTAGTCCAGGTACTAGACCAGCCTGCCCGCAGTCCAGACCTGTCTCCCATTGAAAATGTGTGGAGCATTTTAAAGGGAAAAGTACCACAACGAGGACCCCAGACAGTTGAGTAACTAAAGTAGTTCATCAAGCAAGAAAGTGAAAGAATTCACCTCCGAGGCTTTAACAGCTAGTGTCCTCACTTTACAAACTCTTAGTGAGTTATTAAAAACAAAAAAATAAAAAAATAAAAAACAAACAAACAAACAAACAAAAAAAACAAACAATCAAGTTTATTGGTTTATTGGTTTGAACATTGAGTATCTTTGCGGTGTAGTGATAAAGGTTGAAAATAATGATGTAACTCTAATTAATAGAGAATACAAGAATAAATTTGAAGTTAAACAAGCTGTTAAGTTAATAATTAATCTAGGAGCAATTTAATTGAATATGAGGATAAAAGAGATAAGATTTCAGTTGAACATCATTTATTTCATGTTTATTATTGATTAGAGGAGTAAGAGCATTGTTTCATAGCCAAAGCTTTAAGTTTGTTTAAAGGACATTACCCAGAATGCACCTTGATGTAAACAGAAAATTCAACAGAAAAAAATCAGTTATGTTCTGAATGAGTTAACATGTGGATTTTTCATTCAGTGAAGAACATTTCTATTTAAAGTCTGAAGTCAAGCGTCTTCATTTTTGAACCCTAGTTAAGAAAGATTCTACAGATAATGAATCATTATATTCTGCTCTTATTCATGTTTTACACAGCAGCATAACTTCATTGGAGTTGGGGTTGTGTATTTTAACAGACTGAACTGGGAATGAGTTGATCCCATTAAAGCCACCTCAAACTGTGTGTCTTCAGAATAGCCGATATTTGTGTAAAGTTTATCTGCAATGCGTGTTGTTACAGGCAGAAGGGGAAAAAAAATGATGGCAGAGAAATGTGAAAAAACCAAGAGCCAAAATGTAGTTAAGCATCTCTTACTGGATGTTTTTTTAACTAAAATAATGTTTTCTAGAGGATATCAGGGGATCTCATGGTTCGAAACATACAGCTGAACCATGGAGGGAAATATGTCTGCGTGATTGACACTGATGTGGAGAGCCTGTCCACCTCTGCAATCCTGGTTGTCAAAGGTAAGAGAACCAACTGATTTTCAAACTTTCCTCTTTAAATCTACTGCAAAATAGTATAGCAGTGAAGCATCTATACAGGTAATCACAGAAAGCAGGTTTGAAGAAGAAAAAATGTGTCAAATATTCTCATGAGTCTTCTGGTAAATACAAAATGTAAGACTACTTTATTCAGGAGACTTCTGTTACAATGCTATTTGTGTTGCTGCCTTATAAAACTGTCACACATTCACATTGAATGATGTGACCTCTGGCCTGGCTAAATAGTGTTGATGGTAATGATATGTGTTGTTTTCATCGTGACTTTGGAGACTGCACTTTAAGATGTATGCCCTCTCAAAAGTTTGACCGTGTTTGGTTGATTTAGGCCCTCCAGGTCCTCCTGACAAAGTAACAGTGGAGGAGATTACAGACAGCACAGCACAGCTTACCTGGACTCCTGGAATGGACAACAGCAGTCCCATCACTGGCTACATCATTCAGGCCCGGACGCCTTTCACTGTGGGCTGGCAGGCTGTTGACACAGGTGCCACAAAACACTTGACACCAAAGAATTTATCCCTAACTTTCAGTTACTTCTTACATCAGTCATTTGTGTCTCTGATGTGATTTTGTGAAGTTTTCAAAGCTCCAAGGACAATATGGAACTGTGAAATGTACAAAATGCGCAATTAAAGGTACAGAGAGTAGAAATGGGGTTCACTACCAAAATCTCTGTCAGATTATAATTTGAACTACTCTCCTGCTCACCTCTAAAAATCCAAGCAAAGATCGAACAAGAAGCTTGATTAGTAGTATCCTCCATTCATCCTCCAAGTTTTTTTACAATCAAAAACATCAGTCAATACAAATCCCGCTTCTAGAAGGTTTTTTTTTTCTGTTATTCAATGTCCTGAATTGTTGTGCTGTAGTGCTGAAAAGTACCTGCTTTAATATAAACTCATTGCTGTTTTGCAGTGCCCGAGGAGATCAGCGGTACCATGCTGACAGCCACAGTGGTGGGTCTTAATGCTTGGGTGGAGTATGAGTTTAGGGTGGTGGCTCGCAATACTGTGGGCCTGGGAGAGCCAAGCCCAGCCTCAGCTAAGACCAGGACAGAGGACGCCGGTATGTGGAACTTACACAGATAACACATGACTATGATGAATAGGTTTTTAAGCTTCTATTTTGGAGTATGCATCACAAATGAACCAACTGGTATTTCCGTAATTTTACATTTCAAGGATTGTTAATTACTATGAACCTGCTTTCAGATGTATATACAGCTTTGAAGGTACCAGACTTATTTATAAGGCTTCATAAGACACTGGCAGTTGTTAATACTGACTGAAAGATTTGTATTTGCACAAAGCAATGGGGTTGAGGGGTCTGAAATAGAAGACTTTGCCATAAAACCACAAGCAGTGTTTCCCCTATAGTGTATTTGGCAGGGTGCCCCACCCTGCCAACGAGATCCCAACCCAGAAATTGAAGTCAAAGATTAATATACTGTCTACATTTGATTTTTACTTTAATCAAAACAGCCTAAAAAATACAATTTACGCAATTCCAGACTCTAAAGCTCACAATTGTTTCATTACTTTCAATAAAAAAAGATATCTCGCTGCTCCTCTCACGAGTGGGGCTCTCCACTCACTCTTCTCTTGATCTCAAAACATACACAGGTACTAACATGCCACGCCGCTGGTTCAGAGGCCACACCCACTGATTCTGGTCGCGAGCGCTTGCCTCTCACACCCTGCCAGCTTTGCGCAGGACATTTTTGACAACCCGGGGTTCTCATTGTGTTTTCCACCAACAAAACTATAAAAAAAACTTCATGGAGTACCAAACTATCCCCAAATGTTCAGCATCCCAATTGACAACACAATTCAGATTTGAATCTTTATTGTAGACCCAAATTCTCTGCACTTATGTTAATTCCTTCCTTTGAAGGGAGGGTCCTGCAACTACCACAATGATGGACCCATGCACCCCACCCCACCCCGTCAAAGCAAAAAAGCTAGGGGAAACACTGCACAGGTATTTGTAAGACTGGTCCAATTACCTCTAATTGTTCCCCTCTGGGCTTTACCTCTCAGTTCCTCATACAGCTCCCACTAACGTTGGAGGTGGAGGTGGTACAAAGTCTGAGTTGGTGATAACATGGGAGGTGAGTCATCTGTCACATCTTGCTGTCCTCTCAATGGCCATTGGTTTTGCTTAGTGGTGCAGAATGGAACGGAGCAATTGCATGACCCCTCATTAGAGCAAGACACCTATCCTCTGACTCAGCCTTAAAGTGCCATTTTATTCCCCCAGGGGCAAAGAGACCACTCCTTCTGAAGTATTTTAGCACTTTAACCACAGTTACATAGCTATATCAGGAAGGAAGCTATGGAAGAGAATGGTTGCTCAGTCTGCTGGATGGTAACAGCCAAAATAGAAGCTGTATCAACACAGCCCAGTGACGGACCTGCCTGTTTCTTTTTCTGTATGCCTTTTAATATCACTACAGTTTTGTGTTTTGCTCTTAGCCTGTTTCCGAGGAACTGCAAAACGGAGACGGCTTTGGCTACATAATCGCCTTCAGGCCTTTGGGGATGGTCACGTGGACACGAGCGGCTGTCTCCATACCTGGCGTTGCACGTTATGTCTTTCGCAATGACACCATCCCACCCTTCTCGCCTTTTGATGTGAAAGTGGGGGCATACAACAACAGGGGGGAGGGGCCCTTCAGCTCTATCGCTACAGTATATTCGGCAGAGGAAGGTACATAAAAGATAACAACTGGGGTAGGGGCCCTTCAGCTCTAGGGTGTATTTTCAACAGAGAAAGTCTGAGAAAATACTGGTCAGCTTAGTAACAGGCAGACAGGCAGACAGATTTGTGTGTCAAGCTTTTTTTCTGCACTGTTATCCTCTTTCCATCCCAGGCTGGGAATGCCCACTTCACAGTAGTGCTCATGTTGGTAGGTCACAAGAAATCCCAGCAGACATTTTCTGCAGCCACTCTATCAGAGAGGCATTTCTTTAATTAAATATCAGGGGCAAATAGTTTTTTAGTCACAGATTCTAGGACAGGAGTGGGAAAAATATATATTTATATACGTATTTTTTTAATCAAAACTATAGGTCTATTGTACACCCTTCCTCCTTTGGCTTTTAGTGTGTGTAGCGGTGCTCAATCTGTGTCTGAGTTTCATGGGCTCTATTTCTGCAGTCCCCAGTGTGGCTCCTCAGACAGTTTGGACCAGAAGCGCATCTGCAGTGCATATTGAAATGATCTGGGAAGTTCTCCCTGCCATTCCTGAAAGAGTTCTTGGATATGAGGTGAATTGTCTTTTTTTGTTTGTTTGTTTGTTTTCTAATAAAACTATAGTTTGTCATATTCATGTTATCTACTTTTAGCTTCAAACTGTTAAACATTTTTCCTCTCCCAGCCAGTGCAATACATATAAAAATACTGTATTTTTCTGTGTATTTTCAATGACATTAACACTGTTTGCATGATAGCAAGTCAGCCCAAAAGAGGCAAAATGAAAATCCCCAGTCCCTTACAGATGCTGTTTTTCCTCCCTGTTGGTACTCTTTCAATATGTGTCACCTCTTGCCCTCGGCTAAAAGCACTCCAGTTGCCATGGCAGAGTTTTCAACAGAGCTCATTTCTCCAAACATAAAGAGCCACAGAATTAAGTAGGCCGTCGACAGTATGGATCTAAAAGTGTGGACTACTCATAATATGCTGCTCTCAGACTTTGATTAGGTGTTTCCATGAAAAACCAAAATAGCTACAAAGGGTCAACTCATTTATTGTATTTTATATTAGGTCATGTTATACTAGACTCATTATATTTAAAGATAGTCCCAGTCAATTTTTGGTCTGTTCCTTTATTTGAGTATCAGTTTACCTAAACTCTGAAATCTTTGATGAACAACTTAAAGGGATACTCTGGCATAAATTTAAGTTATGGTCAAACACGCCATAATACTGAGCCACTTATTTTTACTTCATGGAAATGCAATCAGACCGAGAAGCTTAGGCAGAAGAACTACCACGTCTGCAGTGCAAAATAATTACTATGATGATTATTACTTAATGGAAATGATCTGCTGCACTCTGTGATTGACTTGTCAGGGCTCCCCCACAAACAAGCGGCTGCTGGAGGAGAGTGGGGGAGTTGTGTTTAGTCACTTTGCTCATGAAACCAGGCAAAGCTAAAAAGATGTTTGATGGCTAGTGCTATGGCTGGGACCCTATATGTACTGTTGATGAAGTTAGGTGCTGTTCTGAGCATTATTTGTGGCTATAGAGTGGCTTTTTGGTTGAGGTTGGAGATGTAGATCGCTGTGTATTGCTATTGTGCAGTCGTTGCTGAAGTTGGTATAACTAGAGAAGCAAGCAGTCGGCAACATTCATCTCTAGAGGGGGTGTCTAACTTGGTGTTTCGTTGTGTTTGACCATAACTTTAATTTACGCCAGAATATCTCTTTCAAGGACCCAAGGGCGACACAAGGGGGAAGCAACAAGGATAGTGTGGAGAGCACTGTAGAGACAGGAGAAACATAACTAGTAAGGCACAAGATACATCAAGATCTAGAAAAGTTGCTTACTAGCACACAGTAGCTCTAAGAGCTTAAATACCACAACGAGGCTAGCAGGAGCTGGCAGCTTCAGAAGCCGAAGCTGGAGCTTGAGGGCAGTTGCTGATTGCCACTGATGAGTGTCTCAGAGGGCAGACCTCTACACCATGCCTCCACCAGACACTGCTACAAAAGCAGTGTCTGGAACATACAAAATATTAATAACCAACAAGAACAGTATGTTCTGTTTTGCAGTACAAGGTGTTATTTTATTTTTGAAATTGGAGCACATGAGAATTTCTCATCTTCATTAATCAGTTTCCTCATGCAAAAGTCTTGGATTTAAGATTGTGTTTGCAACTGCTTTAGCAGAAAAAGAAAAAAAACAGCTCTCTGACATTTCTTCTTCCATGATGGACTTATGTTACCTTAACCAGACTTCTCTGTTTGACTGAGTCGCTTTCCTTGCCAACAGGTTGTTTACTGGGAAGATGACACAAAGCCTGACACTGTAGGAAAAGTGCGCATAACTGGGAACTACACTCTTGTTAACATCACTGGGTTGAAAGCAAACACAGTATACTACCTCTCTGTGGCAGCGTTCAACACAGCTGGCCCAGGACCCCAGTCAGTACCCATCAACACCAGGACCAAGAGACCACGTGAGTCTGTCCCACAGGGGAATTTTTTCTTCCTATGGCACTACTGCGTGTACTATGTCTTAAGATCCCTGGTCCTGCTGTCTAAGCATGCTGAGGGTCCCTTTGGCAAGACCCTTGACCCCACCAGCCCCCATTGGCAGCTCCCAGTAGTGCCGATATCAAATTAAAAATGAGTGGATATAAACAGTTAAGTTTGTCAGTTTGAACATTTAATATCTTGTCTTTTTAAAGTATTCAGTTAAATATGGATGGAAAAGGATTTGCAAATACTTGTATTCATGTTTTACACAATGTACAAACTTCATTGGATTTAGGGTTGCCAGAAAACCTTAAAAAACAGTTTTTGAGTGCAACCTTTGACACATCTTAAACTCTTTTGTAGCTCCCGATCGGGCCCCACTCAACGTACAATGGACCATTTCTGGTTCTAAACTCATGATTCACTGGGACCCTGTAGTAGCTACAGAGGCAGAGTCAAACGTCACTGGATATTTGGTAGGTCCCGGTTTGCTGCAGAGCCTGAAAATATCCTCAGAATCAAGGATGGTTGTTTTTGCATTGAGAATCTTTCTGCATCTTTCTCCCTTGCTTCAGGTGATGCTGAAAAACAGCCACAATGAAATCAACACGATCTTCAGTAACAAAACCGCAGTGGAGCTCAATCTCTCTGCCAACGACAACTATCTCCTTCAGATCAAGGTCATGAGTGAAGGTGGTGAAGGCGTTGGCAGTGAACCCATTCACATTCACACATTAAGTGAGTTCCTCATATTTCATTTTTGTATCATGTCTTTTCTGCTGTTGATAATAGTGACAAGAAAATCAGTTATATGTCATTGCCGCCCTCTTTTAATGTGTGTAAGACATATTTTGAGTACCATCCAACCTCTTCAGAAATGCATGCATGACACCATCTATCTTTGCCACTGGGTTATTAATCTCTGTTGACTGGCTGAATAGCACTGACGCATATCAAGCAGTTCTGTGACCCCATCCAACTGCTGTGGAAAAAAGTGAGGCTCTGAGTTTGCCACTTCTTCTTTCACATTCATACAATAGGAACTGTATCTACTCATAATACTGGCTGATTAAAGCGAATATCAAATAGACATTGAAAAGAATTCCAGCTGACTGTGATTTATGATGGTCTCTCAAGAATTTATGATGGCTGATCAGAGGATAGTGCAGCAGAGGGAAGGATTTTGTCCTTGATTCCTAAGAGTTGCTCAGCTTTTCTTCTTTTTCTTCTTCTTTGCAGGCATGAGGGCACAGGGCTCAGGTGCACAGGACTCAAGAGCAGTCCACGGCCCGTTTTGCCTCTCCTCAGTCCTCATCAGTGTGCTGCTCTATTCCATCTGGTGATGTCTAATCAGAGCCTACAGTAAGCCCTCCCTCCCACCACAACAGTGAACCATCAACAGGACTGGCAGACAGCCCATACTTCAGTTTCACAGCCGAAGGAGACTAAAACAGAACCCTCAAAGGGACTTTGTCATTTCCTTTTCACCATGATTAAAGGGATATAGTTTAATGTATGCATGACATATTTAAGTTTATTTTTTAGTCTCACCAGCCTTGGTTCTCCTTTTAGTGGTTATGTCCAAATGACTAATCTTCTTCTAGGTATCTTATGAGATGCCACTGCCTTAAGACTAATTCTATAGTCCATACCAAAGCTGGTGATAGTTATTTGTGACAAGGTTTGTTAAACTTAACTTTGAAAAAAAGTGAATCTATAAGAATTTATTTAAGGTCGACTTCTTAACTGGCGATATCATTATTATTTTACAGTCTAAAAAAGAAACTTCAAACTGAGCCAGTTTCACTTATTTACAGTAACCTTAACCTTAATCCACACTGTAGGTTTAAGTTTAGCAGACCTTGGTAGACATACTGCATATTCATCAAATCTTCAACATACCCACTGAGAAACATTAGGTCTGTTTGGAAGCTGAAGGATCCTAAGCTTAAGTTCGCCCTACATGGTCTGTTTTATCGAGGTATTTTGCACTCTATCTCATGCTCCAGTAAATAATAAATACATTTCACATGCCGCATTCTTAGTCTAGAGAAGGAGCAGGCAACAAAGCTGAGACAAGGATGACTAAATCAAACAGATCCCTTGTACAATGTTCTGTTGGTCCTGTATTCTGAGTTCACAAGGAAAGACAACCAGTTACACTGCTTTCCCCTTACAGATTTCTTCTGCTTTTGTTTCAGACCAAAATACAGTTTTTAAAATGATTATTTCATTTATTAAGGGGAAAAAAAGCAATCTGAACCAACCTGGCCTTATGTGAAAAGGTTATCTTCCCCTTGACCTAATAGGTGGTTGCGCCACCCTCGGAGGCAACATCTGCAGCCAAGCGTTTGTGATAACTGGTCCTGAGTCTTTTTCCTGAGGAGGAGTTTTGACCCACTCTTCTTTGCAGAATTGTTTTCATTCAGCCATATTAGGTGGGGTTTCCAGACAGTTTGAGGCAGGGATGGGCAATCATGTGCCATGGAGGTCCAAGAGGCTGCAGGTTTTCTTTCCAACCCAAAACTCCACCAGGTGATTTCACTGATCAGTCCCTGCTCTCTGCTTGGAGGTAAGGTAATCAGTGAAATCACCTGGTGAAGTTTTGGGTTGGAAAGAAAACCTGCAGCCTCTCGGCCCTCTATGGCACATGATTGCCCACCCCTGGTTTAAGGTCATGCCACAGTATCTCAGTCAGATTTAAGTCTAGTTTGTGATTAGGCCACTTCAATCCTCTTTTTTTCCCCTTTTTTTGATGAGCCATTCTAGAGATGGACGTGCTAATGTGCTATGGATCATTGTCCTGCTTCATAGTGTGCAGTGCACTTGAGCTTAATGTCACCAACCGATGGCAAGACCCTCTCCCTCAGAGTTTTCCAGTAGAGAGCAGAATTCATTGTTCGATAAATTATGGCAAGTGGTTCAGGTTCCAAACAATGTGGTTGTTAAGGACAGGTTGGTTTGAATAGTCCCCCCTCCCCCCCATAAGAAATGAATCCCTAATTTAAAAACTGCATTTTGTATTTACCCAGGTTATCTTTGTCTGATGTTCAAATTAGTTAGATGATCTGGAACATGTAAATGCAGCAAAAAGGAAAAAAAAAAAAAAAAACTCAAGAAATCCAACCAAGTAATCGAACGATAGGAAAATACTTCAATACCCCAAAATTTGGTGATTGCTAACATATGTATGTTTACTTAGAGTGGCTATAAGTTTTACAGTACTTTGAAGTCCCTGAGTTCAGATTCATACTGGGGGACATATAGCGTATACCCTCACCACCCCTGATGACCAGTGGGCCCAGTACACAATGACCTTTGGGATAACAGTGCCTTCACTAGAGCTCACAGTAGACTTTTACCCATCCTCTCTAGTCCAACATCACTAAGGAGAAAATATCATTGTGAAATAGAGGCAGTTTGATATTATTTCTGAATGGATCCCAAGACAGAAAACATTGGTTGATAGATGTTTTGGGGCTTTAAGGCATCCAGTTAATTGATGCCAAATTTGATGTCAAGTTCGAGGTAGTGGAGATTTGGCATGATGTGGACCAAAAATCGAGACAGTCTCTTTACTACTAACTCACAGTTACTAAAGAGCATTTCTTCTCTGCTGAGGGAATCAGTTACCACTTCCTTTTATCATGTGTCTGAGTCCATCAAAGCCACCTAAGCCAAAGTCAAAGTCTGGTTACTGGGGTTCTTACAGTGTGTCTATGTGGATGTGAAAGTGTACAGTTAGCTGAGCTGCTACACATTACTGTGCCTTTGACAAACACGGGGCTAAGTGGGTCATTAGGTTGGAGACTGTCATCATCTGTAGTTTGCACTCTCTGCTCCCCTCCCCCTCCACCCCAAAGGTCTATGAAAGCACAACGAATTGATGCAAGGTGGCAGGATGTCTTTACTTCGCCACCTGAACAGGTGTGCAGACCCTGAGATCTCATCAAAAGTCCAGCCTATATGATGAGGTGTTCTATCTGTCCTCGACTGGGTTCACATAGCTCAGTGCTTATTTATTAGACTGCGGCAGACTAGTCCATTAGATACTGATCTCCCTTGGTTACTAATGTGGTCATATTTCAGCTGCTTCATTGACTAACAGCAGCTTATTTTGTGTCGATTATAATGATGTTTTAGATCTCCTCTACCTGTGTACTTTCAAAGGCATACTGTTTTCAATGTTTGGTTATGCAACAAATCTTAATGTAATTTTAGTTTTTTCTTATTTTTTTCAAGAACTTTAGACGGTAGTGGTACACAAAGACTTTAGATTTCAGCATTTACATGAAAAAGATGGCCGGCGGTTGAGAAGAACTTCAGGGTACTTTATTTGTTGTTGACCATGAACCAGTTTTCTTTCATTGCTAACCTTTGAGAGAACTGGAGGAGGGGGTGTTTTTGCACTCTCCAGGAAACTGATAAAGTATTTTATGGATATCCACTGTCCATCTTATTTCTTTACTTTTCTGAAGTAAGAGAGAGGTACAGATCTATAAAAAAATTAGTGATAATCTTTGATTGACTCTTGATTAAAGATGTCAGATGTCAAACTCATAGATTAATCAGTTCAAATGCTTAAGTGTGACGTAGTTTCTCAGAGTTTGTGTGTGATGTCTTTCACGTTACCCTTGTGTTTCTGGCCTTGTGTTCTGATTAAATTAACATAGTAGACTCTGATGGAAACATTGAAGGCACCAGCTGAGACATGATCCCTGAACAGCAACATACATATCTACGGTATTCATATATAGTTTGGGTTTTTGTCTGTTTTTATTAGAAAGAAGTGTACCTAGTGACGTGTTAATAGCCTGCATATATTTTTAAAACATGGCCATCAAAGACAACCTTATTGCTCTTATATAGTGTGTTTCCCTATATTAATACTGATGTATTAATCAATTATCTCTGTGAGATACTGACATTTAGAACGGTATTTTCATATTGAAAAGTAACTATTTTGAGTTGTATACTAAATTGCATGTTAATCATTGTGAGTTTGTGTTAGATAATTTTCTAAGCTATAACTTAATAAAAGCGTTATTCATGCTCTTTGGCTTGTTGTCTGCTTTTGCAAAGGTCCCATTTACAACATTCACTGTCTCAGGAAAGCAGCAGTCAAGATCAGAGGGTGGGTTTGGTGGTTCATGGTTTCAGTAATACAGACTCATACTGCGGTTTGAACCCTACTTGAGTACTCTGGAGGCTCTTTCTGCACTCACCAGTTTGCTTCTTACACAGAAAGAAATACTTTTTTTTTTTTTAACAGGCAAAATATCAAGTGAGTCGTTTTTTTTTTTAATGATCTGCTGTTAAAACATGATCAGGAGGGAAGAAAATACTCTTAAATTGGTTTTGAAATGTCTTTCCTGGGGATTCTTGTTGCTATCACTTTATTGTTTTAAGTTCTCCTTTGTCTAGTAGTATTTGAGAACAAACCAGTAGGAAGGCCTGCCATGCCATTAATTATTATTATATTCATCCTTATAAGTGCCGCTGCCTGGTTTAAAATATATATATAAAGTTCATTCAATTTGAGTTGACTGATTTTCTCATCAGTTCATGCAACTTTTTATTACTAACAGAAATTTAAGCAAGGTAATGCTCCGTTTTGCATTTACAATAAGAATACAGAGAAGGGTCATGTATACAAAAATATAATATAGATTTTCTTAAGACAGCACAATAAGAAAAAAAAATAGTATGCATAAACTTACTTCACATTGAAATTCAGAGTAAAACAAACACAGAGGAGTCTTCTGATTCAGAAGGAAATGTAGTTGAGTTTGCTTTGACTCAGTGTCTGATCTACAAATTTTGTTGTGGCAGTTGAAGTTTTTGAAAGAAATACTCAAAACAAGGAAACACACCCTCTGTATATAAATCCACAACTGTTTTAATGCTGCTCTCAATTCATTCATGAAACATACTGTCCACTGAAAGAGTTGTGATTCAAAGTTACTGTTTCATGTGTCTAGATATTTACCCCTATGCTTAGAAATGGAGTTAGGCTCCTGAATATAAATATCACCGTCATCTTCTCATCCATTACTCTAAATACACTAACAAGAGATTTCTAGAGACATGCAGAGGAAGAGATGTAAAAATGTGGGTAAGATATTCATACATATTGTACTTATTCTTCCAAGTGTAACCCAGTCAGGGCAGACATTAAAGTCTCACCTTTTATCTGTTAAATGTATGTATTTTCCTTTTAAATAGGAACTATTTAAAAAGGTAAAAACGCAATCAAATGTCATAATTCCATTCACAAGTTCCATATTTCATTTATTTAGTGACATTAGAGCACCCCCTGCTGGTGTATGTTGATAGGGAACTAATGTTCTCCTCACTTAGACAGGAGCGAGTCAGCAGCAGGCAGACGCACATGGCACGCAGAATGAACACCACTATCCATGGTGATGGGGAGACAGACGTTTCTTGATTGATAAAGACTGGAAATAAGTACAGGCTGTGAGTCTGGAAAATAGATAAGTTCAGAATGAATGAGGAGAAAAGCAAACCAATTCATATTGTGAACTTTTTTTTCTGTGACCTATGTGGAAAAGAGGAAACCAGTTTGTTTTTGTTGCTTACATTTGTTGTAAAAGCGGCTAAGGGTAAACATGACTTTTGGAAATGAAGGGTTTGTTATTTTTAATGCTCAGGGATTAGTTTGGATTATTTGTTGTAGATAAAACGCAAGAAAAAAGAAAACAATACAGTAAGTTTGAACTAAAGAAACAGTGCTGGTGTCAGTTATTAAAGGAAGGCTCAATCAGAACAATTTCTGCACTACCTAATGACATATCCACTCCTCAATTAACCTGGACTTAGATCCTTGACTATGACCCACACAACCTCACGCAGAGCACCTGAGAGGGTAACACGATCAATTACAGAGGTAAGTCCATCCATCTTTTGCATCACTTTTTGGTTTCTTTCAATAACTAATAACTAATTTTTGAGTTTTCGTGTTCTATCAGCTGAACTCTAGATTTTTCACTACATCCAAGAGGGAACTTTTCCTGACACAAGGGCACCGCTCCCCACCCTTTGACTACGCCACTGGTACTTTGTCAACTATTCTTCATATCATGACAGAATACTACTTAGTACGTTTACTGTTAATGTGAGCATGAGGTATGACAAACCCACAGGTAAACATACACACCCAGTTATTTGCCAGTCAAAACGTTTCTTTGAAAACACTTTTTCGGTTACTGGAACAAAGAGAGATTAAAAACAAATGTGATGTAACAGCAAAGTCTGCAATAGAAACTTCTTAAAAGAGTCCTTTTTTAAGCAGAAATGAAAGTAACATGAATATGTGACTGAACAGGAATCATTTATTAACATCTCATAAAAATAAAACACATTTATTTAAATATGTAGTGTAACTTCAGCCTACTTTCAGATGTCAGCTTGTATCTTAAGCCAGCAGACTACAGTGGAGAGACTTTTCCTGATATAAATACATGTATATAAAATACTGGCGCTGTAACTTGGACTGGATCATTCAGAGGAGTTGTTCTGACATCGCAGTCTCTGATACTTTGCGTACGTGCTTCTGAAGTTACCACAGCAGGCCTTGTTGTGGTAAAACCTGTAGGACAAGTCAGAGAACAAACATATCAGCGCTTATCACCTGATGTGATGGTGTGTGTTATCGGATATGGATCGTACCTGTTTGAACGCAGCTCCCTGTCTATCTCCTCCAGGGTCTTTCCTTTGGTCTCCGGTAGCATGAAGTGAAAGAAAACTGCAGCTGCCACAGCAATGACCCCATACAGGAAAAACATCCCAGACAGACCAATCAGATCTGGGGACACACAGATAAAATCCATTTGGTTAACCGGTTCTACACATTCACATCTGCCAGTGATTGTGCTAATCTCTGTCTCTAACCCAGCCCAGAATCTCTGAAATTATGCTGGATCAGACACCACTCTGAATCACTGCACTCAGGCGACCCATGAATTGGTCATTGCATGAAGTAGCAGCCTCAGTCTCTGCAACTGTGTTCTCCAAAAGCATGCACTGCTTAATGGTTTGAAGTGTTTGTGTAAGCAGTGTCTGCAAGTCAACTACAACAATTACAGCCATCTGAATGTCAGCACCCTTTTATCTAGAGGTTCAGAGAGAGTTGGGACATAAAATACCCTCCTACCTGACTGACATTATGGGGTTTAAATGTGGTGAAAATGCCCTTTAAACTTCACCCTGACAAATTTGTGGGAGATAAATGCTAATAGAAGCTGAACGTGCGGTTTCATAGAACATATAAGGCCCCAGTGGACCATTAATCCTCCTGCAAGTGCGGGAGTCACCTGTTATACTTTTTTCCAAGACACATGTTAAAGTTTGACCAAGTTTCCTCTCATTCTTTGAAAATAAGCAGAAAAAAGATTTCCTGCAGCTTTTGTTGCACACAGTGTTGACTGCTTGACAGCACTCAGATCCTGCTGCTTCTGTTTCCAAACCTTCTGACACAACACTGACATAATTAGTCGTGTCCAGGGTGTCCTTGCACCGCAATTTATGAGCATTTACCCACTCTTCACGGAAAACCTAGATATTCTCATAGTTTGGAAAGAATGACCAGTTCTTTTGTTCATTCAGGATAACTTTTGGTCCAATCTCATAAATGCTGCTTATTTAATGGGGTTTAGTCAAGGTTTTTTGGCCAAAGACTGAAAATAAGGATAACACAAGGGTCAAAACATTCCTGAAAGGCTCCTGTTTAGAGTTTTGTTTGCCTGTATACAACCGACTGAAGCAAATGAGAACATCACTGACGGATTATTGTTTTGTTGTAATTTTAATGCCTGAAACTGCTGCCACAGTGTAGGACTAAGAAGATTAAAAACTTGCAACAGAAAGCCTCTTTTTAAATTTTCTACAGCCAAGATTCTTGATAAGAAGAAGGTAGAATAATATTTGCCTTGTTTTGGTCAGATAACTGTACTTGGGCGCGTACAGAACAAAAACACTAGAGAGATGAGCAAACTTCTCAAATCAAAAAGCTCCACGTACAAAGGTTTTAGTATAATCAGGTCTATTTCATGTAAGAGACAATAATATCCCAGCTATACATAATCATCTGCATCCTATATCATCATTTGAGTTTCATGCAACTTCATCCATTCCCAGAGCTCTGCTATTCTTTATGTTGGCTCACAAGCTTACTGAACAATCCCCATGAAACAAATCCTAATTAACATTATCATATAACTTAACTTATCCAGCTCTGACCACACAAATGTCTGATCTGAAAATGGAGTGTGAGAACTCACCAATGAAATTCAAGAAAGTGAAGGTGACCAGCAAATTAGCAGCCCAGTTAAAGCAGTTGGTAAAGGCGAAGGCCCGTCCTTTGATCGCAGTGGGAAATATTTCACTGAGGAGAAGCCATGTCACTGGAGAAAGATAAAACAAACAACAACAAAAAAAACATTTATTTCCAAGCTAAACGAAATTAAGATCTATGGTGGACAACAGAGCTTGACTGATACTGAAACAGTGAATCTGAAGTGAATGAAGTTGGTTTACAAGGTACATTTGCCAAGAAAAGTAAAGCTATATTATGTACCTCTAAGTAATAACAGCTTAAAAGTGCTTACTACCCTTCTTTGTTGAGTACTTGATTTTAATCGGTCCTCACATTGCAATATTTCACAGCAGGGGGCTGTTATTTTTAGATAGCAGACTTCTGCTACCTCGAAAAGAATGTTACTGGGTATGCAGCTCTAATCATAGACTCTGGATGAGAAAAGACAGGAGAGGTGAGACTGTAGGAACACAAAACTGTGAGCTATGATGGGGTACATTTAAAAACTGAAGACAAAGCATGAAGTGAACACTTATCAGATTAATATGGTTAACATATAAGATGGTGAGAAAGTTCCAGTTGCAGCAACTTCTCCCAATCCAGCTGATCACTGTTGACTTGATTATTAACAGTTCTGTTTTTACTTTTATATCTGATTTATCATTAAAATAGGTGTGGTTGTTCTAAGTGTGCCTGATATAATCTGAGGATAATGGAGAAAGGCGTCCCTGTATGCAGAGAGTACATAGCCTTGAATCTTAAATTAACTTCACCATCCATGAAGATGGCTTCAGAGTTAACCGTTACCTTGAATGTACTAGTATTTAGCAGCACTTAGAATATATTACTTGGTAGAAATTAAATATAATGTTTGTTAATGGTTTGTTCAAATAAGGTTTTTATCATCTAAATATAAATGTTGTTTTTAACTTACAATAAACCTTTGGTATCTACACAAGAGTCGTCCCCCTTCCACAGAGGCTGCCATCTCGCACCACCATGTAGGGGTGCAAGATCTTGGATTTATGCTGATATCTGATTTGCTCATATTTTCGAAGTCATTTGGGCTAACACTGATATCAGTACCTGAAGAAATATACCTTTTTGTTTCAAAGAATCCTTATTTTCTCCTGTTACAGAACCTACCTGTCACTCTGTTAGAGGTAATTAAAGATGATAAAGGCATGTTTCCTCATACAGACATTCAGTGATGCTTCTTCTGTTCTCACTTACATATATAGAAGTGGTCATATCTGCTGATACCAAGAATTATCTTTTTAAGCTAGTATCTGCCAATGTTCATTCCATGTTGATTATATTGAGCACCCCTACAACCATGCTAGTAACATACATGTTTTTGTAATTCATGAGTTGAGAAGCGAAATGCACTGGTTGAAGGACCAGAATAACAGATTTGCAAAATAGACTTTGTTTTGCTAGATGATTATGATGATAAAATCCCTGACATACTGGGGGTCATGCTTATCCTGGATGAGCAACAGCATTTCAGTTTACAAGCTGAGTACTGGATTTACCTAAATAATCATCTTCCTACCCACATTACCTTCAAATCAATAAACTTTACAAATAAATATTTGGAGTGAATTAGAGATATGTCAAGTAAGTAACCATGTAACAAGCAAGATAATGCTTGGCCAGCAGGTTTTAGTAACTGGATGACCTTTCAGGGGACCCGAGACCCCTCTGATAACAATGCATTAAAATGTTTATTGCATGGCTTAGATCACATTATCTATTACTGATAGCATGGCCCTGTCTAAAAAATTATGCTTTCTATCACATCTCAAATTGAATTTAATAGGGTTAAATATTTCTAAGTTTATAGAAAGTCACAGTCTGTGTAAATATACTAACTTGGTCCAAATCCAGTAGAGTACGCACTGACGAAGGCCATCATACACACGAGAATGACCCAGTTCACCACTTGGTTGCTGGGGCGTTGTGAAGACTTTAAAGCAGAGCCTGTTAAATTCTGTCCAAATGGATCAAATATACCATTTTCAGTTTCCGGAAGTCTTTGGCCCTCATTGAAGGCTGTTTTGGCAACTCCATTCCTCCAATTTTGTCTGTGACTCCGAGATCTCTCTTCTCCATCCACCAGATAGATGGATGAAGCTGCAGTTTCAGGAAGTGACTGATTGAAAAGGGTAAATTGAGGCAGATCTGTTCTGTTGACCCTGAAGCCATTTGAACTACAAGGCTTAACAGCATCCATCACTAACTGTCCACTCAAGAGTCCAATGGTTATCAGACTCAGCGCCATCACACAACATCCGCTGATGAGCAGAGGCCTCCTGCCCACCCTGTCAGAGACCACCATGGAGATCAGGGTGGCAATCACTTTGACTAATCCCAACCCCACAGATGCCAGAACTGCTGAGGAGTCACTCTGAAACCCAACTGAGTGGAAGATGGTGGAGGCGTAGAAGAGCACGTTGGGCTGGCCTGTGAACTGCTGAAAGAGCACAAGAGCGAGACCAATCACAGTCCGAGTCCTCATGTTGTTTTGACGCTGGAATAAGCACATCGTGTTGTACTGATCTATTTGGCCCACAATGACTCTTGAACCATCTGATTCTTGGGTTAGGAGGTCTTGCTCTGCTTGAGAGCAGTCTTTTCGGCATGTGGAGTTTCTTGTTCTTCTTTGAAGAAACCAGACACAGACCAGCTGAATCAAAGCTGGTGCTATGGCTAATCCAAACATCCACTTCCACCCACTTTTAAAGTCCGACAGGATGTAGTTGACGGCGTACGCTGCCAGAATTCCCACCGTAACTCCAGCTTCATACAGCGTTACCAGGAAGCCCCTGCGATCTGGGGTTACCAGTTCAGACACATATATACAGCAGGACATGGATGATAAACATATGGAAAAGCCCACTATGATCCTGCCCACTAACAGTGCAGGGTAGGAGCTGATGAGCAGGACCAGGCTGCCGATCAAGATCAGGATGTTGCTCAGGATGATGGACTTCCTGCGGCCTTGCTTGTCAATCAAACAGCCGCCGATGATGGAGGACAGCAAAGCCCCTATCAACATGGAGCTGACCAGAGCCTCCTGTTGGACACATGATAGCTGAAACTCCACCTTGAGCTGCAGCAGGGCTCCTGAGATGATTCCCATTTCATAGCCAAAGACCAGACCACCCAGTGTGGACACGGTACTGGCCAACAGGAGGATGACATTACCTAAAGGAGGGAAAAAAGGCATTTTAAAAGAGCAAAAAACTAAGATTTACACTAAAGACAAGAAACAGACAGGAGAGCATCTTTAATCCTTTTGAAAATAATTTATTTATTTATGCTAAACAGATGGTCATTAATCATTTGTTACTATGAGACACTTTGAACTAGCAGTCCCATTAAATTATATCTCACTTAGTTCTGTACATCTGACTAGTATTCTTGCTCCCTGATCACTTGACCCAATTAATTTGCATTCAACAACAATGGAAAACATGGAGTTGTCTCGATATCCAATAAATCTGGGAGATTGTGACTTTTGGTGCCAGAAAATCAATCATTGACAATGTTATGATGATAATTGGGATCACATACAGCTATTTTTTAAATGACATTTTAACACAGGTGTTCACACAGTTTGTGTCTCTAAAAGGACCATAGCTCTGCAAAGAGTATTTCTCCGTTCACGACCACCAATGAAAAGATGATGAAAACTGTCCAAGAGTAAAAACATTCAAGAGTCCATTAGTAGATTAAAAGTCTTTGTTTAGACAACATCCAAACGCTTAAGCAGAAGAACTACCATCTGCATCTGCAGCGCACATACAAGATACACAAGAACTCTGATTGGATTTCCATGAAGTGCTAATCATAAATTTTGCACTCTGTGATCGACTCGTCAAGGCTCCCCTCAAACAAGCGGCTGCTGAAGGAGAGTGGGTGAGTTGTGTTTGGTCTCTTTGCTAAAGAAACCAGTCAAAGCTAACAAGATGTTTGATGGCAAGTACTATGGCTGAGGCCCTATCTGAACTGTTGATGAAGTTAGGTGTTCTGAGCATTATCTGTGGCTATAGAGTGGCTTTTTGGTTGAGGTTAGCGCGTGGAGACGTAGACCGCTGTGAAGTTGGTATAACTAGAGAAGCAAGCAGTCGGCAACATTCATTTCTCGAGGGGGGTGTCTAACTCCGCGTTACGGTGTGTTTGACCATAACTCAAATTTACAATGGAATATTCCTTTGGGTTTCACAGTTAAAATTCCAGTTAGTGCTCACCAAATATTTTATGTTTTAAAGTGATAAGACATCAAAGTGTTAACATCAAGAAATGTTTCTTCTTCTTGTTAAGTGTGGAAATACAACAGAAAAAACAGCATGTTTACTACATCTATAAATGAATAACGTCATATAGTGTGAGCTCACACTGCAGTTCTGTTTTCTGACGTACAGATGTAAATAGGCTTTTGAACATAAACATACATTTATAGCACAGTATATTGAACACTGTGCTTTAATCTTTGCTGAATTAATTTAGAGCAGCTCATACTTGACATTACATGAGGTTTATTTAGTGCAGCTCCTGTCAAAATGGTTTCAGACTGTTTCATTTTATCCAGTTTCTAAATGTGTGACACACTTTTATCACTCTCATTGTTATGCAGCTGTGTCTCACATGAAGCTCTTTCATGTTCAGCGTGTATTGAGAGAAATGCAAATGATGCAAATCCAAACAAAAGCTGCTGAATCTCGGTGCTTTTTAAAACATATTCTCTCTAACCAAAGAGACAGCCTATGTAAAAAAAAAAAAAAAAAAAAACACACACAAAGAAACCCTGAATTACAATTTTTACAACTTTTGGTTGATTCATTTTAAGTTTTATAATTACTTCAATTTCACTACATTATTTGTCAATGAAGGGCAGTCAAAAGGTCACAGAGCAGTGGTATGAAACCAGAATGAAAACAGCAGCATAAAAAGTACTATCAGCAGTAAGTGAATAAACACAGAACAGTTAGAGCAGTAACTGCACAGCAGCAGGACGGTGCAAACATTACGTTTGTTAGCCTTTATTAGGTTCCACAATAAAGAGAAACCTCATTCATTTCCTTTTATCTTTTACCTGCTCAACTTTCTTTGCATCAAAATACCTACAAGATAATATCTCTCAACAGCCAATGAAGTCATTCATTTGAAACTCACCCATGATCTCTGTCCGGCTATGTGCACATTTCAGTCAGACTCCTCAGGTCCGGATTAACTCCTTAGATAAATCCCCCCTTTGAAAAGAATACGAAATAAAAGTAATTATTTGTTGCTGTTTTTTTCCAATCTTGAGTTCCTGCAGCTCCCACCCGGTTTGGTTCCTACCATGAATCCTGCTTAGAGAAAAGACAAGGGAGTCCAGAAGTGCCTATTGCAGCCTTGTTGCCCTGACAACTGATTTGTTGTCTGCCATGATTTCATTAGGAAGTCCACTTGAGATTGGATCAACAAAACACAGCTGTGTGGCAAACACTGAGCCCATTTGGTCTTTTATAAACAGCTCAAATCCCACAACCTGGTAACAGCACAGGAGTGAGGAATTTAGTGTGTGCCTCTGACTCCACAACAGGAGGACTTTACAGCCATGTGATCAAAACTCAACATCTGAGCTCAGGTTTGAAAGATTAATAACTTCACAGAAGTAAATGAAGGGATACTGGCAAAGGTTAAGGCCATAATACACGAAATAACTCTGAAATATTTGGGTTTAAAGCCCAGTGGACTGATCAAGCATTCAAATATCAGAACAACATGTTGATAAGTATCATCAAACACCTCTGTTCAATTAAATCCCTTACATGCTACAAACAAAAAATCTACTCCAAATGACAACCATCATCACTACATTTTAAATGATAATGAAATATTATTTTTTAGGACATAGGAAAAGAACATCCTGTTGGTAAAATATAATGTGGAATAAGAATTGTATGGAACACAGCATTAGTGTGTACAGTTAGCCCCAAGTATGGTGTGATACTTCAAAAGAGGGCTACCATGCTGACCCATGCTCTAGAATAGTTGTATGAATTGTGTTAGAAGCAAACTGGTATTAATACCAATGAAGAAAGTGGTCAAAGTGAAAACAACTGAACTGTACTTTAGTCAAAATCAAAATTTCGCCTTTAACATGATTTAAATTCGTACTGAATGAGTAAAGTAGTTGAAGTGCGTTTGACAACAGTACATTCAGTGAATAAATACGTAACCATTATTGGAGAAAGAGCTTATACTGGTGATAAAGTGGATCTGGTGAAATGAGAACAAAATACAGTCAGATGATAGTTGATGTCAGGCTCTGAGGTACTACTGACCTTTTAATCCAGCAACCAGCTTTAAAACAAACATTGCAAGACACTGAAATTAAATCAAACCAGCTGAGGATTGTACAGCCAGATTTTCTGTCAAGATCCAAAATACCCAACATCATCAAACCAACCATTAGACAACTTTAAAGCATTTCCTCACCTGATAAAGCCAATATCTGAAACCTTTACATTCAAGTTTTACCACTGAAGCAGAATTACGAAGTTTTAGTATACCAGCCTCAAAATATGATGATATCCAGTGTTATTTTTATAGACCCAAGAAATCCCCCTTCACTATCACAGACAGTGACACTGCTGCAGTACTCACCCTGACAGGATTTCATCCTCTAAAATCGGTCTTGTTTCCTCATTTTGCTCACGTCTGTGAGAAACTGGAATGACATTCCTGTGAAGTTCAGGGCGGCGGGGACTTCCTGGTCAGATAAAAAACAAATACTTTTCACTATGAGCTTTCACTATGAACTACATGATGAACAGTCATATTTAATACAATCAAGAGCACCAGATGGACCCTAAGTGGAGATCTTTTGCTTGTGTACTATTGTAGGAAGTCTATTATCTTATCTATTTAATTGTGAATTTACTGTGTCCAATTGCTCATTGACTTAAATAATATTATACACAAAATTAAGGTTTTCATGCGTGTGATGATTGTGTGTAGTTCTGTATTGCCAGCATTATAGTTGTTGGTGTTTGTTAAAATAATTTAAGCCCTTTTCTGATCAAAATAAAACAAGACCAAAAAAAGCCATGTTTGGCTGATCAGTGCTCTCTGAAAAAGTCGAAGGATTGTACCTTTACCAATAACAGTAAAACATTCCTTCTTAAAGGTTTACTGATTAAAAATGGGTGTTTTACAACATCTAACAATCTGATTTCAGGTTAAAAATCTCCCACACTCACCCCATTGGTGGTGGAGCAATGGTGGCCTGCAGGGACAAGAGGGTCCTGCAGAAGGTGATTATACTAAGGAGTCCTAGAAGATCCATAAAAGGGAAACATTTTATCATTTTAAGGTGTAGCAACCATCATAAATAATTTATTCACACTTTGAAGGCAACTATTAAATATTTTTCACTGTAGACCAGTGTTGGCTTAATTTAAATAAGACATTTAACTAATAACTTTCATTAAAAAAATAACAAGAACCCCTTGGGTTTTACAGATCCCAATATATTCAGTTGCTCTAAAATATTCAGTTAACACTGGTATCAGCAAATAAACAAATTAAGCAAATCAACCCCCTTTTGGGATTGACAGATAATCCTATGTAACATTTTGTATGCAATAAAAACCCAATAAACTCTCATAGCATTTCATAAGCACTTTAAATTAGCTCTCCATAAAAAAACTATGAGACACATATTTAGTTTATTTAAATGACCAAAGGCCTTCTGTTTTTCAGTTTTTAAGATTGTAAGCTTCTTATCCATGACGAAATAGAAAAAAAAAATTTTAAGATGCTTTTCTCCAAATAAAGAAACAATACAACAATACAGTTATACAACACAAGGGAAAAGACTTCTGTAAGATTCATGCAGGCTTACAGAAAAATACTTAACCAAAACTATGAGTCTCCTTTACAGTGCTTACTGACGTGCTGATGGGTCATCATTCTTGTTGTTTGATGATGTGACTATCTATGTCAGCTTGTTTTTCACCTCTTGTAATTTGGCAGACAGAACTACAGGGTGCATTTGAGGTAGACTTCAAAGATTTGTTTGCGAAACTTGATGTTTTTAGTTGCACTAAAACCTGAAGAGGTGACAGTGCAGCAGGACAGTTCCCCCCAGAGTCATTATGGACATCTTAATGATAGTAAATTCAGTTTCCTTTATGAGGCTTATTGAAGGTTTTATGAAAAAAAAAAGTATTGTTTACCTGTAGGCTTATTGAACTCGTTGGTGAAAGATGATGTGAAAAGTAAACAGCTCTGGTGGCATTATTGCACTGACACTTGGCCTTAGCTTGTACGCCAGTGTTTGTAGTTGCATGACTCCATTGGGACTGAATAATTCCCTCCTTTATGTTAAGAGAATGAGAGGCTACTGTCTACTTGAACAGGCCCTCTTTGTCACCTCATATCAGCTCCCAAACAGTCCTTGCAGCGTTGAGTGGGTCCGTTATTCACTGTCACTGTCTGTCTGTCTGTCTGCTCAGGAATTCCTGCAGCGATCCACATAACTTTGTCTCCAGAGTTTAGAGGCGCCAGGCAGACGCGCTCAAACCTGGCACCGTGTTTGATAAATTTGGTTATGGCACAGCCGGGGAAAAAGGGATGAACTGACCGTAAGTAGCAGAGGGATGCTCCTGGAAAAACTTCAGAGCCTTCAGGAAGTTTGAGCTCGGCTACGTGGCAACAGCGTCAGGTTACAAGACGAGAAACGCAGAGGCGAAGTTTGGACGCCAGAGGTCGACAGATTCCCAAAATTCAGAAGGGGAGTAATGCCAAAAAAGGTTTTAAAGGACTGAAAAGTTCAGCTGATGATAATAATAATAATAATAATAATAATGTTGTCCCTGTCTAAGCTGTTGTTCAATATTGTGTTGGCATCAAATTTAAAATGATAGCTTAATTTATCCTCTATGAATAGTAATTTTTAGTGCCACCATTTGATTTACTGTGTGGTTATACTATCGACAATCAAACAAAGGCTTTGAGTGATTTGCAAACCTTTCCATGGGATTGCGATAATATTATAATCCTCATTATTTGGCTATTTAATTTTACCAGCTAGCAGAAATTAGTTTGGTAATAATGCAAAAATTACAAGATATCTTAGAATATGTTTTTTGTCAAATCTGTGTTTTTTGTTTTGTTTTGTTTTCTCATTTGTCTGTTGTACAGTCAGCTGCCCCAGCAACCATTTAATTTAAAGTCAACTTCAAAGTTGTGTTTTTGGTTAACTATTTAACATGAGTCAAATATATTTGACGGACTGATTTCACCCCATGATTCAGAGATGCAAAGTTAAAAAAAAAACATGTGGGCTATCAGAGCTGTAGGACTGATGTCATACCTCTACTGCTAATAATTAAAAAGAAAATCTGCTGATAAAACTTTAGAAAAACCTTCATCAGGTGGATAGTCTTCAGCAGAACAGATTCATGTGTAGGGTGCATTTAAGCAGTTGTATGAATTAAGCAAACTGAATTAATACTAATAAAGAAAGTGGTCAGAGTGCATGAAAAAAAAACTGCACTGTAGCCAAAAAACTTTTTAGTCTATGATTTAAACTTGTACTGAATGAACAAAGTGACACTCATGGTCATGGAAATCCATGGGTGCCATACCCTTAGCAGCATAGTCACCTGACAAAATTAAGGTCTAAAAAACAAATTAGGCAAACTGTTTCTAGAACCAAAGTATTATAAATTAAAGGTGGGGTAGGCAGGATCTGAGGAAGTGCCAGTTTTGGGGAGAAATCTTGAATGTAAACACTACCCCTCCCCACCAGTTTTCCCCTCAGCTCCTCCTCTCCCCTCAGTCGCTGCTCCAACAAGCCCCGCCCACACACAGACGCTCCTCCTTGCTCATATGGTTCTAATTACATTCAGATATAATGCAGATAAATACTTCAGATAAATACAAATATACCACCACAAAAAGAGATGCTTCTTTAACGGAGTCCTGCCTACCCCAACTTTAAAGCGAAGTTAATATATTAGAATCAAAACAGTTAGCTCCAATTGATATGAAACTCAGAGAATTTAGAAATTATCAGGCCTTAAAACATTTCTCATCTGAGCATTCAACAAGAGGCAATGAGGCTGGAACAGCCCAGCAGTCTCACACAGGACAGTTACTGGCTCTATAGAAGTCTCGTGCTACCTTGCATCTTTGTTAAAAGTTCCACTCCTGGAGTTGACACCTCAACAAATCTGAAATCCAATAAAATGTCATCTGTTGTTTATCCTGGGAAATAATTATACCTTTTTAAAGAGGGTAATCTGCGTTATTTCGCCACCCTCTGTCCGCAATCCCCTCTATCCTCCTGACTACCAGTAGTTCAAATTTGTCTTCTGTGGAGGACCATTGTAAACCTGTAAAAGGGGGTGGGGCTTAAGTACTTTTCCTCTTCCCATAAAATGCGCATGCACTGATGGCAGCCATTTTTTCTGAGTGAGGAAGAGGTAGGTACTGAAGCCCCACCCCTTTACATTTGGTATCATTGAAAAGCTCTAAATGTCTTCTGTAGAAACCAAAAGGAGTTAATTCAGTAGTATGCAGTGGGTGGGAGATATTGAGGTTTACAATGGTTTGAACTACTGGTAGTCAGGAGACTATGTGAAGGAGTAATTATTATGTCCGCCAGGGGGCAGCCTCCAGAAACTGAGCACAGGAAGTGATCGGACGGTAAAAGAAGGCGGAAGTAAACATGGCTCAGGAGAAGAGCATGGCGGTGTCGGAGTTCCTCAGTAACGCAGAGTTATTAAAACAGGGAGCAGAGGCCAGGGTGTACAGAACTAAGTTTCTGGGGAAGCCAACCATCTTGAAGGAAAGGTTCCCGAAACGTTACCGACACCCGGTGCTGGACGAGAAGCTGACACACCGGAGGACGGTGCAGGAGGTCCGCTCCATACTGCGCTGCCGCAAAGCAGGTGAGTGAGACCGCAAACCGCCCCCTCCTGGTTCCCGCAGACTGCTGGATACTGTCTCTCAGCATATCAGTAGTGTTTCTGATCTATGTTTAAAAAATCTTTGTCAGAAATGGACTGATTTAGGGTCGTTAGGATATCAGAATGTTGAACTTCTACACAGAACTAGTAAAGATAAATAGAGCTGCTCTGCCTATCTGTCTCCGGTGTGGCGGAGTTTCTCACTCCGTGGCTGCAACTGTAGCATTACACTGTATCTGCAGAAGTCTCCTGCTGCAAGACGTTGTCACCGTTTGTGTAGTGACAGTAATATGCACGTTTTCAGTGCACTATAAAGAGAAAAAACGCCGGTGTCCTCTCTGGTCTGCTAGCCGTAAATTGTTTCGTTTGTGGTCCCGACCCGACCACTGGCTCCTGTTTTACCCGTTATCACTCTTTAGAAATAGCTTATCCTCACACAGATGGACTCATTCACTGTTGCAGGTGACAGAGAGACATCAGCAGAAATTAAAAATTTGTTCAAATCTAGTTAAAAGTTCGCTACAAGAACTTTTAATTCTATCAAATGTGAAAATAATGGATAGATCAACTGAAAATGTAAGAAAATATTTTTTGAAAGATAGCTAAGTAGATATTTTTTTGGTTTTACTTTTTAAAGAAGTAAAAGAAATTTACACCAAAAATCAAGGCACAAGAATGCATTAGAATAAAGAAAAGATCAAGTTTAATGCTCCAAATTCTGTTAGGTCGAAATGCCAGGGTTTTATTTTAAATATGGAATTTCAAATTTTATTCAAATTCAATTTCAATTTAAAACTGAGTGTCACAATTCTCAAAAAAGAGGATAACTGATCCTGCAGGTCAGACTGAAAAAATAAATAAATAAACTGGCAGTCAGAATCAGCAAAGAAATAAGGAAAGACAAAATGATCTTAAAAGGTAAAAAAAAATCAGTTTCATGTTGAAACTCATTGATTTACTGTTCTTGTTATTTAATTGTTTTCATGATGGTCATTTTTCCACCCATGGTGTGCTGTTAATGCTGCGTTCGATTTACCTCAGAAGCCAGATGTCAGAGCTGGGAATGACATCACACCCTAGTTACCAGTGTTTCAGTTACCAAATCGGGAAAAAGCAAAATCAGAGGTGAAAACAAGATGGCTACATCTACGAAAGTTATTTTAACGCTTGCCTTGTCCGGATATAACAAGGATGCTGGTAACTCGGGTGTGACGTTATTCCCAGCTCCGACATCTGACTTCCGAGGTAAATCGAACACAGCATTAATCTGTCCATATTTAATACAGATCTCAGCATTGTCAACATAAATGATGTTACAACCTGCTATCTAAAGTATTTTGGCTTTTCATTAGTCTTTTGACAATAATACAAAAATACAGTGTAATATGATTCTCATTACAAATTTTTAAGGTCTGCAGTGTGTGATGTCTGATCTCCCTCCTCTCTTTTCTCTCCAGGAATATCTACCCCTGTCGTCTACTTCGTGGACTACACCACCCACTGTATTTTCCTGGAGGAAATCGTTGGATCCTTGACAGTGCGTGACCACATCGCATCAGCTCAGCAGCCTGGTTCCTGTGCAGATGCAGAGCTCGAGCAGCTGGCGAAGAGGATCGGACAGATCCTGGCCAAAATGCATGATGAGGACGTGATTCACGGAGACCTGACCACCTCTAACATGTTGCTGAGACGCAGACCAGAGAACAAGGAGTCCGACTTAGTCCTCATTGATTTTGGCCTGAGTTATAACTCTGCCCTGCCAGAGGATAAGGGGGTGGACTTGTATGTGCTGGAGAAAGCCTTCCTTAGTACCCACCCGAACACAGAGTCTCTGTTTGAGAAGCTGCTGAAGAGTTATGCTGCATCATCCAAGAGGTCAGCAGCAGTCATCAAAAAGCTGGACGAGGTTCGGTTGAGAGGGAGGAAGAGGTCGATGGTGGGATGATGAAGGGGTTTGTGTAAAGGGACAGACATCTTTGGAAATAATCATTGAAAAACATGTTTGATTTAAAAAGCTGGTATTGTACAGAAAAGGATTGTTTTATTTTAAGTAAAACCCTCAAATAAAAACAACTGTTTGCTATAAAACAAAGTTGACTTTGTACTGACCAAGATGATATATCTAAAGCAGATGCTAAATGCATTAGTAGAACACAAAAGCTTTCCTGTCATTATTACTGTAGGTGTAAGGAGATGGCAGCAGACTCGGTAGAATCCGTTAGGCCCACATGACGGACGTCAAAGACAGCATGCATGGGCGGTGCCCTGATTTCAAGAAGTAAAAGCAGCTGAATTTGGTTGAAATTGAAAGTTTACAACACAGTATGTTGACTTTCTCTGTGTTGAACAATAATTATACATTTCCTTTATTCTTTCTGCTCTAAGACGTCGATAAAAATCTTGCTCCCAGTAAATTAAAGTACATAGTGAGATAGTACCATCATTACCCTGTCAGTCAGACTGTGTAAATGATATTTACCTTGTGCATTGTCCATTAATCATATTTTAAGAAGGGAAGCCACTAGTACTGACTGTGGATCAGCTTTCAAACTCTGAACTTAAAGGAATATTCCGGCGTAAAATAAAGTTATGGTCAAACACACTGTAACACCGAGTTAGACATCCCCTTGAGAGGTGAATGTTGCTGACTGCTTGCTTCTCTAGTTATACCAACTTTAGCAATGACCGCACGATAGCAATACACAGCTTTCACTGCCTGAACATTCATGCAGAAATGTGGTTATATCTGTAAACAGGACACATGTTTACGCTCACTCCTGGTTTCCACTCAGTTCACTTTGAACGGTGACAGAGGGTGAGCTGAAGTGAGAGGGAACAGATCAGAAATCTTGTCAATGATTTGTGATAAATGGTAATTCAAAAACTTAAAAGGACCAAGTTTACAATGGGACTTCTACTGGTGCAACACATACTCTAACATAGTGCTCATACACGCTTAAGAGAGAATGGTGATGTCGAGGGGGTCTTGGAAAAAAATCCTCAGACTCAACAGGAGAAGAAATCCCTAACGTACAGAAACCAGATAGTTTTTGTTTTCAGGACTTGAACAATTCGCAGATTCAGTTGTTTCTCTTCGAACACCAGGGCATATGTGCAATTCTGACAAGTGGATTGTTATTATTTTGACTTATGCATATAGAGAAATCCACACATGCAGGAGGATTCCCGCCTGAAGTGGCTTGATTTAGTGAGTCACAATGCAGGTGATTTAGCAGGTTGTTATGCAAGAGGCTGTAACAGGTCAAAGTCCCGGAGGAGGTGCGACAAGACCAGGATATGTTAAGAAAATCGACTCTCCAAGCCCAACTCTCTACCTGTTCAGTGAGTGAACCACTATGTGATCTTCAGAGTAAGGAATCAGTTTGAACTCCAAATTACCCGTCAAAGTCTGCGTTCACTTCAGGATGTTCTGAAACGGGACACCTGGGTCTTCATGGAGTTCCTCCAGGAAATGAAAATTCTGATTGAAGCCCTGCTTGTTGTTTTGTTCATACAAGGTAAGTGTCAGTGGCTCACTTTAAAGTTGCACCTCAATGCTTTGCACTTCCTTTAATGCTTTGCACTTCTTTCCGTGCTTCCAGGTTCCTCAGCTGAAACCTCCACGGAGCGCAGCGCCTTGGTTGGAACAGATGTGACTCTTAGCTGTGTCTTTGATAAACTATCAAAGCGGGTGGAGTGGAACTCTCTCACCGTGGAGTGGTATATGGTGGATAAACAGTCTGTGAAGAGGCCCGTGTACATGTTTGTAGATGGGAGAGCGCACATGAACAGAGCTGGCTCTGTGGTGGATGAAGTGCAGTTGTTACACAGCGATGCATCTCTGAAGCTTTGTAATGTGACTGTGGGAGACGAAGGACTTTACACATGCAGGATCATCACCCCTGTCGTCTACACTGAGACTGCTTCTCTGCAAGTACGAGGTACGCCTCTTTGTGAAACAATTTGCCTTTCATGTCTCTTTCCAAACTGCTGTTTTACTTATTTATATACTTACCTTTAATGAATTTTTTTCTAAAGCCAACAACAACATGACTGCATACTACACAGTTTTACCCTAGCTCCAAAGTTAGTGCTCTGTATTACATATGGATAAAAACAGAATTTGATGGCTTGAAAATCCTTCAAAACCTGTTTTTAATTTAATATATTAAATTTGTATAAAGACATCAAGTCAAATGTAGGAACTGACAAAAAAAAAAGTGCATTGTTATGCACATTTGAACTCTAGGAGTTGGAGACCAGTTTCTCAAAATTTGAATGTGAAATGTGACACCTGGACTCTTCTACTAAAGAGCTATGCTGTTGTTTATACCTACAGGAGGTTTGGCTGAAGAGGCAGTGTTCATACATTCAGTGGAGCCTCAAGTTGTTTTCCATCTTGTCTTTTACAGTTTTAACCTTCACCAGAGATTTACTGCAGTTTGAATGCAGAAACACTCAGAAATGCAATTTCGCACTTATTTTTCTCATGATATGTCCTGTAGCATCAGAAAAATGCCACAAGAATGTAGACAACAAGAAAGATTTTCATCGGAGTGGTTCTCTAACTGGCAGATATTCAGGTTTTTTTTTAGTATCATAGAACTTTTCAAGAGTTTTGTTGCGACTTTTGAAATGTATTGGTGACAAAATTCATAGTTAGCATCTTTTTTGGCAGAACATTGTTTTCAGGCTCAACATTGATCATGTTGTCTTTGCACAATAAATCTAAATCACGACATTTTACACAGCGCTGCAGGAGCACTATACTCTAGAGCTGTTTTTCTTTATTTATACGACTTTGTAATTTATTTTCCTTTGGAGACTGAATGTATATATTTTGATGAAGTAATGGTACACCGGAAAAAGAAGCAAATGCTCTGTTTTTGATGTTTCCAAAGCTCGACCTTCAGTGTCACTACCACAAAAGATAGCACTGACAGAGGGGCAGGAGAAGACAATCCAGTGTAACATCACAGGTTACTATCCAGACCAACTTGATGTGACGTGGCACATCCAAAACAGCTCCAACATCATCCCTGCAGCTGCAAACCAGCTCTTAAGTGTCTGCACCAACATGGCCAAACACAACCCAGATGGCACCTACAGTATACGCAGTGGCATCACACTGCACTCCTCAGCAGTGAAGGGTGGAGAAATGCTTCTCATCTGCAGGGTGGAGCACCTGACCTACAGTCAGCCATACGACAGATCTGTTCGACTGACTGTTCAAGGTGAGACTTCAGTTTGTTCTTCACACTCTGAATTCAGAGAGAGAGAGGCAGGGCAAGTTTATTTGTGAGGCACATGCTGGCAACAAGAGAGTTAAAGTGATTCAGACAATAAAAGAATCATTACAGGGCAGACCTTCACACGGTCTTTGGAGTTTGATTTTGCACAAACATGTCAATCTGAGAAGCACAGTCTTTATTGTTAAAATGAACACCGTCTCAGTCTAATCCTTTCAGGGATTATGAGTTATCCACCATCGAATTCCCCTTTCTGGAAGAGGGAGGGTTTACTTCATTTTTATAGTCTTTTTAGAGTCAGTCTTGCTTCCACTTTGTCTGAGTTTGATCCACTGTGGGTTGTACATTTGTTGGATATCTCAAAAGCTTCTTTTCTTACAGCTCAATCACTGCCTCCCCACATTAGTGCTATTGTCATATTCCTGGGCAGTTGTGTGATCCTCTCCTTGGTTGCCACTCTTATTGGAGTTTCTGTGTCTGTCCTAAGGCGACTTTATAAAGGTACGTTTTATTTTGAACAAAGTCGTCGCCGTAACACTTCACTTGACGCCTATCTCTATAACGCAGTATAACTATATGTATAATGCATTATAATCACATTAAAGCATTGTATTACTACAGTTATAAACACTCATAAATGATCATAATGCTTTATAGTAATAATCATACCAAATTATAAAACATCATATCATGACTTACAAGGTCAGGTATCATAATGTGTTACAAAGCCTTATGATAATTAATGAGTGCTTATAATGATAGTTATACAAGTTTTTAGGCAAATTATAAAACATCATAAATATATGTATAATGCATTATCTATGTAGGCATTGTCAGTGAGTTGTTATCAGTTATAACACATTATAATACCTGACCTGTTATCATTATTGCTATAAAGCATTTTGATCATTTATGAGTGTTTATAACTATAGTTATACAGTGTTATAGCGTGATTATAACACATCATACATACATTTATAATACGTTATAGAGATAGGCATCAAGTAAAGTGTTACCGTAGTCGCTTTGGTTGGGAGTTTTTCAGGTCTTACTGCCTCCTGATTATGTGATGAACATCCCTCTAACAGAAATTTGGTAGAAAGTTTGTCTTGAATTGTTAAACCGAGTAACATCATGCATGTCTCTCTTCACAGCTCCACCCAATGTTTCTCTGATCACACCCAATATCGTCCACGCTAACAAGCCGACACGCCTTCAATGCGTCATTCGAGGAGAGACAAGGCGGGCACTCAGAGTGAAATGGATTCAGAGCAGAACAACTGCAGGATCAAATGACTGGTTAGAATCTGATTCTCTGTTCTCGGGCGATGAGGATTTAAGCCACACAGCTTCTCTCGAGACAGATGGCAAAAAACACATAGCTGTCCTCCCTGTGTGCCTGAGCATCAAAGAGGACAAGAACAAATACCAGTGTGTCGTACAATGCAGGGGCAAAACCATCAGCAGAGAGGTCACAGTCCAGGTTCAAGGTGAGTAGACCTAAACTCAAAGTAGCTGTCAAGGGCAATCATGCCGCAGTAGCATTAAATATTTCAATTAGCAGCTTCAGAAATGCCCCCACTAAACCCCACTCAGATCTTCAAAAGTGGACTCACACCAATGCTCAACATCCTCCTTCATACTGACATGATTGAACATAACCACCCCTCTCCTCTTGTCTCACAACCTCCAGTGGAGCCCACTCTCCTCCAGATCTCCAGCATCCCTCAGATCCCCAGGGTGGAGAAGCGGCTGGTTCTCTGCTGTCGTGTGGAGAACTTCTATCCTCCAGATGTGGACCTGGTGTGGTTCAGGAGTGACGGGGAGCAGGTTCGCACCTTCCCTTATTTTGGACCGTTCTCCGCCCAAAATCATCTCTACAGTGTGTGGAGTAAAATGGAGCTGCTCATGGCGACAGAGGATGAGAATGTGTGCTACACTTGCAGAGTCTACCACACCAGCTTCTCTGAACGTGGTTACAAAGATGTCTCATACAACATCAACACTCAAGGTAACAACAACAAAACTTCCCCAGCTAGCGAGAACATGGCTGTGTAATATGAGTCTGGTTCTGCTCAAGGTTTCCGCATGTTAATGTCAAAACTATATTCGGTTTATGTAGTTGAGGGCCTGGGCTGTACCACTAGGCAAAATCAGCTCAGGAACATGGCCGCTGTTTTCTCATCAACCATCAACCCAAGAAGGGATGTGTGTGTTTCTTCAACTAAGCAGTAAAACCTTATCAAATCACTAGAACCAGAATAAGCTCCTGGTTGAATACAAGATTTAAAGACCCACTCCGATGAAAATCATATTTTCCTTGTCTAAATGTTCATATGGCATCTTTCTGATGCTACAGGACATAACAAGAAAAAACTGAGAGCAAAATTGCACTTCTTAGTATTTCTGAATTCAAATTGCTATTAACCTCTCACGGACCCAAACTGCAGGTTCAGATACAGTGAGATTCCTATGTCATAACCCCAAGCTCCTCCTCCTAGAGCCTCGCTCTGTAAGCCAGACTCAGAGAAAGGAGGACGATCGAGGAACAAGTGTGAATGTTGGTGGATCGCAATGCTTGTAAGAAAGCTAATTATGAGATCAGTTTTCATCATGCTCCCGAAGACATTAGTGTCCGAGAGCTGAATAGCACCCATGTTACCTGCCACTTCTCCTATACCGGCAATGTTAGCCTACATGCTAGCATGAAGAGGAGTGTGCAGAGCAGCGCTGTCTCCACGACTCAGAGGTGAATCGCTAATGAACTACTGGAGCTCTGCAGAAGAAAAGACCTTAAAAATGACACAGGTAACGTGATTTTGGCAAAAAATTTCATAATCACAATAATTACCATCTTTAATGACCAATTAAAAAAAAAAAAGAAAGAAAGAAAGGAGGAACCAATAATCGGAGTGGGGCTTTAAATATACATACAACCCTAATTACAAAAACGTTAAGTGAAAACACACTTTAAAAAATTTGTAAATTTAAAAATATGGTTTTAAACTTATTTTGATGGTATCTAAACTTCCTGTGAGGAGTTTTTTTTTTTAGGCTGAAATTTAGATTTATGTGCCCCTCTGTTGACATTGGAGGAAAAGAAAATTAATGCCTGGCCACTAGTTCGTATCTTGTGGCCACGAGATAGTAAGTCATGGCCACGAGAAAGTTAATGCTTGGCCACGGGATAATAATTTGTGGCATTAACTTTCTCATGGCCACTGGTTATTTTCTCATGGCCACGCATTAGTATTTTTTTTTCTCCAGTGACACCAGAGGGCCTCCGTACAAAACACCATCATGACAAGATCTATTTTTTTAATTTCCTTATTTTAAGGCCTGAAACTGGTGCAAGGGATAAAGCATCAGCTGAGCAGATGAAGAAACAGACACGTTTTTACAATTCCACATTAAATCTTCACAATAAATGATACATTCAACTGTAGAAAGTTGGCAGGATGTTCTATTTATTATTCATTTTTTTGGTCTGAAGTAACTACTTAAGCCTGAGGAGGACAAGATAAAAGACTGCTTTGTCCACAAGGGGCTCCAAACTTGACATATATCATAAGTTTTTCACAGGAGCTTTAAATCATGATATATTTGATTTAAAATAGTGCAACAGCAATATTTTAAATATTGAATGTTGCATTTATATGATAGTGAAAAAAGCCCAAAGAACAGAAGCTGCACTCTTGTTAAGCCTATGTGGATTTGTATTCTTCCTCTATGTCATGTGCATCCTACCTGTTCAGATAAGCACACTCCTTATAATCTACCTTGTCATATTTTTGTTTATTTTATTTATACATATATATATTTTTTTCTATTTTATTTTATTTTCTTTATTGCTCTTATCTTGCTGTTTTCTTGCTGCTCCTACTCTGTAAAGTGTCCTTGAGTGTCCAGAAAGGCGCTTATAAATAAAATGTATTATTATTATCCATGCACAAAACCACATACTCAAACACAGCCTGAACCACAAAAACCTAGTAAACTCAAATACAAGTCTTGTATATTGCTGTGCCTTCACCCTGAAAGAGTCAAGTGTGGAAATTATACCCCGGGGTAGTGTCATCTATATTCTTACTGGTGTACTAGAGTAAATGCCCATCCTAAGAATCAGAACCTACAGTCCAAACCTTCCTTCCTAATAATGATCATTATATAATTGATACCCTGCAACATATCTGTGAAAACTCAGCTAATCAAATAAAGCTAGTAAAATGGAACTATTCATGTAAACAGACCGAATGCAGACATGTTTCACACGTTTCCAACCTGTTTAATATGTTTCTACCATCTCTGTTGAAACAGGGTCTGCTCCTGAGTTGACATACATTAAGTGTGAACCAAACGTCCCTCTGTTAAACAAAGAGTGCACTCTGCACCTGTTCATCGAGGACTTCTGTCCTGAGGGTGTGACTGTGACTTGGACTAAAAATGGAGAGGAGCTTCTCTCAGGTGTCTTTAACACTCCTCCAAGCCTGAGCATCAACGGCTGCTATTCCATGTTCTCTTTTCTCAAATTCATTCCCACGGAGGAGGACCAAGGAGCCAAGTTCACATGCAAGGTGATCCACAGCGCCCAGAAGGAACCTGGAGAGGAGAGGTCTTACGTACTGAAAGCCCTGCAGGTGCCAAATGGCTGCTGACTTTTTTGCTTTGTTAGCATGTTTTTGTCAATATACAGCATTTTCTTTTGTGTTGTCACCAAAATGTACGTGCTGTTGGAGCTTTCCAACTATGTCCTTGAAAATGATGACTATGCACTTGCAACATGCAGCACATACATGAACAGTAGGGACAACATCAGGGCCGTCCCTGGCCAGACTGGGGCCCAAAACTCTGGTGACCATATTCCGAATCCCCAAAAAGAGGACATTATTACGCAGGGGTGGATGCGTAGCAGATTTTGAGAGTTTTTCAGGTCGGGTCGATTGTTTTTTTACGCACTTCTAACTCAGTAAGTCCACACGACACAAACTCAAAATTTTCATACAAAACCCCAGACATTTGAAGGATTTTATAAACTCCCCTGGACAAGGCTGGGCAAGCTGGACAGACTCCCAAAAAGAGGACATGTCCAAGTAAAAGAGGACGTATGGTCACTCTACCCTATATGCAGAATTTTACTTTAAGCCCCCACCCCTCCATTACAAAAAATACTCTCTCATGAAATGCCATATTGATTTACAGCCTTTAATAGTGGAAAATAATTAAATGGACAGCCTCAGCTATCTTATTCTCATCAATGTACAGGATGTTGGCTTTGTGCAAGGTACATAATACAGAGATCGATAACATACATTTGTGTTTAAGTATAGCTGTATCATCTTTGTTTAGAGATCAACTTTTGAGACCTGAGGGAAGCAAGTCCAGGATTATTACATCTGTGCATGGGGGGAAAATGTTGGATAACATCAAGGAGTGCATCCAGTGTGCCCTCCTGTGGTATCCTTAAGTATTACACTGAGTACCAAACCAAGCATATGAATCACATTTAGGATGTATTCAGCTTTATAAAATGTAACGTTGTAATATGTAATATTCCACATGTTCAGAGTTTTTTAGAACAATCCCAGGGGTCCTGAAGGTCTAGCTGACTCACCAGCGAGCGCTGACAATTGCAACACATTTCAGTGGGTCTTCAAGAGTGTTTCAGAGGAAGTTAAGGAGAGATTTAAAAATGAGTCCATCGTATTTAAAAGTGTACCGCAAGCATTTTGTTGGTGTTTTAGAATAAAACCGTCTGGGGTGCTGGTTTGGTTCACTTAGTAAACACCCAATGGTTGTTGTCCTCATCACACTTGTTATGGGATCTGTTTCCGGTCCTGACTTCATCTCGCGCATGCCTGTCTCCTTGAGGCTGCCGTATTCAACTTAACACAAGATGCCAAAATAAAAAACCTTCAAATAACGAAAAGGAGAAAAAAAAAATCCTGTGCAGCTTCCTAATCATGAATCAAAACACTACAATAACTTAAAACAGCGCAGAAGAAATCCCATGTTTTCACCTTCTTTTTTCAGAAGACATCATGGGTTAAAATAAATGATGTATGTTTTTTTATATGATATAATCAAGCTAAGGATAAACAGGGTTTCTACACACAGTATAAACTGAAGTTTAAGTGAAACATTTCTTCAAATAAAAAGCTTCTTGTAATTTTGAGTTTTTGTTGTTTGGGGTAAAAAAGTAAAAGTTTCTGCAGTTACTATTGAATAACAGTACAATGATCTCTTCTTGATTTAGTATGAACAAATACTTGCTAAATTGCACTAAAAAGTTGTTTTCATTATTTTATACTTTTATGACACTTCTATCAGCCCCATAAAAAAAGAAAATGTATTCCAGTTTACTGAGTTGGGGGGTGAAGGTGAAGTAATTTCAATGAAATTTGACAGAGAAATGTAAAAATCATCTTTTTCTTTTCATTAAATTTTTATTACTTTTAAAATGACAAGAAAGAACACGGCAGCAACAATGTACATGGCATACAGTGACGGCAAAACACAAGACGATCAAAGGGGAGCTTTTCAGAGGGGTCACGAGTTTTGAGCACAGGCAGGTGGGCTGTTATCTGTTCCAACAATGTTACGGATAATATGTCAGTTACAGATAATCTCACCTGCAAAGTTATCCCTTCAGAAGAGGTCCAATCATTATTCTATCATTGAACTTTCTTCTAATGATGAGGGGTCTGGTTTGCTGTGGTCGCCACACTTTTTATTGGTATAGTTAAGTTTTAGCTTAATTCTGGGCTTGTTTCCCCACCACCGAAAACTTGAAAACAAATCATTTCTTTAAATTATTGATGCGGGAGATGTAGTTTTAATGCTGTTATAAGAAGGGAGGGTCTAAGCAGTAAGTTTATTTTTACAACCTCAGCTTTGCCCCTCAGTGACAGAAGTGTGGTGAAGCAGTATACTGAACATACCATCATCTAAATGTTTGCTACCTTTTAGACCTTTTGTCACTGAGCTGTGAGTATCAAAATCAATATGTCCTCCAAGGTTCATTTTACACATTTTCAACTATATCACCAAATCTGACACGGTTACAAATTAAGTCAATTGTAAAGGAAAAAATCAGTTAATCAGTTTTAAAAATAGCTAATTGAACTTAATTGTTCTGACATTTTTGCTGTAAAATTCTATGAAATCATGCTGACACTTTCTGACAAGCCAATGACACGCTTGTTCATTAATATTAGATGATTTCTGCCACAGTGTGTTTGTGGTTTTGTATCTCCACGGGGGGGCAGTATTGCTCCATGCCACAGAGCCACACTAGAGCCAGACAGAGGTCCAGCATGTCTCCGCTTTAGTGAAGGACAGCAGAGTAATGTGTTCATCATGCTGAGACTGGGATTCATGACAGTCACAAACGATTTGTGTGTCTCACTCTCCTTCATCCATACAGTGTACAGTTGTTGTTTCGTGCTGTTCTCTGCAGACATGAGACTGTTCATGGAAATGTGTTCACCTTTGTTTCTGTGCAACTTTAACTGCTGAATTATTTTCATCTTGAAAAAGGGCTTTTTGCATTAAATCCACCTATTCGCTCATTTAAAAAATATGACTGATAAAAAAAATCTAGACATCCAAAATGGATGCAGCAATGGTCAATGATGCAGACACAAACTATGGTCTCCATCAAAAGGCACATCAACTGATTCTCATCGTTTATTGATCCAGTGGGATTTTTCGCTCTTTCCAGTAACTGTTACTCTTAAGATGAAAGTACTGAACTTACCTTTAAAAGAGGCACTTTTGTGCACTTAGCCTTCAAAGGTGGAATGAAAAGTCTGCTCTCTCTGGTTTAAGATATGGTGAGGCATGAAAGGCCGCAGAATGAGTCATTTTTGAGGTATGAAGGACATCCAGAGCTCAAACTGAAGCTCACACTTTGGAGCTTCAGTTTGAATGTTTATAAGCATTGAATTCCAGCCTATACAGTACAGCCTATAGTGATGTTTATAAGTGTTACAAGCAGTGAGTAAAATGCCCCAAATGCTAATGTTAATAATGTATTATACCTTAATGCAAATGAAAAACTTGTCTTCTCAAAGTTATAGAAATATATCCTAAACACCGTACTCCTCTATGCCTTTGTTAAGATCCTTTTCATGCTGTGATGATGATGAAGCTCAACCTGATTGTCATGACTTTGTGCTTAGATGTTAATCCCAGATCAGTATAATTTCTGTGTCTAAGCGTGTAATTTTAGTGTGTGTTGCAGCTTTGCAGGAGCATGATACATGACGAGTAAACACATTGAAGGGGCTTCGCAGATTCACACACAGACATGCACACAGCGGTGAATGATTGGATCTCATCATGCAGTGGCATTCATACTGCAGACGCTTCAATATCACACCTTAAAGTGGCATGAAAAGGACTAAAGAATGAGCAGTGAAAACGTGACACCCACTGTTTCTACTAAGTCATAGGAGTGTAAGCTTCCATCCCAGGGTTGATTTTGAAAGCAAAATCGGTAAAGATAAAAGATAATAAAACTGGGTGTTCAGGATCTGGGAGCCAAACTGACCACTTTAGAGAGACGTAGGGGAACAAAGCCTTGACTCAATCAAACATTTCCATTCAGGATGCAGACTCTTCCAGGAATAGATCCAATCTGTGACTGCTCCAGCAGAGAGGTCAGTGAATAGAAATGAGGCTAAAGATGTGAAGTTTCCTTACAATACTCAGGAGAAGTGAGAAGTCAGTTGGGGACTGACATGATGATTATAGATTCTTACATGTCTGAGCCGAGCCGAGCTGAGTGAGGTCGGTACTGAACCGATGCTTGGGTGCATGAATCAACTAAACTATAGAAAGTTTCAGTTAGTGGGTTTTTTTCTTTTTCTTTTTCTCTGATAGTAAAAACTGGGTGCAAATATCTCATGTGCAAAATAATAATTCAGGTAAAATTCAGATAATTCAAATAAATATGCATGTACGCTCTTAGTCATATGTAAAGTAATAAATAGTTTTCCTCAATGAATTAAGAATGAAAACAGAAAATAAATACATTTGACATCCATTAAACTGAATAAAGTGACTATTCTGACCTGATTTTTTAGTCACTGCCTGGGTGCAGGAGTTTTTGACACACTTCTGAAAGTCAAATGTCCAATCTGAGGTTATTGTTGAGTTATTTTTTTGTCATTTATTGATCCAATGAAAAATAGAAATATACAGGTACATTCAACCCACAGCAACGGTGATATGCGTGATAAGAGTGAGAGTGGTGTCAAAGATGAGCAGTAAAAACTACTGTTCCCAAGACTACTGCTTCACCTGTATCCCTTTGGTATACCTGCCCATTTACCATAAGTGCCCCCTGTGGTGACTGTGTAAGTAACAAAACAAAACCCCAAAACAACACAGATATAATGGATCATACACAGAAACTTCAGGAAACAGTCAAAATCAAAATTCATGATATACTTAAGGGTCTTTCTACCTTCAGACAATAACAGAATTCATCCTCATTAACACATACATGCAGACCCTCATACAAACACTTTCATTCATATTAAAATCTCTCCCTCGCCCACCCTGGGTGGTATTGTGTCTCTTCAGGCTTGGGTCCCCTACTAGAGGCCTGGGAGCTTGAGGGTCCTGGGCAGTATCTTAGCTGTTCCTCTCC